TTCCCATCATCTCAAGCCCGGCGATGACCCGCTCAGCCTTCGCCCTGATGGCGTCCCGCATCTCTTTACATGTGACACTCCCGTTTCCGCAACGGGGTCCTGCTCTTCCCAAAGTGACTTGAGTTCGCTGCGCATTCGTCTCTACGTCTTTTGCGAATATGTTTGTTGGTCCTGGTATGACTGATCGGGCTGCTGGAAACAGCACTGCCGGACGGGATCGTCCGGACGTCAAAAGGTCTCGTTCGCAAGAGTCATGAATTACTCCATCGGCGCCGTCTTCGGCTAGGCCAATGGACTTTGCCGGTTGAAGATAGCTGCATGTAATCATTCTGCTAACGGCGGTGAATGTGAGGGGGCGGCAATGCATTCGACCGCCGAGCCAAACCTGGCCTTTAAGTAAAAGGAAGGATGATGTTTGCTTGCCAACGAACATCGGAATGCATTACTCTATAGGCTAGGACAACCATGTCACAGCCAAGGTTTTACCCTGTGACAGTGAGGGAGGAGACCTGATGAGTTCTGGACATTGGAGCGGCCGTACACCCGAGTCCCAAGTCCCATGTACTCCCCACAAACTCGAGAGTGTTGGCTAAATACCGCCGAGGTGATAGGGAAACCCCGATGAGCGAAAGCGAGAGGGTGGGCAAGGACGAGTGAATTGACGGCGATATTGCGGAGAGACCCCGAAGGCTAAGGTATACACCCAAGGCGATAAGCCAAAAGCTCAGCGAAAAGCACCTTCGATGTGGAATAAGTCGAGCGCAGGACGAACAATTATGTCATATCTTGTCTCCGAACAGGCACGGAGATGTAGGAGTAGTTAGACATAGAGGCATTCCGGACCTCGATGTTGACTTTGTGCAGTGTGTTACAGTTGATTTCGAAGAACTTGGTCGCAACCACATCCATAAATGGGTAAATGGAAACATGTCCCTCGTTCTGCTGTCATCGATTATGTGAGATGCGAAAAACTCAAACACACTTTGTTGTCAGCAAAGTTCGATAGAGACAGTAATCACTATGGGTGACTAGAGAGGTCCTAATAGTAAACGATCGGCTTTGGGACGGTCAAGCTTTTGGTGATTATCATAGCTTTTGATCCTATCGACATAACAACTGTAATCCAACATAGCAAAGGGATCCGATGACGATAGCTAAAGAGCAAAGCCATAGGTAATCGAAGTCATGACACGAATGTTGCAGGTGAGGGAAACCGAAACACGCGGGACAGCCGCCAAATTCACGAGACAACGACGAGCCTAGTGTATCGTATCTATTAATTTGGCAGCTCATTGCACAAGACATGGACGAAAACTGCTTAAACAAGGCGCTAGCATGTCCCATCGCTTTTAGCCCGTTCCCTCATCACCAACCCCAACTACCATGCTATTATAGTAACACCATACTCATCCAATCATGACGTCTTCCATCAGAACAACCCAAGCAGATCCTCGCTACCTCCACCACTCTTGGGAGGAGTCTGACTAGTCGGATGCCCCAGCTGCTGACCAGGCGGCGGCGGCGCACTCGTCCCGCTGAGATCCATGCCCGCAAACGAGCTCATCATGTCACCCATCCCGCCTGCAGCAGCCGGCGAAGTTGCAGCAGACGCCGATGGCATGGGCGGTGGTGCATCGAAAAGCCCCATGATATCCGCCATGCCGCCACTGGGTTGCGGTGGCGTACCGGGAAGACCACCGACGTTGGCTGGGCTGCCAAACCGATCTGGTGTGCCGACACCGCCCCCGTGCTCTGCGCTGGCAGGAGCGCCGCCGTCAAAATCGATGTCGAGAAGGTTCTCAACGTTGTTCTGCTGGCCACCTTTGGCAGCAGCAGCGACTGACGCGGCAATGGGGTTCTCGGCGGCGTTTTGGCGCTGTTCTTGGATGGCGGCGCGCTGGATCTCGTCGGCGCCGAAACGGCCCTTGCCGACGAACGACTCGGGAGGCTTGTGGTAGACGGAGGCGAGAGTGGAAAGCTCGGAAAGAAGTTGCTCGAGGAGGACGGGAGGGAGGGATGTTACTGTTGTCGTAATGGCGGGCTTTTGAGAGAGAATAATGCTCTATGAACGTAGGTCAGTCAATGTTTACATATTCAGGGGGTAGAGATTGTGGCAAACCTTGGCAACATCGAGATCGCCAGAGAGGAGACGCCAGTAGATATAAGCACGATCCCTGATATCGGGGTTGTCGTTGTCTGCCGTGGCTTGCTGAAGGACCTTCTGTACTAGGCCTTGGGTGTTGCTGGGTTTCTTCAGGAACAGCTTGACCACAGCGGTAAGAATCTGCAGTTGGGTCTGCGTGAACTCTTCCAAGAAACCCTCGACGAACCCTTCCAGAATTTCATCGGCGTTGTTGATTTTCTCGGCATACTCTCCAACAATCCAGATCAAGGCACCCCTGGCGTTGGGCTCATCTAACTCGTCGATGTACTTGCAGAGAGTCGGAATGACACCTTCGTATCCGGGATACTTGCGGAGGATGTCCTTGATGACGACAATAACCTCTTGCACAACATAGTTGACCTTGGTGGAGATTAGATCAAGCAACGCGTTGACGCACTTTTCGCTAGCGGCCTCAATCTTGATGGCGACCTGACCGATGGCCTTGACAGCTCTCCGGACGAAATCCATGTCGACTTCAAGGGCATACTCCTTGAGCTCGGAAAGTAGTTGATCGAAGTTCTTGTCGTTTGCTATCCTGACCATGATTTCAAGCTTCTGGAGCTTGACGTACGGGGGGTCGTTGTATTTGCAGAAGAATACCCTCAGCTCCTTGCTGAGAATATCGGGATTGGCTTGCAGCAGAAGGTCAATGTTACGCAGAGCGACATACTGAACCTCAGGGGCAGAAGCGATGAGCGTTACCAGAGGGGGAGCCATCTTTTTCAGGTAAGCGCCCACTGTCTTGGGGTTGAGAGCCTTCATGTGGGTGAAGACGACCTTGACGGCAGCCAAAACCACGCTGGGGTTGACGTGTTGGAACTGGGGCGCTACTCTTTCGCAAATGTGTTCCGATTCCTTGACGTCATGGGCAGTATACTCGGCTAGTGTTGTCAGAATGGTGACCCTCCCCCATTCCGTGCACTCGTTCAACGCCATAAGCAGCTTCTTTAGGGTCGCGGGTGTGAGGACAAGCGCCCTGGTCTCGGGGGCAGTTTCGTGGATTTCGGACAGGGCCTGGACGGAGTTGGCCACAACCATGGGATTGGGATCGCCAATCATGTCTTGCAGCGTCTCCAGGAAACCGTTCTCGATGCACATTGTGGGGTTGAGATCGAACAGTTTGGCGACACAGATGGCGGCGGTCTTGCGTACGTAGGGGGACTCGTCTCGTAGCGTCTTTCGTAGCGGCTCCTCCATGTAATCGATCATTTTGTCGACACGAATGCAGCCCATTGTTCGAATCGCCAGCGCTCGAATGAGGGGGTTCGGATCTTCCGAGTCTTGTACGAATGTGTTGACGGCCAAAATGCAGAGATCGGGATGTGATTTGGCGTAGTTCCTGGACTCAGGGGTTAGCGCTCGTTCGCGAAGGGGCCAGAGACGAGGGCAGCTGATGCTCACATCAAGTAGAGATACACCAGCTTCTTCTGGTCAAGGTCGGAGGTCGCAATGTTTTTGAGGACGTCCGGGAAGAGCGCCGACACATCCTTGCCCAGGGTCATGGCCATGATGGTCTTCTGGATGGCTTCCTTTCGCTCGTAGGCATATTGGGACACAAGGCCGGCTCGCAGCTCGAAGGTTTCACCCTTGCGCGGCGGCGCAAACGCACCCCTAATGCGGTTGATAGCTGACATTGCGAAGGCGTTGATGTTCGGCGCGCTCGGGGAGAAAAAGCAGTGGTGGAGGTGCTGACAAGGTCGAGATCGGGCGGTGAAACCTCGAGCTTGGACAAAGGAGATGGCACCTCAACGGACGGTCGTGGAATGGCGCATACACGGATGCTTTGGTATGCTGATCGCGGAGGTACCGGTAGTCGTGACACAAAAGTGCAACCTGGCCGGCTGTAAGGCTGCGTACTGTTGTCCTCCAGCTTTGGATCAGGTCGCCGGGTCGTCGCTGGTGTCGGGATGGATCACGACGATGATGTGGACGGGCAGGCAGATGTCGGTCCAGTGATACGCGCTGAATGTGGAACTGTGGTGTCCTCCAAGTCACTGAATGCAGCGACAGGCCAGAGCGTCTTGGCGTGAGCCTTCGTTGTGTTGCCCCACTCACAGGGTCCTTCATTGCTAGGTAGGTGCCCCGCCGGAAAGGAGAGCTTCAGCCACAGTGCCGTCCTTTGGAAGCTGTGGCTTGCCCGGCACTTGGCGACGAGGACGATGATGATGGTTGTGCTTAGCCGTGACGACGAGGGACCATCCACTCCCAGTACACTGGACTATTCGGCGACATTGCAGCTTAGACACATCCTCCCCTTATACCAATATTTTAATCATCTTCTCACATCTTCAAAAGTACAGCCTATCACCAGCATCAACGTCTCAAGTGTCAACTGGCAGAGGCGAGACAATGGTAATTGTCCACAAGACTGACCCTTGTTGCTGAAATCCCCTAAACATGTTTCTACGACTGAGAACCTTGAACTACAACAGGCCAACTTTCCCAACTTGCGTCGCCTCTTCATCGAGGCCAGGACGGACAGTGAAGAAAGAGACGTGTCCAGAAAAGCAGTACGTCATATTCCGGAGCTACATACTGTTCAACCCTAAGACCACCTAACATGAAATTACTAGTTCTACAACGCCGTCCTGTTCCTAAGCTCCGTCGCAGTCTTCAGCTTGATAGCTCAAAGAATGAACGCCACAAAGTAATTCTGAAACTGAGAACCTGCCTCCAATGTGCCATATTCTCCGCCCATTGCGTACCTTGATAAGTAGTCATACAAAACCAAAAGGGTATAAAACATCTCGTTGAATCGTACACGCCCATAACATAACCATGAACAAGTAGTGGTGGTCCAAGACACTCGGTCTTGCTCCATATCAATCACCGTGACTTAATCAGACTCGCTCTCAGAGCCCAGGAAAGCGAAATCCGCCCTGTGCTTGGCTGGGCCTCTCACCCTTGCCTTTGGCTCCGCATCCTCTGAGTCGTCCTCGTCCTCGTCCTCGTCATCTTCTTCGTCGTCCTCCTCAATTTCATCATCATCATCATCGTCTCCATCTTCATCACCGCTACCCTCCTTCTCGGCCTTCTTCTTCTTCTTCTTTTCTTTCTTTTCCTTCTTGTCCGCTCCATCCCCACTCTCGTCCTCTTCCTCTTGATCCTCAGAGTCACTTTCAAGCTTCAGACTCTTCACCTTGGCCGCCGCCCTCCTCCTGGGTCTCCCGCCATCACCTAGTCCCCAGCTCTTCTCTCCATCCTTCACGGCATCCAGCTCCGCCTCCAACTCCCTGCGCATCTTGATTTCCTTGGCCTTGGACTCGGAGAACCGCCCGGTCATGCCGATATCGGTGAGCATGTTCTTAAGATGCCTGATCTTCGCCTTGGTGTCGTCACCGTACTTCTTGAGCTCGATTGGCCAGATCTTGCGAATGCCGCACTTGAGTAATTGGCTCTGGAGCTGCTTGATCAGGGCTTCGTCAGGAGAGAGGTCGGCGGATACGGACTTGGCTTTGCGGCCTTTGCTGGTGCTGCTGGCGGCCTCCTTGGATTTGCCGCGCCCCTTGCCGCCACGCTTCGGGGGCTCGTCGAAGACTTCAGACATGGAACTTTCGCCGTCGTCCTTGTCCGCGGGCGGGGCGTTGGTGGGCTTGGTGTCGGAAGAGTCTTTAGATGCGCCCTTTTTGGGTTTAGCTTTCCGTTTGGGAGGTTCGTCGATGACTTCGGAAAGCTCGCTCTCGTCGTCTGAGGCTGGTTTCGTCTCCTTCTCCACCTTTGTCACCTCGTCTTTTGTGTCCTTCTCCTTGGGGGTTTCGACATCCATGGCGTCCGATAGCTCACTTGAGTCGTCCTTATCCTCCAGTCCAGCCTCGTCGATTTCGCTAAGCAGGGACTCCGCGTCGGATGCTTCGACCTTTTTCTTCGCAGCGGCAGTCTTCTTGGTTGGTTTGTCCTTGGTAGCCTTGGCGGCGGCTTTCGCTCTCTTCTTAGGTCTTTCGGACTCGCTCTCCTCGGCTTCCTCTTCGTCATCATTGTCGTCTGATGACCCCTTCCTCTTCTTGCCCGTTACCTTTGTCGCTTTGCGCTTCTTGGCCGGCTCCCCTTCGGATTCGTCGTCGTCGAATTCCTCCTCTTCGCTATCCTCGGGATCGCTCAACTCGGACTCGGACTCTTCGGAAGGTGTCGCCTCCTTCTTTGCGCGCTTCTTCGCAGGTGCTTTGGCTTTGGCATTGTTTTTCGGCTTCTTGGCGTTTGGTTGCGCTGGAGCGGCCTGGTCTGGTTCTGCCTCGTCGGATTCTATCTTGGCCTACGATGAGTATACCTCTGTCAGTAATTGATTGTGGTCTCTCGGTGCTGTTCAATTGGGCCATCAAAATGACTACTTACGAGAGTGTCCATGACAAGCTGCTTGCTCTTTGCTTTCCAGTCGCCATCTTTGAGAAACCCTTCGCCAAGTTTGAGCTTCTTTTCGACAGCTTCGCGCACAGCGTTGACGGTTAGCTCTTGCGGACCGTGGTAGATGCGGCGCACGGCATCTGCGATCTCTGTCTTGATTGTCGCATCGGCGACCATTTTGCGGGGAGGCATGGTGATGCGAGAAGATGCAGGTCAAGTTCAGGTTGTGTTTTCGGTGTCGCAGTCAAAATAACTTTCGGCTTTCGGTGTTAAGAATAGTTGGAGACGGAATACAGAGATTCGCAAAACCCTTCAGCAGCTTGACAGATAGAATGCGATGAATGACGTTGGTGATCGCGTCCTGGTGAACGTGTCTGCGATCGAACAGACGCGAACAGATGGGGCCGGTGGGTTAGATGTGGATCCAGACGATGGCATCAGACAAGGGTCTTTGATGTTGGACAAAAGCGGTTGGCCCAAGCGTTTTCGAAGAGCTCTCCTAGACCGGTAGACCTGAGGTCCGTGTGCAATCGCTGCTATACTGTGCTCGACGACATCGATGCACTCGCTACAAGTTGAAGTCATCAACGTTCCCCTTTTCGGGCTTAAGCATGCCCAAGTTGTGCTACCAGTTGGATGATATTAAACCTTACACTTGGCTAGTTCTTTCATTGCCTGTAGTTACTTACTTACTTCCGTTACGCCGCCTTTGTCCCACTCACGAATCGAACTTTGTCGATAATCCATGTGCATGCTGGCGTGTCTCTATGGACCTCTTGGTATTTGCTGGTTACAGCTTATTGCGCTCCTGCGCTATTATGCTCCTTCAAGTTCTCCAAATTCCTGTTAACTTTCTACCTTTGGGGTTACCATCGAGGGCAGAGGCATCGAACGCAGCCACCGAGGGATTTGGGATCAGAGGATCGTTCCGACGAGAGGGTTTGGAGGACTGTGGAAGGCTCCCAAGAGCTGAGTGAGCTACATAGACATACTTCGATAGCTGAAACCCCAAGAGGGTACGCCGCCTTGAAAGATGGTAGGGCACAGCTGGGCGCGAACGCATCAGCACAGAGTGTCACCGTCCATTCGAATGCATATGAGTCTCGTCATTTCCCCGTTTACAGCAATTACCGCCGACACTTCAACATCTCAGCCTCAGCAACCAAACAGTCACGGTGGGGAAATTCCCGACTTTGGACTTGTCCCTCTTGACCGCTTTCGGAGCCCACGCATGGCCCAACCCATTTCATTTCTCAAAAAGCAACACTAAGTTCGGAATCGGCACACCCAAAGAATGCCCTCCCTTCAACAAGGGTACCTCCGCCATAGACTACTTCCTGCTCTATCCCGCAGATGACGACTGGGATGCCCATTCCTGCCAAGTCGTCTTCGGGTCAGTATCTCCCAGTCCCATGACCTCCCCAAGCCCCTGCCCAGGTGCCATACTCCCATACTTCCCATGCCTTCCAGATTCCTCTGGAACAGTTCCGTCGCCATCTACAATCCCTACCTCTCCCAGATTGCCCAAATCCTCACCTTCCACGGCGTCTCCTTCACAGGATGAGTAACTGAGATTGTTAGCCACTGAAGTCCTCCGACTTGGTTCAATTGAACAGGATTGGCAATGTGGTAGGTGAAAGATGAACGTGTTCTCGCTACAGAACCGCTCAAACACTAGCTCTCGGAAGACTCGATCGATATTTGCGAGGGACACGTGCGCGGAGCATTGCACAACTAGATGCACTGCGCTGAAAGGGCCTAGCGATGACCCGGCCTCCGACCAGACAGGAACTATGGATGGAACAAGGGGGGGGAGGTGATAGTCTGAAGGGGGTTAGGGCGGATTGTGGTTGATAGAAGCGTACGCACGACCGTTGCCGTCCGTGAGGTTCGTTCTGCATGAGGGATCCAGAAGTTGTCGTTGGTCGGAGCTGGCGGATGTGGCGGTCGGATGGCCCCGTCCGAGATCGGATCGGGATAAGCATCATCTTTGGGAATGGGAACGAGGTCCATCGGTTCGGACAATGGTGATAGACGTTGAAACTTGGTTCTGTGAAGAACGAGGAAGAGCTTGGACGGGAAATTATAGGAACGAGCTTGGGTTGTGAAGAAGCAAAGAGTGACAGTTCAAGCTTGAGGCTTGTATCCCGAGAGGAAACGGAACGACCTAAGCCATATGTTCTATCACTGCGTACATTTTGTCGGCGATGGTGTTGACATTGTATCCATGTTAGATGTAATCGTTGGTGCCTGGAGGCTGTATGCTCTATTCGGAGGTCCTGAACCAGGGGTCCTTGGAGTTAGATGCTGTTAACATCTGTGTCCATGTTTCAGTGTATCCCGCGCCTTATTCTGGAGGGTATTTCCAACGATGGAGTGATTTACCGACCATAGCTCGTTCAATGCCGGTAATTTCGCCCGTGTCGGACACATCTGTTTATTTGCTGATTTATCGCCAACGTGCTGACGATCCCTTCAAGAATCCGGATCGGGTCGCCCACCCTGCTAGTTTTCAGAAATCTTGTATCTTTTCGGTCTGTCCAGATTGTCCATCGTGGAAGCACCAAATGGGCTGTCATGTTGACACAGTCTGCTCCAAATACTCAAAGTACTTCTCGTTCCATTGCGCCAAGAACACGTCGTCGAACAAGCCCGGCGCCATGTCGGGCGACACCTCACCATGAGAGCAGAAGCTCGGCGGCATGCATTTCTTGTCGTTGACGGCTCGCTCAAATATCTTGATCAGGCATTTGCCACAAATCTTGTGGTCGCATCCCGGCCTTGAGAGTAGATTCGCGGCTTCCGGTTTGTCTTGACAAATGTAACATTTTGGCCTGTGTGAGGGCGAGATATAGAAGTCAGTAGAACTCTGAGAATGTCTCCATCCCGCACAGTCCTCCGTGATGGATGGCATGCGGATTTGGATGCAGTGAAACCTTACGTGGGTGGGAAGACCTTGATCCAGAAATTGTCAATCCGGCTGGCCCTGAATTCCGACGAGTTTGGGTCTGCGGGGATGTGCGCCAGAGTGTCGAATGATTGGCGATAAGACGGCGCTGGCTCTCGTTCGTGCTGTGTTGTATTCATGTTCGACATGTCTTCTGTTTCCTTGCTGCTACTGGCGTAGTGCAGTGTTGTGAAGGACTGATCAGAGTCCTTGGCGTGATTTGGTTTCTCGGGTCCGGTTTTGTAGTGCGATGTGAGCTTGACACATCCGACGACCGGGGCAGTGGTACAGCGATATCGCCGTCATCATCGCTGGCGTTCCTCGAGCCGAGCCGAGGTGCACCTTGAGTATCATCGGCGGTCGCTTATTCGTGGACGGCACCTTTCCCCGCACACCACATCTACGGCGCCTTCCAGGGCTTGGAATTGGCTCTTCGCATCCCCTCGTGCACTGTAATAACGAGCATTACTGCAAGGAAGTCAGAGAGAAATTCGAGCTATTCTTCCACATCCGGATGTGCACATCCCAACTCTTATTGACATTTCTTCATCTCCTCGAAGGACTATGACTGCCGTCAATTGATGGTTAATAAGTAGTGCATCTCAACATGGGAGCATAAAAAAACTCGCACTCGCCCGGCTAGCTCAATTGGTAGAGCGTGAGACTCTTAATCTCAAGGTTGTGGGTTCGACCCCCACGTCGGGCTCAATTCCCGGCGGCGAAATGCGATTCATCTTTTTTTGGACTTTTGCCCAAGTGTGTCGAACATGCCAATTGTTGTTTTGTTGTCTTGATTTTCCTCTGTTTTGTCCATTGTCACTGACTTGTCAGCCCTCCATTCAGTGTTCTCAAATACACCCGATATTTCTCGATTTCTACGTACCGCCCTACCGCTCCACTCCGACAGTTTGACTCTGTCAATCGGGCCATCCGATTACAATATTGAGTACGCGTGCAGGTATGCATCGAGCAACCCAAATATTCCACAAAATTTCGACCAAGGCCAACTTCCTGATATCTGAACCTTTCCAATTTTCAAATTCTATCGACTGTTACTCACAGTTAATACCGACATACTATATACCTACTCGACGTCGCTTTTCCACCGAACCCTGGCCAGTCTCGACAAAACCGGACAGTCACAGACATTCACAACATCACAACCTTGCTAACCGAACCCAACCAGTCGCACCAAACGTCGGACTGAACCTCAATCTACCTACGTTCCACATCGATGACCGTAAACAGATACCCCTTTATTGGAGGTTGCGGATTACAAATACAACAAGATGTCAAGACATGGTTTGATGTGCTATGGTTATGCTATACCGCTATAGGGAAGCTCCCGCACGAGGTTTCGGAGGCAATATACCTGCGGCGATCCCTGTCAACACACAGCCCTATGAGTATTGCGGGCTTGATCGGGTCACCTGCCCGTGGCCCCGTGATGACAACATTTATTATCCATCTCAAGATTACAGCACCCACCCTTCGAACATCAGGCTAACGGGAAAAGGGGACAAAATGACAGAACCAACGAGACATGCCTAGCTGCTATATGCATCCAGTTCCGTCCGGTCCGGTCCGCCCCGACATTTGATGGATTGAACTAACCCGGGTTTTGGGGCCAGTGCTACCTACATCCATACGTACCTATGCACGACCGTCGAGAACGTCCTCCAACTCCCGTTAACAACAGATACCGACGACCCAACGTCCGAATCCATACCCGCACCGTTTGAACATCGAAGCGCAACTTTAACAACTACCCACCTCGTCACCCATTTGCCATCGTCACGGTTACGTCTTCATTCCAGACTACCTACAATATCCTCACCATAGGCTCCCGCGATCGGTATCCGCACCACACACACAGGACTCGGTGTGCAAAAGTATTAGGAGGAGGAGGACGACGAGGAGGAGTTCACTGATGCACAGGGCAACAGTTTTAGTCTGCGGCATCACCGGAGTAAGTAGAAGTAGGTTCTGTGGAAGCAATAGAGTACCAGATCCACAGTGCCAGGCGAGGTACACAGCAGCTCTTTGAGGCCATGTGGAATGCATTGTCGGGACCTCCCGAACTGGCTGCATGCATGTACAACACCTCATGTATGGTATCTACTGTATCACACGCGATTGGTCAGCTGTTGTTGGCTCAAAATGGCCCATTTTGGTATCAGATAATTCACGAATGCAGACACATTCCGACTCCTTGTTGTTGTTGATGTTGCTGAAAGTTTGTTGATCAATAGCAAGCAGGTGATTCAAGTAGGCCATGTTTTCCCTTTCTTTTATTCTTCGCACAAGTCAAAGGCACATCAGAAGCAAAGAACAGTAACCATGATCAGCACAAAAGTATCATTAACTATCTAGACCTGAAATTGCGCCTTACTGCCCATTCGGGACCCCTGAGGGTGATGTTGGGAAACCAAGCGAAACCAACAACCAGAAGCCAGCAGGCAGAGGCTTGGATGAGACGCTCCGCTGGTGCCAAGTCAGGCCAAACTAATTACAACAAACTTGAACTCCTCTATCCCCAAAATACCCAAAGCAAAACCCAAACCCAAGAGCAGAAACCAAAAGCAGAAAGCAGCCATTCCTCCTCTATAGTCAAACGCCTGAAAATCCAAAAGCAAAGACCCAAAAGCCGAAACCAAAAACAAAAATCAAAAGCAGAAAGCAGAGATTCCTCTTCTATAGTCAAACGCCAGAAAATCCCAAAGAAAACAACCCAAAAGCAGAAACCAAAAAACAGAAAGCAGAACATTCCTCCTCTATGGTCGAACGCCAGAAAATCCAAAAGCAAAAACCCCAAAACAAAGACCCAAAAGCAGAAATCAAAAGCAGAAATCAAAAGCAGAAAGCAGACATTCCTCCTCTATGGTCAAACGCCAGAAAATCCAAAAGCAAACAACCCAAAGCAGAAACCAAAGGCAGAAGCAAAACCGAAAACAAAGCAAGAACAGAGCAAGACACGAAGCAAAACTTGAAGCAAAACAAGAACAAAACACGAAGCAAAACTCGAAGCAGACCAAGAGCAAAACAAGACAAAAAAAACACACACCTGAATGATAAGAAGATGGTACCTAAAAGTCAAGTCAGCAAACAGAGAGAGAAGAGTGTGAACTTACCGACGATCTAGAGACCCAGGTCGAGTGGCCCGGAATGTGACCGAGCGCACCCTTCCCAGATCCCCAGACTTCCGAGGCCTCCCACCGGCTTTCTCCAGCTCAGCTCGCCTGTTCGCCTCAGAGAGACGGAACGCTTGAAACCGGGCATGGAGGGTGCGACCGGAGTTCAGCAGGCGGCGAGACTGATCGAGAGCTTCCGACATTGCTGCCTTCGGCTCAGCAACCCGACTCACCACCTCCGGACGCTTGTCCGGCATCGGGGGCTTGGTCCCCTCAGCGAAGCGCACCTGCTTGCGCTTCGGGGTTTTGTCTCCCTTTGGGCGCTGCCCCTTCAGAATCGGCTTAGGCTCCGGTCCCATCTAGGTCCCTTCGCCGTCCACCTCCTCGTCCGAGACAGGCACACCAAAGTTCGACGCTGCTGTTAGTATGTGGGCAAGATCAGCAGCAATTGCTCGGCAAAGCTTGTCAATCTCCGCCGCGATGGCCCAGATCGCGACGTCGATGTGGACAATTGCTGCGATCAAACCTAGAGAGAGAAGGAAGGTTAGTCGAATCAGGAACATCGAAAAACCAGAGAGGGGCGGAAGGGGAGACTTAGCAGCGGAAGAGGAAGTCATGTTGGTTGTTGTTGTTGTTGAGTGCAGTTGTGTAGCAAAAAAAAGTCGTGGTTGTCAGCAAGTGCAAAAGACAATTGTTGTTGTAAGAGGAAAGAGAAGAGAAGAGAGAGAAGTGCGAGGGGACGCGACCTAGTATTTAAGGGACCCACGCTGCCTGAGTACGTAATCAAGTTTCACATGTCATGGCCTGATTTCTGAGCAAACGTGTCTACTCAGCTCCCTCTGACCCACAGGAAGTTGTGGGCTTACCAGAAGGAGCTGTAATCCTGTCAGAAGGTCTACCAGAGAAGCCCGGGGAGTAGGACTTTGGAGGTGTTGAGAGCAGTATTGTGCCAGAACCAAAGTCAGGTTATAGTGAGCAAGGTCCCTAAAGGGCCGGCGCTAATATGACTATGGGGCTTCACATTAGAGTGTACCTGAGTACCTGTAACTACCAGCTACTGGAGAGGCAGTCAAGAGTTACAGTGAGACTTTCTAGCTAACTATCAAGTGTAAAATGAGGAGTGTCGGGCGCCCGACGGGTCGGGCTACAGCAGTTCTTTTCCCTATAAATTGTGCAGTAAAACACCCAACAAGTAGCATTTCAGGAGGCCCTAACAGCAGCGCAGGCCTTGCAGCTAGTGGATGGCGAGTGCTTGAATGGGAGTTGAGGTATCTGTGTCGAGCAACAACAATGGCAAACATCACCACTTTTTCGATGTCAAGTAGTGAAAGACGTTCAGAAACGGCCTGTTGTCAAATTAAGCTTGCATATTGTATAACATCCCATTGGTCAGCCTTATATGTGGAGTGGCTGCACCCCTGTCCCGAGACTTCTTGGCTTGTCATCCGGACCCCGGACGCATGCCTCGCGGCGACCACCGGCGGCTGCGATGCACTAGCTAGCGCCGGGAAGGGCTGCATAACACATGTGCATTCGTCTGAACATCGATAGGGACGAAGTATTGATATGCGACATAAGGGAGGACCTGTGAAAAGAGGACGTCAGCGGTGGTGTGTATCTAGGTGAACCAGTTGTTGAAGCTGTACGTACCAGGCAGAGGACAAGGTGCAAATGAGACATTGCCGACACCTGCAAAGACCAAGACACCGTAGGACAAGGCAAGGACAGATAGATACAGCTCAAGACCACGTCTTGCTGGGTGCGAGCATGGGTATAGGGAGATGCCGTGGTGCAAGGTGGTCTCTCCTACTTCCAGTTCCTCTTTTCTTTCCCCTTTTCATCATGAACAGACACAGTTGTTTGCAGCCACGCTTTCCAGTTTTCATCTGTCGAAGCCGTCACCAATTCTTGACATTCTTATGGCACCAGTGGATACGATCAACATATGGCTACCCTGTATATAAGTCGGACTTGGTCCTCTTTCTTCCTTTTTTCTCTTCTCCTCTTCAATCAATCAAGACTTTCACCACCACCATGTCGTTCACCGTGGTCACTATCTTCCGTATGGTTCAACACCATCAACAGAAACCACATTCTGATCGACTTTTCATCATCAAACCTCTCTACATTGCACTTGACAACTTCTACAACCATCAAAATGCTCTCCACTCTTGTTCTCGTCGGCGACTTCGCCATCGTCTACACCATCGGCATGATGCGCCTTCTCTTCGAGCTATTTTTGTACCTTGTCACAGGCAAGACAACCCTACTTCAAAGGTAAGCATCAACATCTCCTTCCATCATCATTATCATCGGCCCGCGCTAACTTTCATTCGCAACAGGGACAGCAGCAGCGGCTTTGAAAGCAGCAGCAACAATGGCAGCAACAACAGCAGCCTCAGCAGCAACAACAACGGCAGTGCCCTCATCCGCACCATCAAGATCAGCCGTGGCGGTTGACCTGCTGCCTGCCATTCATGTTGCCTTCAGAGACGCAGACTTCACTCCGGTTTCAATGTATAAGCTCAAGCATGATACGGTTTTCAACCCTACAGGAGTCAGTTGCGGCTGGTAGGTCCAGCACGCTGATGGCCAGAGGATTCAGGCTTTCACCGGCCCTCAGACGGTAATGCACGAATGAAATATCGACATCGCACAGACCGACCCAGCGGCAAACTCTCGGCAACCCATCCCGTACAACCCTCTCAAGTATCTACGTGAGAGCATGAAGATGCTAAGGTGTTTTTGAAAAGGCCACTTGAAAACAGGCGCAAGAAAGGGTACGTGAGGTTTGCAGTAAACGAGGAAAAGGGATTTGCATTAGACAAGGGAAAGGAGTTTACATCAGACTGAAGGAAAAGTTTTGCATTACTCTCGGGGTTGGTTAAATGAATACAATGTTGCGTTTCTCTTCTTCATTTGCATGGTCTTGTTGTGCTTTTTGTCTTTGGTCACACAGGGTCTAGGATGCCTTCCACTGATTCCGTCATTAACGGCTGTATTGTAGGGAGGTTTTGCGCGGTTGACATAAGATAACAGCTAGACTCAATTGTTCACTGAGCGCAACGCTTGCGAGCTGACAACGGTTAATGGGATTATGGACATGGACCAGGCACGCGATCGAACCGTCGAAGAATAGGCGGATTATCCGTTAATGGTCCCAACGCGCGCCTTTGCCACAGCTAAAGTCTTGATTGCCACGATAATTGTCATCATGGTAAGCCTCTACAATCTACAATCTAGCCCTGGTTTGTTTGCTAGGTAATCTGGTACAAAACAGCTAAAACTTTACTGACTATCTGTAGAACAGATTTTGGCTTTCTATCGACTATCTCAGTCTTAAAGGCCTATCTGCCAGTCTGGAGGGCCTTAAAGGAGATCAAGAGAGGCACTGGAGGATGTCCATCAGAGGTTTCTGTAGCGTCACAAACCCTTGCTTACCATTGTCCCATATCGATCTACACGGAGGAGATTATCTCTTTTGAAAGACCAATGAATAAGAGCTCCAGAAATTCCCTGTTCAACCTCTCATCGAAATGCTAAACTACCTCCACCTAACAGACAAACGGGCAACTCACGATGTTAGCCACCCAGCTCGTTGTCTTCCAATCACTCGGTTCGATTGCGGCGAGCGTCCACTACGATATCGCGATCCGGGCTATCGAGACATCGATTGTCAATAGCAGCCATAAGGGCAGCAACAAGAGGAAGGGAATGTGGGGCAGAGAAGGATACAGGCGGAGCAAGAAAGGAAGATCAGAAGGCAGGAGAGAAGAGATTTATTGTTGAGCGGGCGCATAGTTTGGGGAACGAGCTAAAGGGGGGGAGAGTCTTGCATGAACAGTGGACGAGAACTAAAATGGAATGCGGGAAACGGGCAACGTTGAGAAAGCACTGGAGTTCAGGCAGTCATGCTGGGACAGAGGTGATTACAGATTCATCGTTGGCTAGGGCCTTTTGGATGTGATGTGAGGGTGAAAAGAAACGACGGAAAAGCATTGAGGCCACAGCCCAGCGTGTTGAGAATGGAACAACAAGAAGAGTTGCGACCACAGTCAGAGAGTAGTTGCTGAGAGGCTGTGGCAAGAGATGAAAGACCCGGATGGTATCATCAAGAGGAGTAATCAGGACAATTCTTAGGCATCGTTTCGCTTCAGACATGGATCAGTCTTGTATATAATCAGGGTCCCACATTCTCTTCATGTTCCGTGTTCTGTCTTCCTCCAGATCAACACGTCCATCACCATCTCGGTGCCTTGTTCAGTATCAGCTTGTGTCTATTCTTCTGTTTACTATGTTTACTTCGACGCGGTGGTGGTGATGGCATCGGTGTTTAGATCATCGAGATACGGGACGAGGTTATTGGCAATAATCGGACGCAAAGCAGAATCAGGCGGTGTCGGTTCAAGTTGAGGTTTGTTTGTTTCGCTGGTTTCCTTGTATCGGCGCGTGCATGGAGAGGAATGAATAGCGGTTGTAGGTCCTTAAGGCTATACCTAGATTCTTGGTATCGGCTAGAGCATTGCGTCTGTCAGTACGCGTGAAATAGCGAACGGAAGGAGACCAAACTCCCTCTGCTCCAAACCTTGAGTTTCGGTAGGCAATGTTTAACTTGAATCATGAAAGATGGGGATGATGATGCGTGTCGGTCTTAATGGAGAGATCCAGCTAACTCAAGCTAGAGGGAATTGCCACTGTAGGTATAGCTGGCAATACCAAGCATAAAGGTCTGCGATTTGCGAAGGAGTAGATTCGAGAAGTGCCAGAACCCTCTATCAAAGACAGGGGTGCAGGGCAAAGAGCCCTTGCTGCACTAGTAGACTAGCGGTCTGATAAACAAACGCCCAGAAACTTCTCGTACAATGTGACTGACCAGTGTGTATTAGCTCTTGGCCTTATCAGCCTCTCTTCACGTTCGTCTGCCCTAAGGGATTCCTAAAGTTGAGAGCCGACCATAGCCATTTGGGTGCAAGTTGCTTGATTCGGACCGGATCCTTTGAAATGTGTCAAAGGCTCAGCATCACAGTCTTTGGTCTACCAAAATACCGGCCCTCCAGGGTGCTCGAGACCATGACTTGTCGTGTCTGGGTATCCGACAGCTTTGTTGTGTTTGCCTTTCGTTTCGTGGGTTGGGATTGATTGGTTTGGTTCGCCTCGGGTCTGGCGGTTACGAGGAGACCACTGCGGATATGAAAAGGCTAAGCGCTCTCGCTAATCTTTTTGGTGACCGAGGGCAATCCCACTGGCGACGATCGTAGTGCGCGAAGAGGCGCGCTGCGAGATGCCCTCGATGGGCTCGGACGTCTTACCCTCCGGGCTCGTGCATTTCGGACGTATTGTCACTCTCGGTGTACAGATCCTCGATATTCTGGCGCGCAACGACTACATCAGGGAGCTTCGCGGGCGTCACGGCGCACTCCGCGGAGCCTCGATTGACGTACAAGCCCGATGTCTTGCGCAGGGTGACGGATGTATGCACTTGATAGCGACGTTCGTACTTGGATTCTTGAGCTGGGGAGCTTGGAAGCGGGTCGGTCGCTGGAGAGAGTCCTTGCCGTGAAACAAGCAGAAAGACGTGCTCAAAGCTCTTTGATAGTTCACAATCAATGAGTAGAAATTCGATAAAAGAGAGCAATACAGATTTGGTTGGTTATATTGACATCCCCACCAACTGGTCCTCGGGTAGTCTCTAGTAGCAGTTGGAGAGCGAATACGTCGGCATGTGGTGCCAGTTTCATTGTCTGCGGTTGGCGATCGGAGTCAAACAACTGGAGACCATAAGCCCATTTCTTGTAACCCCTGTTGCCTTGTGCGGTAATAATGTTCTTGGGCGTCAATACAGATGGCAGCCCCCTTGATCAGTGCCAGTGGAGCCGGGACACCACACCTGAACAGTTTCTGCTGCGATTGACAGTTCCCAGTACCTTCCAATCCTTCATTTGATTATATGATTCGTAGCATTTCTTGGTTTCCACATATGACCCCTTACTAAATCACACTTAGAGAGTGGCTGTGTACGTACCCTCGAGATCTTAACCTTGTTATACCCTCTAGGCTAAGCTTGCCGTACAAAGCAAACAATATTCACCTTGTTACACGATCTCTTCCTTGGCATGTAGAGCGGTGAGATATGTCAACATGGGGAATTTCGAATTGATCTTACAATTGAGAGCGTTCAACGTACATACACACAACATGTGTTTATCGATTCGCACCTCCTCCCTCCTCTAATAGATAAATAGGTACTGAATACATATACCTGATACAGACATTGATGAGTATGACGACCAGAATTCGAACAACTGCCCTTTCTACATTTCTTCCCCGGGCACATGATCCGGAACGCAACAGTAAATACCATATCAGTCTACTTGTTCAAGACCAAGGAAAAGTAGACAGTGAACACATCAATGACACACTGACATGTTTTTGTGATTGTTTCAGCCAGCTGACAAGTCAGAATGCGAGAGCTGACCAAAGATATCGCTCTTGTCAGTCGTCGAGCGATCCCTCAGACTGATCATCCTCCTCCTGGTTTGACTCAGCATCAGTGTCATCGTCCAAATTGTCGTCTTCATCGCTTGTTTCGCCAAAATGGATTCCTCCATTAACAAGACGCCAGTTCAGCCAAGCATCACTACCTTCGTTGTCATCGCCACCCTCAACGCCATCACCACCCGCGGGGGAACCCCCTGTTCTGGCCGGGTATTCGTGTACACCGTTCTCGCATTCTGCGACACATGTAGTCCGAAGCTCGATAGTATCACGGGGCGGCTGGTGTCTCAAAGCAAGGCCAGAGTCCTCCAAAAGAACCGATCTTCCATGCGGCAGACTTCTCACCGGTCGACGAGGCCTAACTTTGCGAGCCTTCGCGGATCGAAGAGACTGACGCACTCTCTCGTACATCAGGTCAGGATCGGTGTCACCCGGAACCGGCCTATTCCAGATATGACACCAGTACCCAGAAAAGGGAAGATCTTGAAGCGCTTGATCTGCATCTGGACCAGTAAGCTCCTCCCAGACTAGTTCCCATCCAATTGTGCAGTCTTCGTCAGTGATGAACTCCCCACATAAATAGCTGTATTGGGCCCAGAGTGGCCACAGACGACTGCCGGAAAATAACCGCGAGCCAAAGTCAAGTCTGTCCTCCCAATCAATAGTATCATCAAGGACATCTTCTTCATAGTCGTAGAGAATAGTGACAATAGTCTGCGTGGTGCCGAGACAGTTGTTGAAGAGTTTGTCCAGAGCACACCACGTGCATATTGCTGCGGGTGCATTCTTGAGAATATTGAAGCATTCCTTATCCTTGTCAACCATGAAGAAGTCGAGATCTCGAACAAATGCATGTTTGACGAAGCTCATATCCTCTGCGAGGGTAAAAGCAGTTGGGTTTCCATATTCCTCCGTGAAGTCTTGAAGACGGAATTTGAACATTGCGCGACATGTGATCGAATCGATGTAAAAGTAGTCCATTGACGGTCGCACGATGATGTTCATGTCGAGGTCCCAGGCGCGGATACTGACATAGCGCTGATTGCGGAGGGCCGCAATACGTGCCTCCTTGCTGACTCTCAGAAGGGGGTTCGAGTTGTACTCTACCAGACGGTCGTTTTGGCAGTGTCCCTGGATGAAGATGTACGGACGCAAGCGAATGTTTGTGGGATCAGAATGGTCGTCCGGGTCGTCCATGCCCCAGATCAGTGTCCAAGCAACGGATGGATTGTCTTCGTAATCATTCAGGAATTCTTCCCAAATCATGAGGCGTATCTCGTACGGAAAGTTGGAGAACTGGTGAAACTTCTTCCGCAAGCGCTGATTGAGTCGTTGGGATCTTGCTTTGCGGGAACTGGGCTGCGGCTCTTGGGCGGTGCTCAGTGACCGCGTGGTCATCTTGTGGGTGCGCATCTCGACGGCGCTGTCCATTTCAGGGGATTGAAGCCCCAGAACGGGCAAAGGGGTTGAACAGTAGACAGGTCCGGGTTGAAAGGAATGAAGTATGGGAAGAGTTGATTCGAAGTACGAGGGTTAAGGAGCTCGACTTCAATCCCGTGCGACGGAATCGACTAGAAGACGAGGAGTGGGAGGAAAATTTTCGATCGAAGGGCGGAAAATTAGGCATCCATGACAGACGTGCTCTTTGAAATAGTCAGAGGGAAGGAGCAAAGGGTCATTCAAGTGACTCTTGCTTGTCAAAAGCGGTCAACAGATGAGTGTCCCAGTTGCAGTGGTTGAAAACCGGGAAGGCAGGCACGCCTCAAGAGTAGTCAAACACCCCACCCTTCGAGGTCCAGCCCCCAGGCCTACACGTAGTGACCGTGGCCCACTGACGAGTGTACCGTAGAATTCAAGTTCTGGGGGATAGCTTTCCAGGGAAATCAGGCATGGTCTGTAAGCATACTGCAAAATGCCTCATGCCCACCAACATTTCTATGGAAGACGATGACTCTGAATGTCTCTACCCTCCAGTGCCTTGGAAAGATAGGTAGAAAAGGTGAGGTAGGGTACAAGATGGATCGAAATTACAGCTGAGTGCTCCGGGGTGGCAACACCTCTCCCTGATTCTATCTTGCGGGCATAAAATGTACATATTCGGGCAGGATGCTTCCAGATCCTGCCTGGTTTTCCCAGAAGTTCAAAAGCTATCCCCCGTAATTCTACGGTAGGCAGGAATCTTTGATGCAGTTGGAAATGTTTGCAGATGATGTAAACGCAAGGCTGTGGGTTGGTGACAGCCTGCCTAACCTTCCTTGCCCTGCATCACCTTGTGTAGAGGTACCAAAGCCTCGGGCTATTATTTTGTATCGACCATGTCCACTTGCGCCTTGGTAGATACATCTCCAAACTCGGATGTCTCTCGGCTACTCATCGGGGCCGTCCCAAACCAACACCAACCCAGTGCTGCGAGGGGCTAGGGCCTATTTTCTTTCCAGCGCGTGTGTTTGCTTTGATCCTTGACGAACCGACACTGCTATAAGGAAATCTGACCTCTTCAGAAGCGTGATTAATACTATTTTGGTCGCCCGCTCGAAAGTGACCACGATCCTAACCATGATGCCGAACACCGACCGTACCTATAAAAGCACCACCTGCCACCACAAGACCGACCGCAAGCATGGACAGAAGCGCGACCGTAACCGCAGCCACGGCCACACCCCCCTATCTTCCTCACGTCGCTACTCGATACCGCCCACTCCCTGATTCGATGATCGTGAAAGCTACCGATAGCGAGCTGAAGCTCAGGCCCTGTTGGTGTAAATGGCGAACTGAGAACCAAGCCAGTGGTAGGCAGACCATACGGGCACGCCGCACGTATATAGCGAAGTGTCGTGCGATATTCAGTTCAAAAGAAGGCAACAAAGGTACTCGGATGGGCTTAAAACGTCGTTTTAGACCCCAGGCTTAGCGACTTTTGAATCAAACCACCAGATACTATTGGCCCAGGTAGAGCCTGGGATATTGAAAGGGCGTCGCTTCTAGCCCCAATGACCGGGGAAGTGAATAGATGGACAGATATGCCAGAGAGGATGAGAACTGAGAAGCATCTGAGGAGCTTTTATAGCCATTCTGCAGGACGAAACTTCAATAGCAAGCGACAGAAGCGGTCAAAGGCCCTTCGAGCGGTCAAGAGCATATTCGTGATCTCATCCTGAATCGCTTCCTCGCTCTCGATCTCGCCTCCAGTACAAGAACTGAGAACGTCCATGCCTGTCATAGCAATGTCCTCCCTGTCGAGGTCCACTACCCGAAGCTTAGGACATGATGCTCCCCATCTAGTTTCTCGGGTTGGACATCTGGGCGGCTCAGTAACTCCACGTTCTGGGTTTCTCTGCCCCTGATACCTCCAGCACTTGCCAGCCCCCTTCCGCAGGCCAGCAACTTTCATGCACCCGTTGGGCAAAGCTCGTCTTAGATGGCCCCCAGTCCCGAGTTGCTGTCAGTGCAAGGCCACGCAAAGAAACAACAAATCATTGATCACCTGCTTCGTGGTAGCATGTGTTCTCCCGTTGATGTCTCTACTGTGGTATCACAGTACCTAGGTGGTCTACAAGTCTAGGATCTCGGATCTTTGGTTGGGACAATTTCTAATGGTTGGTGTGAATGATGATGGCTTTGTTGTGTCCTCCCCGTGGTTCAGGCCGCTGTGGACTTCAGGCTCTTACAGCTCTCTGCTGCGGCGCTCGCTCCTTGATTTGTGGAGGACCCAGTCTCAGCCAGGCCGGCCCTGGCCTAGATCGTTTGTTGAAAGTATCTCCTCCAATAAGACAAGGCGATCCAGACCAGATGATGGGTGATTTTTGTGTCGGATAATTCAAGCTTGGGAAAGGGCTCGGGGGGACGAGGCAGAGTACGCCCACATTCTGGGGTTTGGAGGTGGTTTGGAGGGGTTGGTCACGACTGCCCACCCGACAGCGGCCGGCACCAAAGCGGCGATTGTACATAGGTACCTTATCGGCTAATCAGGCTTATAAGTACCTCCTAAGGTAGACGGGCTAGTAGAAAACATCCATGGTCAGGGGCATGGGGTTCTACACCAGTATCAGTTGTAAGGAACATCTTTTCGTGATGTCTCGTTTGCGAAGATCGACTAAATCTTCAGCATGGACTGGAGCGGTACACCCATTCGAATAATTACCGGTTACAGCATCATGCTGTTGCTGCTTCCATGAGACCGTGGCCTTCCATCAAGCATCACCAGGATACCTGGTATGAATCGATATGAGCTTGTCATGTGGCTTCAACCCTAAAACCCCATCCTCTCTAGCATCATGTCCAAATAACCATCCGATTCCCAAACTCAGTGCATCAAAGAATTCGTCAGTTTGCATTTACCCACGCTGGTCTCACATCTGTCGAGTTCTGATACCGAAGCCAGGTCGCTCCTTCTTCTCTCCATTCGCGATTACTCTCGACTTATTCCCCATCGATAATTCCACATTTGCCATGGCTACCTCTAGGTACAATGGCAGACAGGACAGGACCGGTTGAAGCCTGCCTCCGCTCACCAAAACAATGGAGAGCAGTACAAAGCGGGAGCAAAGTCAGAAGGACATCTGGAATGACGACATGACCACATAGTGTAGATCCCATCTTGTTCCTGCCAGGCAACGAATGGGGAGATCTCTGGACGCGTACGCTCGGGACGGATGCAATGCAGATCATGGTGTGTGCTGTTTACTAACTCGTTCCCCGCACCGGCACCACCAGGCACAACAGGCAGCTTCCCAGCATCCTTTGCAGTCCGAGTCCAAGAAACACAACGCAACACTTTTGACCGACCGTCTTGAAGGCACCACCCAGCAACCATCTGCACTTCCGCCACATCGGGTCGGACTTCATCTCGGGTGACACACAGAATCTGGATGACGTCGCCGTTACGGATGTCTACCAGCTGACTTGTCTGCATCTCCGCATTGTCCTCCTTTCCGTGCAGCAACAGCAGTGCCATCATGCTGCCCATGGGAAGGAATAAAGTGTGTGCCCTCTTCTGTTGAGCGATCCGGGCGATTCTCTCGCTGTTCTCCCTTTCATCAACATATCACCAACCGGCTTCTTGGGTAGTTGAACTCGGTACTTTCAAAGCAACATGATCCATCCAGAGCAAGTCGCCGACATGCTTCGGCCCACCACATCCACCACATCTAGCCATGTGCCGGGACCAGTCCCGACCGTGGTCCGTACGTCTCCCGTCCCCGTCTTCTTGGTTCTCTCCTGCTAGACTGAATTCCGAGACTAACATTACGTGAACCAGCTACTCCAACAGAGTATCAAACCCTTGGCGAAACAGGCCACCGCACTCTATGGGTGACCTTCGCCCTCATGGTTCTCTCGTCGGGCATCTTTGCCCTCCTGTCGTGGAACGTGCCGACCTCGAAGCGTCTGTTCCACGTCATCACAACGCTCATCACCGTCGTTGCCTCGCTCTCGTACTTCGCCATGGCCACGGGCCACGCCACCACCTTCAACTGCAGCACCGCCTGGGACCACCATAAGCACGTGCCCGACACCTCACACCAGGTGTGTCGCCAGGTGTTCTGGGGCCGCTACGTCGACTGGGCCTTGACCACACCGCTGTTGCTGCTGGAGCTGTGCCTGCTGGCCGGCGTTGATGGCGCTCACACGCTGATGGCAATTGTGGCGAACGTGATTATGGTGCTGTGCGGCCTGTTCGCGGCGCTGGGAGAGGGAGGAAACACGGCGCAGAAGTGGGGATGGTACACCATTGGATGTTTCTCGTACCTCTTCGTCATCTGGCATGTGGCACTTCATGGCAGCAGGACTGTTACAGCCAAGGGACGTGGTGTCTCAAGGCTATTTACCGGTTTGGCTGTGTTTGCGCTGTTGCTGTGGACTGCGTATCCCATGTAAGTGCTTCATTCGTAATCGTGTGCTTCCTGGTTGTTGCTAACAGGACCACCTTTCACAGTATTTGGGGAATCGCCGGTGGTGCTCGCAGAACGAATGTCGATACCGAGATCTTGATTTACACCGTTCTCGACTTGCTGGCAAAGCCCGTGTTTGGCTTCTGGTTGTTGCTGAGCCACCGGGCCATGCCCGAGACCAATATTGACCTCGCCGGCTACTGGTCTCATGGCCTTGCTACTGAGGGTAGAATCCGCATCGGCGAGGAGGACTAAGCGGCGATCATTGAAGATGAAGGTTGAGTACGTGGTAGACAATGGTGTAGGGTGTCGGAGACGCCTTGGGTCAATGCATGCTGGACTTATTGTGGGTATTGGAGCGTTTAGGTTGAGGAACAACTTGAGTCGGCTTTCTAGGCTGGAGACGGACGCTGTGGTCATTTTTACGGCAATGAACGAATAGGGGAGGTTTTTGACAGTCATTTTTACTGCGGCTAAAAGTGTGTATAATCATAACAGCTTATTTTCGAGTAAACCTACGGAAGACACAAATGAAAGAAATTGCATTGGACCACAAATGGTTCTTGTCTTGCAACTGTTTTGATCACCGTGGGCGTTCAACTACTGTTAGAGTTGCCTTTTCCCTCCCTCTACCGAGGGGCAGCTTGCCAGGTCGATATCAACTTGAGCGAGGCATTAGGACCATCAGCCATCTCTTCATCAAATCATCCAACACGACATTACAGCCGCATCACAGATCGCATAATCCCATGCTCCATGATACCCTACACAACTGCAGATTTAATGACGATCAAAGGCATGTGAACGAATCAATCACCTTCTCTCTGCAGTACAGCCTGTGTTTTTTCCGCAAGTGCTCAGGCGAGAATCAAAGCTATCATGAATTACATGACAATGATGAGCACTTGCTTTTTCCCCAAGTCCTGATCAAACCCAGAATCAGCATGCGTGAATGTGCAGATATCCCTGTTTGTACATATGATCGCTCAACTAACTTCTAGTTGGCCCCGTCACAGCCAGGGACGGGTGAGTTGACGTTGCATCCCGCTATAAAGGTCGCAGTTAGTTATGCGGGCTTTTGTTCCTATTTTCCGCTGTATTTTCGAAACCGTTATCTCGACAGGGCAGCGGGCACTTTAGGGGAGGGAGCTTCAACTTCCATTCTTTTGAAGGTAGGTACCTTGGTGTCCATCAACGGGCTTCACAAATTCTTCCAAAACGATGGAGTCACTTGTGGCATGAATGGTCACTCTGTAAATGCTTTGCTTGTGTGTTTTCCCTGCCGTTCCCGCTCCCGCTCCCGTTACCGTGGCCCTTTTGTTGCCTTGCGTACTACCTTACTTCATATGTATATTTCCCTCGTCATTGAAGAGTATGAAACCGTTGTCGGTCGGTTAGACGCCTCATCAGATCGTACATACCGTTTCTATTGACTGCATGGGTAGACGGGACGGAGAAGTTTACTTTGAATCGAACATGACTTCTTCTTGACCAACAAAAAGAATCCTGTGCCACAACATATGATAAGGTCAATGACGGCTCCCCCTTTGGTGAAGGAGTCGCGGAAATATATGAACAGAATCAGTAGCTCTAGTGGCGGTGACAACTCTTTCTCGTTGCCGGCTTAAGCCTTGAGGCGGATATCGTAGCGAAAAGGGGGATCTCAACATTACCACCATCTACGGTACGTACACGATACAACAGCAGCGAAGGTGGTTCCCCTCGGAAATAACAAACGTTACATTCCACTTTCTTTCTTCATGAGTGCCCAGTCTGATGCAGGTTAGCGACGGGAGGTTAGGTATGGTTGGTTGCAGTTGCTAAGGTAATTTGACAGGGCGAGACGGGCACTGACACGTACATTCGGGAGGGTTGCATCATGGGAGGTTCAAGGTTGTATCCGTCGAGTCTTTTCTATTTCGGTTTCTTCTTCTGTTTTTCGGTGAAAGTTTGCTATAAATTGCATTTCATAGAGGGATACGGTGTTTCATCATCTTTTTCACCTGCCGCGAACGATGTGGTTGATACAGAGTCCTGCGTAGAAAAAATGACAAACAACTCGGAACTGAAACACGCGACACGGGAGAAACCACGTTTGAACGGGATCTAATAGAAGGGATTGACGTGTTCCCGTCGGGTCCGGGTGTTGCTATTTGTTTCTTTGACGGAAACGACGACGTGTGGAAAAAAAAAATGCTCTTGAGACACCAGAACTCTTTCCAAGGAATGTCTTGACATATGAAGAATGGAATGTGAATATTTCCATCAACAGGATGGAAATGACGAAGGCACTGGAAAGCCCTGCCTGCGTATGTAACATTGTAACGGATGCGCTGTAACTGCGTATCGACTTTAGCCTGAATACAATTGTTACGCTGAATGCTGATAAATACCGGGGTATGGGGTAGAGCTAAGTCCGGATAGGGCAGTGATGAGCACTTTGTATGTACGTGTAAGAGTTTGTTACCGGTAGCAGCTTATCACCGTCTATGCGCAGCGCTCGCTGTCTTCAGAATTTCGGTTACCTCGACGATATCAAATCGTGATGATGGAAGCAGTCCTGGTGTAGTGGATTCTTGAGCACAGAAAGCACAGTGTGATGGAACGGAGAGGCATGAAGCATACGTAAAGCGTGCATGGACTTGTGGTGGCCAGCACAGCGCAACTGTCCGATGCCTCAAATAGCACAGCTCTCGGTTTGCACAACGTCGAGGGCGATGTATGACACAGCGGAACGCGGGAAGCGGCTACTCAGAGCCCCGACCGTTCGCGGCGAAGCTTCAGGGCGCTACGGGCCACGAGCAAGTGTCAAGCGGACCGGACGGTCAGTTTAAGGCACTCGCCCTGTTCGTTTTCTCGCTTCGAGTTCCCGAAACCGTTGGTGAGCCGGGAGGATGGGACTTTGTAATCACTTACCCTTTTTCTCGCACTCAATTTTCTTGCCACCTTTGTTCTTGTTGTTTTTTTCGCGTCGGCCGATACGGCCACCGCCGCCGTAGCCATCAATTGGGGTTTTCGATGCTCGATCACCAGCCATCAGGAATATCGACAGTCTGGTCAACCTTCAATAAAGGCCAACTTCTCCAACTCGATCTGTCCCCTCACCTGATGCTTACCGCCACTGTCCCCATTCGCCTAACAAGCTCTGCCAACGCCACCCGAAACTTGTGGCGTCTGGGGTTAGCAAAGGTTTGCTTCTTATTGGAGTCATCAAGCGGGGTAGACGGTATGCGGAAACTGGCAAATTCTGCGTAGAATCAACAGGTCGAGAATCGGAATGGCATTTCCTGTCTTTCTCGAACGAGGCGCCTCGGCGCTTCACCTGACAGCGCCAAGGTCGATCTTTTTTTTTTTTTTTTTTTTTTTTTTTTTTTTTTTTTTTTTTTTTTTTTTTTTTTTCAAGCGTGCCAGATACCGAAAGCGACTCGAAATCTGATGATGGACAACGTCGATAATAGTCCAGCCTGGGATGTCGACGTTCCAGAGTACACTAGATCTCGTTGTACGTTGGGTCGAGTTTTGGATAGCTAAGCCGTCACCACGATGGAAGACTGGCTAACTGGCTCAACTGGAGCAAGGAGCAATCTTGATGGTCATGATATCTGTTTCGTCGCCATTTCTAGACACAATTAGTGTTTGCACGCTCCTCAGGCACATAATCTGACAGCACTCACACGACCATGAAGTTGTAAGGAGGCAAAGGGGTTGACGAAAGCAGAAACTCACCGTCACAAGATGACAAGACCAAAAGCGTTGCCATGGCTTGACAGAGGGTGCCCTTCGCTGGCACTATCCAAAGCTGATATCTGCTTCTTCAACCTTTCGGCTCGTAAACGAATCATCCTTCGCAATTTCCAAATTCGCTCCCGGATCGCGAATGACAACGCCTTCTTGCTAAAGCGGCACGGTACGGCAGAGTAGCCGATCCTGTTGGTCAGAACACCCCCCAGAACGGCCCGAAAAGAAGACAGAATAGGGAAAACATCCGGCCATCGACCTCCAGTCCTCTGCACCGCGTACCCAATAGTGCCACACACGACCACGACATGGGGAAATAAAAAGGATGCAAAAGGGGAAAGGGGGGGGGGGGGGGGGCAGAGGCCACCAAGCGGGTGGTGGGGCCGGAAGAAGCACGTCGACAGAAAGGGATTGGCTACCTTTACCTCGGTCACTGCCACGCCGTAGTAACACAGGAACGGATACCACTCTAATTTTCTATGTGTCCATCCCAGTCCACCCGTCCACAGCGCCAAACGTCTCAGCAGTCCGTTTTTCTCTCACAGGTAGCCGGACAAGCTTGAATTCCTCGTGGATGGACAAGGCTGACATGAGTAACCTCGTGTAGAACGTATCCGGTCCTGAAGACTGATTTGGAGATCCGGCAAACTACGAGTTGCGATCCAAAACAAAGAGCGCTGGTACCACTCGGAGACCCAGGTCAAACCAGGCGTGGAATCGCAGAAATTTTACAACTGTGGTCGAGTGTACCCAGGCAGCAGACTTGTAACTGGTAAACAGTCAGGGCTGCCTCAGCCTGTCAGGCTACCAAACGATGGGAAGTTTCTTTCACACATCATCGCACATCCTGAGAGAGTCAGGCGACAGATGCAACAAAGGGCGCTTCCAGCCCGCAAAGTGGGGTGCCAAAAAAATCAACAAAGAAAGAAACATTTGTCACATGAGACCACACATTTGCTATCCAGGGGCACATGATGCGGGATACCGTCCAGGCTGGCTGGCGGCCGGATACGTCGAACTGTTCCAACTGTCGGAGCAGTCCTCGATCTGTCGCGTACACCGTAGGTAAGAAATCGAATGATGACGGGGCATCATGTTGCGGTGTGAGAAATACCCAGCCCCCCTCCTCTGGGATCCAAAGAGCGAGGGCATTCGTGCACTGGAAGTGTAATTAGGGCATGTTTACCAACAGGTTTTGCCATCGTGGTCAGTGATAGGAAATCCCAGCGCCAAAAACCTCAAGGCAGCATGAGCATTTCCATACCTCTATCCACCCAGCAATCCCGGATAAAAAGAGCTTTTTCCAGAAGGGCTCGGCGAGCTAGGTAGGTACGGGATCGAACTCTGAGCCAAGGGGGCAACAGAATGGTACACTACTGAATGGTAGTCGAGAACTGACGGTGGTGGCTCAATGGCTTTACTACCTAGGGAGTGAGGGAGTATGCCCGTAGAGGTAATCTCCTAGAGTACCTACTGGACTGTGGTAACGGCGGACAGCCACTCATGTCATGAACACAACTTTTTAGCTCCTTGGCCTGGGCAGGCAAAGCCCGATGCCAAGCGCTGGCGAAGGAAGTTGTTGTGCTGAAGGAAGGAACAAGGGTGAATGGGATACCCCACTGTCGCCGCTTCGGTCCCCTTCCCGCCGGTCTTGCAACTTTTGTCGAGACTTTCAAACTTGTAGTGTACGCTGGAATTAAAGTCACATGCCATTCCCCAAAAAAAAAAAAATGTTATCAAGACGACGACCCAAACCCAGACGATATCATATGGTGGTATTGGGCGGAGATTTCCCCAGATTTGTTGCTCGTTCGTTATTCTCCTCAATCGCACGCGTCAATCCACCCGTCCCATGGGGAAGAGAAAAAAAACCACACAATCATGGGGTTAATCTGGGGAAAACAAGATCGCAAGGTCGGGGCAAAGTGAGGGGATTGGGGGAATGGACTGGAGAGACTGGAGAACAATGGAGAATATTGGAACTTTGGAGTCAATCTAGATGCGAAAGACTCCACAAAAGGACCGTTTACAAGCGGCCCTGCCCTGCACTTGGAGTGGTTTGGGCCCCTGTCGCCCCGGACCACGTTGCCATGCTTGTCCTAGTGGAGGTTGCGCGCGCCGCCCGGTGCCTGACTCCACAGAAATGTTGGGGTCAGCAAGCGTTCTGGATTTCTTTGGGACGAACAGATGGAGGGTGTCTGGCTAAGTGGTGTTGTAACATTCGACGTCGTGTAAGGGACAGAATGTTACGACGATTGTTACCATTGCTGAGTGACGTTGCTCATATAACACAGTCTTATAGAGCAGCGGCTCGGCGCGACTTGGTCGTGGTGCACTGTGATCTGTTTTGGTTCAAGGGAAGGCTTGTTGGGAGCGAATGGCGACAACTGATAAGTGATAATAGCGTCGCCGTCGTGTCGCTGTCGCCAAAGCGTCGGGACAGATGGAGAGCGGAGACCCGGCCCTACGCACCAAGCGACGGCAAGTAACGGTGCCGATGATGCCCAAAACAAACCTGACGCTCCCATCCAGAGAGGCACCGGGTCAAGTAGCCCCGAGTATGGGTACGTGACATGGCGTATGTATGGTATGCGGTATACGAGTCAGTGTTGGTGATACCCCGAACCCAATCATTCAATAACGCTTTACCCGGATTAGTCCGAGTACAGTAGCTGATGATGATGTATGTAGTGCGCCCACAAAAGCGCCGGTACTAATGTGCAAATACTGCCGAAGGATGGTCATTCGTATCTTCTTACCAAGCAGGCGGGATGTTGACAACTTGAACCTTTGGGACACGTCCTTGTCTGGATTCTTGGGGGCTCCTTGTGGGAGGATAACATCGAGCTTGGCCTCACTTGTAACTGGTAAGCAGTGAGAGATGGCTGACTCGTTTGGGCTCCTTGGCGACCACGATGTCAGTTCTGGGCATCGTTCGATACGTACTCTGATGCTCGTGTAGGGAGAAGCCCTGCGAGCATGGTAGGCATAGCTAGAAATGAAAAGGGTATTGTGCTGCGTGCCACCATGATCACATACATAACTTCAGCCTCAAAGTGATCCATGTTGTGGTTGTGGTTGTGTCGAGGAAACCCAGGACCCTAATTCTGAAATCTGGTGGTACGACAAGGCTGGACGGGGTCACTCTGGGTTATACTCGGTCCTTGTGTTCAACCCATTGCAGATTTCATCACTGCTGAAGATTCGATACTGATACTAACTGGGTATTGGACAACGGTGCATCGTTATCAACGTCAGGATCGTCTCCAGTTTCTCTGATCCTCATCAAGGGTTTGACAGCAAAGGGGCAAGAACACGTCCGTGCGACTATTCAACCCACAACACTACGAACTCAAACCTAAAACCTTTCGGCTACTGCAACGAAGATCGTTGGGTAATGTGATTGCGATCATGGGTGACAGAAAAGTCTGGTGCAGGGAACAAGGTTTTGGACGACGAGTTTAGCTTTGTTACGATTGTTACACAGCTCGTTGAAGGAGGCGGGATTTTGTACCCCCCTTCCCGGCTGGCCCATGCTTCTAGAGGATTGGTTCAGGCAGCCGTCAAGGCCGGCCAACAAATATTCTTTCCAAAATTACACGCAGGAATTGTTCCATTCCATTCGACCCTTGAAAAGCCACAGTCAATTACATACAACTATACGCACAGGAAGAACAGAGATCTAAGTCACCTCATACTGAGATTTTGGAATTGGAAGTTTAAAGCCAAAGATGAATGCTCCTCGTTCACTGTGTGTAACGGCTGGGAATATTGAAATGCATCGCTCATGCAAGAGAGCAGAATGGAATAGAAGGGAACTTGAAAGGGTTTTGAAGAGCAGGATGAGAACACTGGAGCCCCGGTCTCGCTTCCTTCTAGAAGCACATCCTTCATCTACACTTTCATCAACGGATGCAAATCATCACCGTCACCATCACCATGGTTTGCCAAGTAATGGGTGTCGCCAACGTCCCGGAAATAATCTTTAGCGTAGTGTGTCATGGCCCAGAAAAGGGGCTTCGAAGATACGTACCGTACCGTAGAAATCATTCCCGTTTGCATAGGGGAATTGTAACCACACCCCACGCGCGAGCTGGACGGGCGTCCACTCGGTCAATCGCCAAGTTGGGAATAGAGAAGTCGCTGTGATAACATCAATCACCCGGGAGCTACGGAACAAGAGTGCCAAGCGAACGTTTCTCCCAGGAAATGCAGCTTTGACGTCTTGGTGGTGATGTCGGGCTGGTAGTGGTTGGGACTCTGGTTGCATGGCGGTGGGACTGGACCTCGGCTTAGTTTTGAGCGCGAACAGTTGACCGAGGCGGAAACGCAAACGGTGTGGAATGCGGGTGATCTGGAGGAGGTCTCTTCCATTCCCGGCGGGCGGTCCGGCTTGTATCCATACCTCTATGATGGATGATGATGATGCCGTCAAGAAGTCGCCCCATGCATCCCGTTGAAGAAGAGCGAAAGAGCAAGACACGTATCGAAAAGAATGAAACAATGAAAGACTGACGACCGGGAGCAAACAATGCTAATTCGGGACTGGACCGAGACCCAAGACATTCCATACCGGGCGGAAGAAGAGTTGAGAATTGATGCGATTCAAGACGCTGTTACTGTAACAAAAACGGGGGGTTCAGCGGTTGTGTCTCAGGTAATTTTGCGTCAGGAATGTAACGCACCGAAACGGGGTTCAGAAGCGCTGTACGGATGCGTTCCTTCACATGACTTTACAATACGGATACGGCTTACCAGGGGGGTAACGATTCAAAATTTCAGCGACATCTCGAGAGGGAGCAGACACAGACTGTTCGAGGCCAAGATCTAGTGCAGACCAAGCTCTCTCGCTCGGCGTTATTCTGCATCTCTCGTGCATGGCGCTGCATGGATGAACAAGGAGGATGGCCACAATCTGGGGACCCCATGGAGAGGGAAGGCCACCCCTGAACAGAAAGATATGGGATGGGATGGGATGGGCCACTCCTCCACCATCCTGCGCCTTTCCAACCAACCCCAGACCCAGCACTCCAGACCCTCTCCACGATGGGACTTTTGCTGGATTTGGGGTAGAATCTTCCTTCTCCGCAACACATGGGAGTGGTCTTGCACGCGACCCCCCGGGCGGGACAATGGCGAAATCCCCAAGGAGCATCTTGCCAAGTTGGGGAAATCGCCCTCTGTCTGGCTCGGTCTGGCTGGTCTAGGTGCGAATCTCCGTTTTCTGACTGGCCGGATCCGACCAAGCCCTCCGCAGCCACCAGAGTCCCACCCTCCCCCGTCTTCTCCAACTTGGGAATCTGTGGGCATGCGTGTGGTATGGGCATGGGGAAGCCGGCAAGGTTCCAGAGTGTAACCACGGGCATGGGCTGTACTAAGATACAAGACCTTGAACATGCAAACTCAATTTACATAAAGAGCTTCGCATCCCGTTTCTCACCCCCTTTTCACCAGCCGCTTTCTCGACTTCCTTTCTGTGTCATCAACAAGTGATCTACCTCCCTTCATCCCCTCTTTCCTCTTCTCGTCTCTTTTTTGCTTCTTCCCTTGACGACAACCAGACGACAAGAAAGGGAAACCAACAAACACAAGAGTCACAACAAACACCATGTCGTCCACCCACGAGAAGGAGACGGCTCCTACAGCGGCCCACATCGGGCTCGCTCACACCCAAGATGTCGAACGCATCGAAGCCCCTGTCACATGGAAGGCCTACCTCATCTGCGCCTTCGCCTCGTTCGGTGGTATCTTCTTCGGTTATGACTCCGGTTATATCAACGGCGTTCTTGGCTCGCAGATCTTCATCGATGCCGTCGAAGGCACCTCCCCCGTCCGCGATGCGCTTTCTGAATCCCACCAGTCCCTCGTTGTCTCTATCCTATCCTGCGGTACCTTCTTTGGCGCCCTCATTGCCGGTGATCTCGCCGACATCATCGGCCGCAAGTGGACCGTCATTCTCGGCTGTCTCATCTACTTGATCGGTTGCGTGATTCAGATGATCACTGGTCTTGGTGATGCTCTCGGTGCTATCGTTGCTGGCCGTCTTATTGCTGGTATTGGTGTGGGTTTCGAGTCCGCCGTCGTCATTCTGTACATGTCCGAGATTGTGAGTTTTCTTTCATTCCCCCCCCCCCCTGACCGGTTTTCTTCCAGGGCATTTGACTAACTATCCAATGTCTGCAGTGCCCTCGCAAGGTCCGTGGTGCCTTGGTCGCCGGTTACCAATTCTGCATCACCATCGGTCTCATGCTTGCTTCTTGCGTCGTCTACGCAACTCAGGACAGGAAGGATACCGGTGCTTACCGTATTCCTATCGCCATCCAGTTCATCTGGGCTCTCATCCTTGCCGGTGGTCTCATGTGCCTTCCCGACTCTCCCCGGTACTTCGTCAAGAAGGGTAACCTCGCTGCTGCTACCAGCTCTCTGTCCCGTCTTCGTGGCCAGGACCCCAACTCCGAGTACATCCAGGTCGAGCTTGCTGAGATCGTCGCCAACGAGGAGTACGAGCGTCAGCTTATTCCCTCCACCACCTGGTTCGGCTCCTGGGCCAACTGCTTCAAGGGTTCTCTCTGGAAGGCCAACTCCAACCTCCGCAAGACTATTCTTGGTACCTCTCTTCAGATGATGCAGCAATGGTGAGCTTCCTCTTTACTCCTTGAGAAAGGCGGATGGACATGCTAACAAGTAACCAGGACCGGTGTCAACTTCATCTTCTACTACTCCACCCCTTTCCTCAAGTCCACCGGCGCCATCTCCAACACCTTCTTGATCTCTATGGTCTTCACCATTATTAACGTCTTCTCCACCCCCATCTCCTTCTGGACCGTTGAGCGCTTCGGCCGCCGCACCATCCTCTTCTGGGGTGCCCTCGGCATGCTCATCTGCCAGTTCCTCGTCGCCATTATCGGTGTCACCGTCGGCTTCAACAAGACCCACCTTGACGCCAACGGCGAGTCCATCGCCAACAATGTCAGCGCCGTCAACGCCCAGATCGCCTTCATCGCCATCTTCATCTTCTTCTTCGCCTCCACCTGGGGTCCTGGTGCTTGGATCTTGATTGGCGAGATCTTCCCTCTTCCCATCCGCTCGCGCGGTGTTGGTCTGTCCACTGCCTCCAACTGGCTCTGGAACACCATCATCGCCGTCATCACCCCTTACATGGTCGGCGAGAAGCGCGGCAACCTCAAGTCGTCCGTCTTCTTCGTCTGGGGCGGTCTTTGCACCTGCGCCTTCGTCTACACTTACTTCCTCGTGCCTGAGACCAAGGGACTCTCGCTCGAGCAGGTCGACAAGATGATGGAGGAGACGACCCCCAGGACTTCGGCCAAGTGGAAGCCTAGCACCACCTTTGCCCACGCGGCTGAGGATGGTATGCTCAACGTCCCTGCTGAGAAGCAGGTTTAAGCTATGAGCTGAGCGTTGACACTACCGAAAGAAAAAAAAAAGAGAAATAGAAAACAAAAGAAAGAGAGAGAAGATGGACAGACACGCACGCTTTCGACCAACACGGCCAGCGTTCGACAGAGAAAGATGATGGATACCCCGCGATTGTATTTTGAGCGAATGATTTTGATGAGCAAGCACGAGTACGAAAGCAATGAAATGCGTGATGGGAATGATTTTTCTGTACATGCGGTTGGATAGGCTAAGAGTTCTTTATGATATCTCTGAAAATGCGCGGGGTGTGTACGATGGCGCTGGTGTGTGGTGGCTGTCCTGGTGTCGTTGTTGTGGTCTTTTCTTTGTCAATCCTCGATACCTTGGTATACCCTCATCGGATACCGTAACTATACCACTAGCCTTACTTAATTGACGACATCAACCGCATATTTTTGAGCCCCTCGTGGTGAAGTGTACACTTGTGTTTACGGTTTGCCAAAACGTTCACGACACCTTGGCAAAGACGCATTGACGGCACTTGCTCCTCCATTGAAACGTGACAAGACTCGTCAACCCCAAGCTCGTAAGTGATGATCGCTTCATGTGCAACACCAACGATTCCACGCCTTCGGTTCACTACTGCGATCGGCGAATTGTCTGTCTCAGCAATTCCTTCCCCATGATCGCCCGGTACCTTGGTCGTTTCGCGGGTTCACGGGCGAGCGGTGTTCAAGCAGCTGAGCAGGCATCTTTGATCTGGGCATCTACCGAGACAGTGGCGTTTTCCGCACTACGCTAGCGCCGTCCAACTCCCCAAAGACCGTCGCTAGCAAGCGTCTAGGCCGATCTCTAGCGCACTCGCAACACAAAATCTTGATAAGAAATCCACATGCGTCAATTGAAGTGGAGGTTCGGCAACCGCTTGGAACCGCCAGAGGCAGATTGACCACTGCATTCATTGCCTTTCTCGCTTTCACTTCTCGGCTCTCGCCCGTCCGACATGTACACTACGCGCTGCCCTTGTGCTCCGAAAAGGAAGGAAAAGAAACAAACACAAAAATCTGCCTGGTCGTACCGAGGCAGTCGAATAAGACACCGAACATGCATGCCTGCGCTCTGATCGGAGGATTTTGATAGAAGAACCCCAAACACACCGCTTCTTAAGCTAATTTGGTTCAGATTGTTTCAGGAGTACCGAAACCAGATTTTGAGTAACCCAGACCCCAAACATGTGAAGCCAGACTCTGCGCGTGCTCTGAGACCAGCATCGTGGCATTTTGCCAGTTGCCTGAAAAGGAAGTGCGGACGTGTGCGCGCTTAACAAAAAAGGGGGCGGGAATCACCAATTGGCGGGGGTGCAACTGAACATGGAAACACAGGAAAGGGCAAATGTAGTTCAATTACGTGAGAGACGTCGTGTTAGGGGGGAGAATCCTAGAGGGCTGACTTGGAGTGTAACCGTAAGACAAAAAGGTGAAGGCGAAGGATGACGGGAACGCGAATTGAAAGCGGTAACAAAAAGAAAGAAATTAAAAAAATAATTGAAAGACAGTGGAAGAAAACCGAGGCAGACGCCCAGCGGAATGCTGATTCCTCAAAGAGTATCATACTTGGAGGTGAGACCTGTGGTACCCATCTCCTATTTTTTTTTCGAAAGAAGTCTATCAGAAATTTCAGTAATCGTCAGGTCTTCGAAACCGACCGTCTGACTGGCGGGCGAGCCACTTTGATGTCCCTGACTTGGATTTGGTGAGAAAAGGTGACACACGATGCGGAAAACGGGCTCAGTTCCGATCCGCGAGTAAGAGTGGCGTGATGAAAATGGATGGCAGCGTCTACAAGAACTGAAAACTGCACTGACTGAAAACAAACAACGAAAAGAAGAAGCGCAGAAGTGAGGAACTTCAGGGTCATTCGCTGCCCCTGGTGTCTGTCAACATCACAATTCAGGCACAGGTCTGGACCCCCAATTTTTTTGGTTTTTTTCAATCTTTGGCTTCCGAAAATCGGAAAGTGGGATACGCCTTACTTGGTACAGCCCGACACGGCACCTCACCCGGACTAGTGGGGGCGGGGGCGGGGATCTGAACAGAAAAAGAAATGCAGTCGTGCATCAACACCAAAGTGATGGCTCCAATCACGACGACATCTACCGATTTGGACAGCCAGCAATCAAGCATATAAAGATTAAGCTCTCGCGCAGTGGTTGAGATGTTCTCCTTTACCAATTCAAGGTGTTGAAACGGAATCCTTCGTTACCGATCTCGCAATGCCGTCAGTCTGATTATTCCCGGCTGCACTGCCCTAAATGCCTTATCTTGTACATATGATGACTCCACTGTGCCCACTGAAGCCGGTGCGCTGATGTGGGCTGGTGGTCTAGTCTCCCGACTTTCCGCTTCCCGTCCACAGCTTTTTTCTTCGGCAGTCAGCTTCATCGCCAGAACGGCCTCCACTTGCCCACACATGACATCACGAGCCGCCGAAGGGGTTTGATGGGGCCCTCGAGAAGCTGGGGGTTATCATTCCCCCGGAAAACCTCCCCCCATGCCCACGACCCCGGCAGCGTCCAGCAAAACACCATCGCCTCCTACCCCGCACAGCGGCAATGCCAATCTCGGTGTCCATTCCACCACCGACACCCCCGGCGCTCGCCTCAGGACCCTCCCAATCTGGATGATCGCGCCCCGAGATCCGTCAACATGAGCCTCTTCCCGCAGGCTGGACCCATATTGCTCGCCAAAATGACACGACAGGTGGATCGGGGATGACTGGATGTCGGTAGGGCGCTAGGCAGCCGAGTGGTATATAGCAAAAGAGCCGCCCTGCCTGCCGCCCTCCCTTTCAGCAGCTCCCACCCTCTTCTATTTCGTGTCGACACCACACCAACACACAGAAATTAACCATGCCTCTTCCTGCTGGAGTCTACCGCGCGGACCACGTCGGGTCCTTCCTTCGCCCCAAGGCCATCCTCGAGACCCGTGAAAAGGTCGAGAGCCAGGCCGCTACCGCCGAGGACCTGCGCAAGGTTGAGGACGAGCACATTGCTACTGTCGTCCGGGAACAGATCGAGAACGGCCTCCAGTCCGTGACCGACGGTGAATACCGCCGCGCGTGGTTCCACATTGACTTCCTGCAGCATCTGGCCGGTGTCGAGAAGCGCGGCCATGTCACGTCTACCAACGTCACGTCGCACGGCATGACTCCTCCCCGACTTGTTGTTGTCGGAAAGCTGGGCCACCCGAACCCCATCCAGGTCGACGACTTCAACTACGTGAACAAGCAGGTGGAGGCGGTCAAGGCCTCCTCAGGCGCCAGCCAGACCGTCACCGCCAAGGTGTGCATTCCCAGCCCGACCATGGTGTACTTCCGCGGCGGCCGCGACGCCATCGACGCCGACGCCTATCCCACCCTCGAGCCGCTCTTTGACGACATCGCCAAGGCCTACCAGGCCGAGCTCGACGACCTGTACGCCGCCGGCTGCCGTTTCGTCCAGCTGGACGACACCAACCTGGCCTACCTCTGTGACGAGGGCATGAGCAAGGAGGCCGCGCAGCGCCACGGCAAGACGCCCGCTGAGCTGACCCAGCAGTGCGTCGACATCATCAACGCCTCCATCAGCAAGAGGCCCAAGGACATGACCATCGGCATCCACCTGTGCCGCGGCAACTTCCGCTCGCAATGGTTTGCCCAGGGTGGCTACGAGCCCGTGGCTGAGACCCTCTTCAAGGGCCTCAATGTCGATGTGTACTTCCTCGAGTTCGACGACGCGCGTTCCGGCGATTTCTCTCCGCTCCGTCACCTGCCCGAGGACAAGATTGTGGTATTGGGCGTCATGTCGAGCAAGAAGGCCGAGCTGGACGACAAGGAGGCCATGATCGAGAGGTTGAAGGAGGCCGCGGGATACTGCCCTAGGGGCCTGGATCAGCTGTGCTTGTCGCACCAGTGCGGTTTCAGCTCGACCAAGGAAGGAAACGATTTGACAGTGGAGGAGCAGTGGGCCAAGGTGCGCCTCGAGGTTGAGATTGCGAAGCAGGTCTGGGGTGACGATCTGTCGCAGTAAGCGTCTGTCTACTTTGAAAAGGAGGTAAAAAAAATTTAGAATATTTGGATGCATTGGCTACGATCCACGCTTTCATTTTCCTAAGATGCATAGCAGTGAAGAAATAGATGGATGGCAAAATACTGCGTGGGAGAGCTGACCAGAAATCAAACCTCGATGCTTTTTCCCTCATCGAATGGGACCTATGCTCTACTTAGTACTAAGATGCATCAACCAAGATCGTTCGTTTCATTGAGAATTGGTGCAGCACACCACACCACTCGAACACCATCCGACTGACTGAACCCTAAAAATGAATTCAGGACACCTAGCCAAGGAGCACCAAGAGGTAATGAGCAGAAGGACACAGCGCCGACCACCGAGCAGCAAGTCAGACCAGAAGTTTGGAAGTAAACCCCCGGCAATGGTCAGCTAGAGGTAGTTCCACGCGGAATGACGGACGCCCCTTTGGTCAGGAAGAGCTACTTGCAGAACGAGGGATGTTACTTCCGGATTGTTCATCGTTCGTGAAGTTGTGGTGTGCAAAAGCCAATCCACGAAGCAGCGCAAGCGGTTGTCATGCATCACCGCTCCTTTGACCCGAAATGCCGATTCGGACCTCAATCGCCATTCCGTCTGTCTCCATGTTGTACAAACCGGCACATGCCCGTCCGCACTTGCTCATCCCTTCGTTTGCGCTGTCCCGTTACCCATAACCGTAACTCTGAGGACCGATGCATCATTATTTGATCAACGGTTATTGTTTGCTTTTTGGACAATGAACGGTCACAATGGAACTACCCTGGAATATCAACGTGGCAGGCGGGATAACCCGTGTTAAAGTCCAAACGTAACCCGTCGTTTCTTTCTTCTATCACCTTTTCTCCCGCTGCCCCCAACGGCGTCGTGGTTTAGAATGGAATCTGACGGGGTATAATTTCACCAAAGAACAAAGCTAGGTGGTATGGCTGGGACATGGAGGTGACTGAACGTCTTATAGGAAGAGGTTCAAGGGATCAGTACTGTGATTCATTCATTACTGAAGAGACTAATCACAGTCCAGCCATGGAAAGAAGAGGCCCGCGTTGTCTTTGATGAATCCTAGTTAGACCCATAGCACCTAGGTCTTTCTACCTTTTTGCTTCCCAGTTGGTCGTCGTCAAGCTATCTGCTTCGTACTCCTCCCGTCTACCTACCTTCAACAGGAATGGCCTCCATTTCGACCACCAGAACCCAACAGAGACACTCACCAAAATGACTTTACCGACCGAGTCCAACTCGGCGGTCACCCGCCTGATCATCGTCTTTACCTTACTGGCTTCCCTAGCCGGCTTAACTCTGGGATTCAGATACTACTGCAAGCACCGCTACGCCAAGCAGCTAGGTGTTGACGACCTCCTTCTGGGTATCTCCTATGTACGTTCGTCATCGACATCCATCTCCTACCCCCAAATACCATGGCACCCAGTTTCCTTTCTAGCACACTTACCTCTACGAATAATAGCTCATCCTCACCGCCGCCGCCATCTGCACCGCCGTAGCCACCCGCCACGGCTTCGGTCAGCACATTTGGACCATCCCTCGTGTCACAGAAGCCATAACGGCAGCCAGGATCGTCTTCATCGGCGGCGCTTTTGTGTTCTTTGGCATCGCCCTGGCCAAGACGTCCATCTGCCTGACGCTGTACAACATCGCCCGAAGGAAATGGCAGAGATGGGCATTGGTGTTTGTGGCCGCTTCGGTGCTGGTGACCAAGCTGTTGTCGGGCATCTTCATCTTTGTCTCGTGCACGCCTGTGCAAAAGAGGTGGAATCCGATGGTGGAGGGGAATTGTTGGGATATTATTGTGCTTTGTCGGTATTGGTCTTTTTCGGGAGGTGAGTTGTCTATTTGGATGGGGAGAAAAAAAAAAAAAAGAAGTCACTGATTGACTGACGGACTGACTGGGTGGTTACTAGCGTGGTCAGCAGTGACGGATTTTGCTTTGGTGGTACTTCCTTGGTGCATCATTTGGCACCTGCAGGTGAAGAAGATTGAAAAGATCGTGCTTGGGTTTGTTCTGAGTTTGGGGCTTCTGTAGGTCTCTTTCCTGGACGGGAATATTGGTCATGCATTGGTACTTATCGTTGTGCTAATAAGACGATGATGCCTAGGACCGGCATCGTTGCGGCCATCAAGACGACATACATCAAAGCTTCGGACCTGGAGAATGATTTTACCTGTCAGTTTGCCTTGTTTTTCTTTGTCGGAATCAGTGAGCATAACTAATTTGTCGTTGTGAGCCAGACGCGGCAGCAGATCTAGTCATATGGGAATCTGCCGAGCTAGCAGTCGCCATCATCGCCGTTTCTATTCCATTTGGCCGCTTGGCGGTCCAAGACTACTTCAGGAGGAAACAAGCACGATCCGCAGGAAACACCACAAGCCAGGCTAATGGGACCCGAAGTACACAGCCGGCCACGTCCGAGTCAACAATGGTCCGGAGGGATGTCAATAATGCTGACGACGAAATGCCCCTTGCCCGGCGTCAACTGAAAGCAAAAGCCAATGGTGGCGTCAGATCTAGTACAGTGTCTCTGGAGCAATTTCTGCGTGAAGCTCCAAAGATGCCGGGAGCGTGGAGAGAGTCGGGAATCATGCTGACGAGGGAAGTTTCAGTTGGAAGACATCGAACAGATGGTTCCGAACAGGAGCTGGGATGCCGAGCCTGGTCACCGCCGCCACCGTCGAATGTGTGAGCAGTTGGAAATCTGCTTTGGCAAAGGTGGGAGTTGGTAGAATGATATGCTTGATGATGACTGCCATAAGAGCTTTGATTGAAATGCAAATCATTGTTTTGTCGAGGACTGAAGGAGGTCGTCAATGTTACATTACAATCTAGTTGTGCCTGAATTGCGGGGAATTCACGCGCTCCGCACAGCAGCCCAGCGGGGTGGCCCGCCCATGCAGCCCTATCACTTGATGTCCACTCCGTGGATGTTACAGCCAGTACATTGTACATACATACATGTATGTACGTTGCGTAATTTACCACTGATCACCTTGTCTGGAATTCTCACCTCCAAATCTGCCCTGGTGTGCGCAGGGAACGCGGTACACTACTTCGGACAGTCGTGACCAATCCTACCTGTGGTTCCTTTGTTTACTTCAAAACCTGATTCAGAATCCCCTGTTTCGATCTTCGATATCCAACTGATTGAATATACCAACTATAGGGTTTGTTCGTCTTTTATGCATTTGCCATCATCCTATCTCACCGGGCGCTCAAAGTGGACGGCGTTGGAACCACGTTTCCGACATCCCATCCCACAACTCGACAAATGTATCTTCCAATAGCCCTGCCAATGGCTGTTTCCTACGAGTCCCCTCGCGCGACTCTTCCAGTATCCCTTTGTGATGTCTCTTTGATCGTCACTCCCGACGTCTCACAAACTCGATCCTCAATCAAATGCTCGCGTGCTCTCTAATCGCCGCTACGGATCGAAGGCGAGACATTGAGCCTCGCGCCGTGACGCTATGCAGGAGCATTACAATCCCCCGTCTTCTGCCTACCCAATTTCTATGATCCAGACGCAAACTGTGCGAAAGCCATGCGGGTCACACCATGTCGTGGGGCTTGTTTCGTCAACTTGAACTCACCAGTGACGGCTGGTGAGAGCCTCACCGAGCGCATGTTGGTTTGATGCGGCTTCAAAGACCAGCTTCGCTACGTTGGCCACATAAACTCTTGTTGCGTGTTTCGTCCTTATGTAGCTCTTGTACCTCGCACTCTGGTTACGCATCTGACTTTCGAAACACCACCGTGAACAGCATGTGGTGTATCTAGCACACCCACACTACTTAATATTATGCCCCTCTATCAAATGCGACACCTAACACTTTGACGCCGACCCGCGCTTCAGTGCCATCGCCTATCACCGGTTTTGCTACGCCACCTTCATTCACGCCTGTGTGCTCGCTCCAGAGATTGCCAGGGAGAGGCTCTGGCTGGCTTCCATGGACAGATATGCCGATCCCAGTCATTACTGCCACACGGCCGCACACTCTACTGTCTTTGACATGTCGGAGGTTACCATTAGGGAGGTCACTCGTGCCTAAGGTCTGCCTGGACTGACCGTAGCCCAATAAAAATAGTCCAACCCATTAACCAGCGCTCTTCGTCGCGTGTGTTTCATGGTGAGTAATTTCGGCTTATACATTGGCCGGGAAACTCGCTCCACTACCCAAACAAAGCTTGACTGAAATGCGGTTGGAAGACATTGTCAAGCGGAAGTGAGGAGATCTCCTCGTTTCGCCTCATCCTGAGCATATATATTTTGAAGACGACTCAAAGTCAGTCATGTGAATCACTTTGCATCACCATGGCACAAGAAAATGAGCGGCTTCTTCATCTTTCCTCCTCTTGTGAAAGTCGTGTTGGGTCCCTCCCCTCCGTGGTCGAGAACCTCTCCACATTGCGTGAGTATACTGCCCGTGTAAGAACTCCACACTGGCACCAATCACCTATGTGGACTACGCCATACTTTCTTCCCCCCCAGCCAAATTTGCAATCTGGATGTTCAATTTTCTGGTGTCTAGCGCTCTCAATATTCACTGCACTGCAATGGAATTGTTATGTGCAGCGACCTCGACTTGAAGTCAGCCACAAACCTGACATCAACTATTCCCCATCGCTTTGAGGACACCGGACGCTACCACGTAAAGAAGTGCCTCTCTTATCTGCCAAGTCATCCTGGAGACATAATTGTCCACACTGGCACAGTCCGGTACTCCGAGGGCGGCCGCATCCTTGCCTGTGGAATTCCACTTTGCGCGGGAGCGGCTCTCCGAGGACATGCCAGAGCATCAGTTTCCGGTACCGCAATGGAGGTTGCCGAGCCGTTGGCCATGTTTGACATCTTTGCAGTTGTGTTTATCGCAATCCCACGCACTTTTGCGTCAGTTTCACAATATTCTCTTGTGATAGTTTCGGATGGCCGTGTATGAGCTCTTCCTTTCTTTTGTTGATTCGTGCCTCCAGTAATCGCCCAGTATTTTTGAAACACTTGGAGGATCACCCACAATATTTGCCCTGATTGTCATTCCGGGATATCACTTGGCTCTTGTCTCAGCTTCCAGTCAGTCGTACCCGGTCATCGACGAGTCCATCACGAACCGATATTTCTGAACCAAAAGTAAGAAACAAGATGTATAATAAGATATTTGACCCTTCAACTACCTTGCCAAATCTCTTTCATGGGTGGAATTCCACAAAGAGGGGGTCTATTGTGCGAGTGATCCGTTGTCGGGTACCTAACTCGCGGGCAAGATAAGATAACGGGGAATTTGTTAGGTTCCATCCCTTTGTTATTGGCGCTTCGAGAGCTGGGGGCTGGCGGCTGCCAGTGGCATGCCATCTGTGGTCGACACGTGCTGAGCCAGGGGTAAAAAACGTGGCGAATGGGCGGCGCGACAGATTGCCTTCAACAACACGGGGAGGACCGAGGATTGGATGGATGTTGGGATCGCTGGTGGCTTATGCCTGGCTTGCCTTGAGACCTGGTGAAGGGGTTGACAGCAAGGGAGGAGGATCACGGATGATCTCGAGGGCAGAGACAAGACGGCTTCATGTTTGTACATAACTGACCTTGGCCAAATACGGCATGAGCTGTGAATTGAAATGTCCCTATTACTGCTGTCCAAGAGCTGAAAATAATCAACAGCATTGTCACAAGGAAGATCTATCTCGACATGACGTGAAGTTAAGCGGCATGTTTTTGTATGCGATAAGAACGGTTACTCAGACACGGCATCGGCGTCCTCACTGTCGATAAAAAGCGCGGACCAAGGCTGGCCCAAGCGCCCAACTCCATCACAATCAACCAATGAGCAGCTCCCATCCCCGGTGTTGTGGAGAAGGCGAGACGTAATCAAGCGTGACCAAGCCCAGTGCATTGCCCACTCCATTCCTCCAATTTTGACTCGGACGGAGACATCAACAAATCTGGAATCTGGAATCTGCATCTCCATCTCGGCTGAATCTGCCCGGCCCAAATCCTTCAACAACCCAACTTGCCCACGCGTGCGTCTCGATTGCTTCTGGCCCGTCGCTCAGTCGATTCTTGATGCCGGCAACGCCCTTCCTTAATTCTCAACCCGGGTTGGTAGTCAGGTCACGGTCGTACTGCGATTTGATTGTCTCCCTTCAACAACCAACTTGAAAAACTTCAATTTCTGTACGTGCTTTCTCTGTCTGGCCTTTCAGGCCCCCTTCCCCCCTCCCCTTCATACCTTACCTACGGGACCCCTCCTCGCCCTCCGGCTCCGTCCTCGACGAAAGCCCCCTTCTCTGGCCAGGCCCCTCCGAGTCCGGGCCACTGCAGTCCAGTCCCCAATCCAGTGCTGTGCCCGCCGTCGCCCTCCCCCATCCGCGACGCAGGGCAGGGAGCCACCACTAGTGCAGAGGTGGAGGCAGCCAGGGCTCGTCGCAGGTTGCAGTTAGCACAGCTTCCACTTCCCTTGGTTCCCCTCCTCTGCCCTGCCCTCCCGTCCCGTCCTTGTGTGGGATGGATTGTTGTTGCTGCCCCGTGCCCCCCGTCCTGCCCTCCGTCCCTGCCCCCCCCCCCGTCATCAATCATCACAACCACCAGGTCGTCGACCATCATCGCCCCTCATCACCACCATCACCATATCCCCATCAACAAAGACAACGACGACGACAACAACAACAACAACAACAACAACAGCATCTTATAGCAACTGCCTTATCTACCTGGTACTTCCTCTGTGCGCATACGTGTTGCGCTTGCGGTTCGGTTCAGCTGGGAAATGCAAGCTGCTCCTTTCTGCACGCCTCGAAACTCAGCAGCAAATGGTTTGGAGAAGGTGCTTCTACCCTTCGATCCTGGGCGCCAAACATGGTCCCAGCCAGTCATTTCACGTGCCCCCCTGCATCTGTATCAGCTTCTCTTCAGTTCCAGTCCCTCCAGAGACTTTGTGCTGCCCCTATCCTCAAGGCTGCCGAATCCTACTTGCCGTCGCCAGCGAACCCTATTTTTTGCCTTAGTTGTCCTCCTCCTCGTGAACCTGCTCCCCTTCCAGGTCTGGCCAGATTGGGGCAATGCTCGGCGCCCATCTTACCTCATCGCTACTAATCATCGTCTACCTTGGACCTTTACTGTCCTGGCCTCGCTACACAAGCTAACGCCGTCTACTCCTCATTGCAGTTTTAAACCTTGAGATACCCTATGTCCGACCGATTAACAAGCTCATAACCCAATTCGATACTTTCTCCCCAGACCAACGCCATTAGACGAAAAATCCGAGCTAGGCTAGACCACATTCGACCAGGACGGCCACATAATCCGGTCAATCCGCAATTTGCATCCCACTTGCTTTTCAACCCCGCCGCATGCCCGCCCCCCCGAACTTGCATACAATTGTCAAAACAGCTACCCCAATCGTGTCCGGTGTCAGTGCCCCTCACCGCTGGCGCCACAACGTACTCATAACATTCGCCCAACATGTTCTGGCGGTTCGGCGGCTACGCTGTTGCCAGCACAATAGAGAACATCCTCGACCGCGGCGACTTTGCCCTTGAAGAGCTTCTCGATGAGAGCGACTTGATCCAGGAGCTCAAGCAACACAATGCGAAGCTGGTCGAGTATCTCCGCGATCAGGATGTCCTCAAGAGGTTGCTAGAATACGTTGTCGCGCCCAAGCTGGAGCCCGTGGCGGCTGCTGAAAACGAGGACGACGCGGAAGACGAAAACCAGAGGGGTATCTCCCTACCCTTCACTCGACCCCGCGCCTCATCGCGGGCCACCGATGCGAGCAATGATGACAGCGCCGTCGAAAAGAAACGGAACCGCTATGCTTTCGTCGCGGCCGAGATTCTGTCGTCGGACAATTGGTCAATATTCGAGGCTCTTATGGAAAGCAAAGACCTGCTGCGCGAGTTCTGGCAATTCCTGAAGCGCCCTGCCCCGCTCGACCCCCTCCAGGCCAGTTACTTCACCAAGGTCAATGAGTCCTTGTTCGACAGGAAGACCGAAGAAATGATCGATCTTCTCAAGTCTCTCGATAACGCGGTTCCCGATATGCTCAAGCACGTCGACTGCCCCATGGTTATGGATTTGCTGCTGAGAATCATCAGCTTGGAAAGAACCGAGGCTGGGCATGGTATAGTCGAGGTAGGTGGATCAATTTCTGCATTAGGATCTTTCTTGTACTAACTATTGTCTCGTTCAGTGGCTCTATACCCAGGATGTGATGCCCTCTCTGCTTTCTTTCCTCGGCCCAGAACATGGCTGGGCAACCCAGACATCCGCCGCCGATTTCATCAAGGCCATCATTACTGTCTCCGCCAATGCCTCGCAAAATGAACAGACCTGCATAGGACCGAACGAGCTCACACGACAACTTGTCTCAAGACCCTGCGTGGAGCAGTTGATCAATTACATGCTTGGTGGCGGCAACCCCCTCACGTGTGGTGTGGGTATTGTCATCGAAGTCATTAGAAAGAACAACTCCGATTACGACCCAGAGGCAACCGAGCCCAACTCGACCCCCTCGGCCCGCGACCCGATCTACCTTGGAACCTTGCTTCGCATGTTTGCCGACCATATTCCGGATTTTATGAGGCTCATCATGAACGCCCCGGCGCAAAAAGAACGTTTCACTTCCACGTTTGGTGATCATATCGAGCCGCTGGGCTTCGACAGGTTCAAAACATGTGAGCTGATGGCTGAGTTGCTCCACTGCAGCAACATGGGCTTGCTGAATGAGGTAGGCGCCGAAGAAGTCATTGCGCAGCGTGATGCTCAGCGACAGTTGCTGCGCACGCAAGGCCGGCTTGTGCCTGTTCGGGAGCAGGAACCTCCATCCGCGGCGGAAGATATCACAATGCGCGCGGCGCACTCTTCCCCAGCGGATACCGGCAGAAAGCTGGGGGTCACCAATACATCGGTAGATGACGATGGCTTTGAGGAGGTCACCCATACCACCGACGAAGACATCACGCACGGCATCGAGGAGCTTTCCGAAGGTTCATTGCCAGGCCCGACATCGTCATTCCTGGATAAGGACGAGGATGATTTTGTTGACGAGCCGCTGAGCTCTCCAAGGCTGCGTGTTCGCGACCACCATAATCCCATGGAGGATACAGCACCCATCAAGTTCGACGATCCGAACCTGGTGGTGGCGCCTCTGTCCCCTACCAAGAAGGCATCCGTGCCAATCAGGACAGCGTCTGCTTCTGAAGGGCAAAACGATGATGGCAACAAGACAGAGGAAACCACCGCCAACAAAGAAGGAAGTGATCCGGACCTTAAGCCGTCCGAGGATGCTCAATTGCAACTTCGCGGCGGCTCGGACAAGCCCGTAGCCCCAGAAGAGATGTCTCCCTACCCGGACGATACTCCTGCGCCGCTCTTTTCGACATCCGCCCGAACAACAGACCTCTCGGAGCCTAGCCAGGACGCTATATCAAAGGAGGAGCAGGCGGAGACCAGTCAGATGTCTACCGGTGGAGAACAAAGTGACCCCGATGCCACCATCGCCCACGACGCTTCTCAGGCCGACAAGAAGCATGAGCCTGTTGTTGGCGACTACCTTAAAATGCAGTTTGTCGAATACAAGGTTGTCCCCACGATTTTGAGCTTCTTCTTCTCTTATCCGTGGAACAACTTCCTGCACAACGTGGTTTACGACATTGTGCAGCAAGTGTTCAACGGCCCTATGAAGGACAGCTATAACCATAAGCTGGCTATCAGCCTCTTTGAGACGGCCGACATCACCAACCAAATCATTGGTGGACAGCTCGCCAGCGAGAAATCTGAGAACGAGAGAAAGACCCGTATGGGATACATGGGGCACTTGACGCTCATTGCTGAAGAGGTGGTCAAGTTTACTGAGCGCCACGAAACCGAAGTTCTCACAGAAAGCATTTTGGAGAAGGTCATGGCGCGGGATTGGATCGAATACGTGGAAGGCCCGCTTAGCGCTACGCGAACACGCGATAATGCCGTGCTTGGGGGTGTACGACCAGAGAGTCTGATGGGCCGTTCTGGCTCCGGGATGTCTGGCGTAGGACTCTCCGCTCTTGGATCTCTTGGTCTGAGTGGCGGTTCCAACGCCCTTGCTGAGGCAGGGTTGAATGGAGGACAGGATGTTGCGGACAGTTCGGGTGGAAATGGAATCGGGCCGTTTGCCATCAGCGCCGGTACTCTTATGAGCGGGTTTGGTAGTTCGAGCGATGAGGACGAGGACGAGGAACAGGACAACGAGGAGGATGTTAACAATGAGGTTGGTTATTCTGATTATGTCTCATCTCTTCTCCCACCCCATGACATGTTCCCCCTGGGCTCAAGTGAGCCCCTGATACCGAGCAAACGCGACCACGGCTCCTTCGTCGACGGGGAGGAGCTTGCCGAGGCCCACCATGTTAAGGATGTTGATTTCGAAGTCGATGTCGAACACAACGAGCCCTTCGAGGAACAAGACTACGAAGACGACCCAAGCAGCTATGGATTGGACCATGAGGACTTCGAAGAAGGTCTTGCCGACTTTGATGGCTGCTCTCCAGCCCTTGCTCGGAAAGCGGAAACGTTCGCACAGCGACCCCCTACCCAGACAAACTCGCCACCGCCAGTTCGATCCTCCGAAGCACTATCACCAGTGAGACCGCAATTTTCCACCCAGGAGAACCCTATCGAGCCTGCATGGGGAGTTGATGAGATCGACGCTCCACTCTATGACGACTTTGAAGGCCAATGGACGAGGCCAGAACCAAGTCCTACCGACGCACTCGAGCTCAATCACTTCCTGTCTCAAATCAACCGGATGATCCACTTTCCTCCTCCGTCCCCTTCTCGAACAGAGGACACCGACCAAATATGATTATGAGGGTTCGATCCCCAATCTCTGAACCCTCTGACGCGAGACTCGGGCAACAATCATTGCTCTGCATCTGCTTCACGACGTCCGAGCTGTCAGGGTTATTCTTCTGGTTGAGGGTGTTGTATGATTAAAGGGCGCCAAGGACATAGTGGGCTAGCAACTTCGGACATGTTTTCCTCGCATTTTCCTCCTTCTCCTCACTCCAGTGGATACTCGTGATCAGGTTCCCTTCCTCGGGGCCGTGGTCGGTTCTTTTCTGACACCAAGGGTGCCGCAACGCCAAGAAGACCCCCTTATGCTTTCCATGGTTCCTTCTATCGTTGCATATCACTTATATTTCGCACGATGGCATGATCTCTGTCTCCTGACCCTTTATCCGTGTTACTACGCAGTTGCCAGTCGCCATGCCTGCCTGATTCTGCTCACGTTTTCTTGATTCACATTCCACTAACCGTTTCCCTTTGTTTGTTTCTTTTCCAGATGCGAACAATATGCTAATTCAGCATGCAGTTCCGTGCTTACACCGATCCTCTGAACGCCAACCTCTCAAACTCGATGAATCCACCTTCGATTCCACCGCCCCCACCACCACCTCCCCCGCTTAACATTCCTCCTTCTCGTGCGCGTCTCCAACTTGCTGCCAGGCTAGCTATGAACAAGCGTAACGCTGAAGCTGCAGCGAACGGCGGGCAAGAGGGCGGCTCGGCTCAAGCCGACAATTCCACCGGTTCTGGTACATTCAGCCTCCCAGATGAGTCAGCCAGCGATCGCCTCCGGAATCCCTTTGAGGATGAAGAGGAGGACGAGGATGAGGACAACGATGGCAATGGGTCTGGCAGCGATGATGGGGAGCTGGATAACACAGCCCATAACGGCTTGGGAGGTAGTACGTGGAATCGTGGGTCCTGGTGGCGCGGGATGGTTCCCGGTGGACAGAAGAACAAGAGCAGGGGGGATAGTCAGGATGCAGAACGATTCGGGGATGGGCGTGACAGCGAATCTGATGATGGGGCTGACGGAGGTGACGTGGTGGATGATATCGACGACGAAGAGTTTGGAGACTTTGCCATGCCTGAGGTTGAAGGCAACGCCCAAGATTCGGAACAGTCTCCCACTTCGGGCCGTACGGTCTCTGGCATCGACCCTGCGCGGGAGAAGATCCTGGTCAAGCCGCTCCCAGTCCATCCGAGCAAAAGCGGTAGTCCGTTTGGTAATCTGTGGCCTTTCTCTACTCCTGGATTTGGCAAGAAGGATGAGAGGGAGGTTCCGACGTCTTCGACGGGCGAACAGGGCTCAGAAAGGCAGAAGGAAAATGCTAGCCCTAGAAGCGGTGTTCCTATCACAGAGGAGCCCGAGGAACTGGATGCTGTAATGGAGGATCTGGTTATCGGCGAGGACGGCAAGAAAATCAACCGCGCGGTTGAGGCGAAGAGGAGGACAAGTATTGAGGATCCGGATGACGACGAGGCGGAGGAAATCTTTGTCAGCAGGCCTACCGGAGCACGCTGATTAACACCATACCCCTGGAGATGATACACATGTCGTTTGGTTATTGTTGGTAGGTGGTAGAGGTAGATGAGATACAGATACACACAAGACGGTCACTGTCATGATCGGAACGATGACGATGGGCGGGTGGAGGTAAACCGGTGCCGGATTCCTTACTTGTTTTTCAGTTTGTATTTCTAGCATTCAGACCCACCGAAGCAACTTCTTTGCAGTCGCTAGGGTTCTCTCTTTGCCGTCATATCGTCCTTCTTCCAATATTTCTTCCTCCAATGACTCGCGTCGGCCGAGAACTCACGTATACCAAGTAGGCGTCGGAATCTCCCCCAACAACACCCATCTTCCCACCTCCCTCCGCTTATACGCGATCGGATCATGCAGCGTATGCGTCCTCAAGTCCCGCCAGAATCGATCCAAGCCGACCTTACTCGCCGTCGCCCTTGACCCTGTCACCTCAAATACATCACTTGTCACCTTAAGGCCGACATCCGTCACCACAATCTTTGCAGCCGCAATCAGCTCGCTTATCTCACCCCTTTGCAGCGCCGTCACCTCCCCCCGGTTATCTCTGGTATGATTACCAGCATAAGCAGCAAAAAGACCAGAAATCCGCTCATTGGCCCGATCAACCAGCGCCGTAGCCGCAAACAAGTGGGCGTGGTGCGTACCGTACGTGGACAAAATATAAAACTCATCTGTGGCCTTTTCGGCGGGAGCAACGGTTTCGCGCTCGCCGCCTGAAAGGTAAGGCCACGGCCGTGTGCTCTTGCGCGTGTAAGCAGCTGCTAGGTCCAAAGCCGCGAGCGCGATGCCGAGGTAGAAGTTGGTGAAGACCAGTTGGATAGTGGGAAGCAACAAAGTGGCAAAGGGGACGCCTAGGATGTCTTGCAGGGGTTGTTTGGTGGAAGCATCCCAGCCCAACGCGTCCTCCCAGGAGACGACAACGTTGGAGATCTGCGCTGAGCCCGATTCGGTCAGCCGGAGACCGATGGCGTCCCAGTTGAAGGAGAAGGTGATGCCGGGGTCGGTGGTGGGTACGTAGGCGAAGATGTGTGCGCCGCCAGACTCGGGGAAAGAGGAGGAAGAGAGGGAGCCTTCAAGCACGATCAGGTCCGAGACGGCCGCGCCGGTGGTGAAGTGTTTGGAGCCGTTGAAGATGATGTTGGCCGAGTGGTTCGGGTCGGCGGTGATGACGAGGTCGCTGTCGCGCGGGTTGACGGCACCGCCGACGAAGAGGTTTTGTGAGGTGATGAGTGCAGTCCATTTGGTGATTTGGGAGGGGGTGCCGAGGATGGAAGAGGAAAAGGCCCAGAGGAGGTGATAGCCTAGCAGCATGCCGATTGAGCTTTTTGAGGTGTCAGTCTGTCAGCATAGCCCTCAATGGCTGCTGTTGATGGTGGTAAGGTGGTGAACTCGGGGCATTCTACTCACCCATCACCCTTGGCGACTTCCCGAATTGCCTGGTAAGCCACGCTCCATGGCTGTTCACCGCCGCCGTACTCCTTTGGACCAAGGATCTTGAGTAGGCCGGAGTGTTTGAGGAGAGCCACTTCGGCACGGGGAGTCCTGTTGGCTTTCTCACGGGCGGCGGCGTCGGGGGCAAGAACTGCGGCCACATCTTTTGCGCGTTGGATCCAACCAGTCGAGTCTGAGGGGAGCGTTGACCATTTGGACTCGTATTCATGGTAGATGGACGGGTCGCTGCTTGGATGGACGGTGTCCTGGTTGTTTTGGGAGGAAGCCATGGTGTTGATGATATTGTTATGGTTGTGAGATGGGGCAAGTTAAAGGGGGTACCAGACAAGATTTTGGCAATGAACAGGATGTGAGTGTCACAAGTCTACGACGACAATGGCTGAGATGGCGGTTTGCCTTCGTTATAAGGTTTATCTTGTTTTTGACGCTCAAGAAGTTTGGCTGGCAGCCATCACATGTTCCTTCCTTCCCCCAGTGATCTTCCTTTCTCAGGATTGCGCACTCAGACATCAACATTTCGCAAGCAAGGAGGAAGCTCAGCATCCCATGTCCTCGGGAGAAGCTAAATCTCGAGATCTCGTCTTTGCTCTTGGGTTTTCGGTACGAAAATGTCACCGCTTTCGGATCCCAGGGATTTAAGGCCTAGGCTTATCGCAGGTCATTGCTACACTAAGTCTTTGATCTTACCGTATTAGCACTCTTTCGGCGACATCGGCTTTTAGAGCCTTGTCATTGGTGACTGTTTCCTCACCAGATGCAGGTCAGTATTGTGCAATCAGTCCGACGGATGATAGCATCTTGCCAATACCGTATTAGCACTCTTTCGGCGACATCGGCTTCTAGAGCCTTGTCATTGGTGAGTGTTTCCTCACCAGATGCAGGTCAGTATTGTGCAATCAGTCCGACGGATGACAGCATCTTGCCAATGCTCCCTTTCAAACCAAGTTGGGAACAAGATGTTTCTCGCGGTAACCCATTTGGGACCTATCGAAATCAGACCCGGTTAACTGTCTACATCTCGACACGCCGAGTCCTTTCCTACAATAGATTTCTCTATCACCAAAATTGCAGCTTTTGGCGCCTTTCACACGCCCCGAAACCGCAACCACAACCCGCGACAACACCAACCGATCGTCCAACTCCACCTTTCCCCGCGCCAAGCCCATCATTTCGTGATGAGATGGGTTGCGACTCACATGGCGTCATCTGGTCGCAATATTGTGAGAACCGACCGACGGCAGCTCGAGTCCCAAAAAGCGACTTCGCACACAAGATGATGATCGGAACAAATTCAGAAGTGGTGTGGTGTAACTACAAGACGCCGGCTATGTGTACGCCAGTTGAGCGGAGATGGAGAATATCGAGCCTCACCCTTTTAGCCAAGACCCTTTCCCTTTTCAAGCAGATGTTTTTAGCCCCTGAGCGGCACTTCTCAAAGGACAAAGATCATGAAACATATTGAGTTCAGCTTCCCAAGACAAAGCATATAGGTACTCATGCCAAGTACGCCCAAACAGACATCATGGTCGACGCCAGCACACTCAACAGCGACCCTCACAGGCTCCTCTTTGCGTAAGTCACCTTCTCATTCCTCCGTATTCCGGCCGGTACTAAGCTGAAAGCAGCTACTGGGTCCCCAACGTCTCTGGCGGTCTCGTAGTCTCCAAGATCCCCCAGAACACCGGCTGGGACCTCAAGTCCAACGTCCGCTATGCCCGTACCGCCGAATCCGTTGGCTTCGAGTACGCTCTCACTCAGATCCGCTTCACTGCCTCGTACAGTGCCGCGTCCCAGCACGAGTCTGTCTCGTTCTCACAGGCTCTCCTTCACCACACCGAGAAGCTCAAGGTCATTGCCGCTATCCTTCCGGGTCCCTGGAATCCTGCTGTCGTGGCCAAGCAAGTGGCTAGCATTGACAACTACACCGATGGACGTATTGCTGTGAACATTGTTTCGGGATGGAATAAGAGCGAATTCCATGCTAGTAAGTGAAAGCCCATACAAGCTTAAGTGGTAAAGACAAGAATAACACATGGTACACCACAGTCGGTGAATGGTGGCTCGACCACGCCGAGCGCTACCGCCGCTCCTACGAGTTCATGAAGTGTCTGCGTGGCATCTGGACTGCCCCGGAAGACGAGGGCTTCACCTTCGCCGGCGACTTCTATCGGTTCCGCAACTACAAGCTCAGCCCCAAACCCATCGCCAGCCCGCACCCGGAGATCTTTCAGGGCGGCAACTCGGACGATGCCAAAAACAATGGCGCCGAGGTTTCCGACTGGTACTTTATGAACGGCATGGACCTTGAGGGTTTCCAGACGCAGATCGCAGACGTAAAGAAGCGCGCCAAGAAGTTCGGCCGCGAGAATGTTGTCAAGTTCGCCGTCAACGCCTTCGTCATTGTCCGCGACACCGAGGAGGAGGCCATCCGCACTCTTCAAGAAATTCAGGGCAAAGCCGACGTCGAGGCTGTGGAGGCCTTCAAGAAGGAGGTCCAGAACGCGGGAGCCAGCTCGAGCAACAAGCAGGGCATGTGGGCGACTAGCACGTTCAACGACCTGGTGCAGTACAATGATGGGTTCAAGACTAAGCTGATCGGCACCAAGGAGCAGGTGGCTGAGCGGATTGTTTTGCTCAAGAGCTTGGGCGTCAACCTGGTGTTGACTGGCTTCCTTGACTATGAGGAGGAGGTCGAGGCGTTTGGCAAAAATGTTATACCCCTTGTGAGAGAGCTTGAGAAGCAAGGGAGGGGAAAGGACGAAGTGTTTGAGATTGAGAGGACTGGCGATGTTTATAGGAAGTAAAGAGAGGAGGGATATGGTCGGACCATCAAGGGACCACGTCGTGCCACAACGGTGATCCCGCCTCTTTGCATGACAAGAATTAAAGGAAAGGGACAAAAACTGCGATTCAGCACTGTGCAAGTGCAAAATGGGATGGAGTTGAAAAGCGCCAGAGCATGCAAGAAAACATGCAGGTTCAATAGGTGGGCAGTGACGGGAGGTACAGTCATCTTATCGATAAAGAAATATTTATCGATAAGGTACGTATGGGGTAATTGATGTAAAGGAGGCGGCGCACCTTGGGATTTCCCCTTTTCTTCCTTGGACCATTCAATTCATCAATCCCTTGCATTCGTTCTCATCCACTCTTTCGGGCAGTACACTGCTTATGAAATCAGGTGTCTTATTTTCTTCCAACGGAAATAAGAGCTGATAAGAGTTGGCATTAGATTATGTAAGTGACCAAAGAAAACAAGACAAGCAGCTGTCCATAGCTAACCAACACAAGCCAGAAGGGATTTGGAATGGACCAAAGTCCAGGATAATTGACCCCGTGATACTCGTCAGTTCCCCGCCATTCTGACCAGACAGTCGGGCTTGCAGACCTGATGAGCTAGAGTAGCCTCACCGGGGCGACACCCGTCCATCTCTCCATGCCGGACACCGACCGGAAACCAGACTGGTTAGACAGGCAGACCCAGAAGTCGACGTCAGGTCCAGAGATGTCGTCTGGCAGACAGTCCAGGTCTCTGAAAGCTGCTGAATAAATACATTTAAGCCTTATAAACCGTGGGAGTAGCCTGGACGCAACTGCTTCCCGCATCGGACCCGTTGCCGCTGGAGATAAATATTCCAGAACCGCACTGCACGAGGTTGTGTCGTCCATCCGCCGAAACGGTAATTTGCCCAGTGTTTGCGTCGACGCAGCCCTTGATCCTCGCCATCGAACCGGCCGCGACGCCGGCGTCAACAGAGTTCCTGTCGCCCAGCTTGACCTGCACCGAGGCAGCCGAACTACCGGTCGAGACATACAGGATGCTATTAGTGCCGCGCCATTGGACAGAACCGTTGCTGTCCAGAGTCCAGCTAGCCGCCAGCTGCGAGGGGACTCCAGTGCCGCCGTAGCCTACCCAGAGGACCTGGTTTGAAACCCCCCATAGCCACAAGCTCTTCACCCCCGACGTCGCAGAAGTATACGGCGTGGAAACCAGGAAGTTGTAGCCTGTAGGCTGGCAAGTGAGCGGAACAACGGTGCTGGGCGTCGATGTGGTGGTCACGGTGACGGTGGAGGTGGCGGAGACGGTCTCGGTGATGGTGACGCTGTCGGGCACATCGGTGACGGTCTCGGTCACGGTGCTTGCGTCGGTGGCGGTTGCCGATACAATGGCGGTCTGGGTGCTGGAAACAGTCATGGGGACAGTAACTGTCACCTCCTCACCGGGAACCGTCACCGTCACAATTTCGGTCTCGACGGCAGCAGAGACGGTTGCCGTCACGGTGGCCAACTCGACACCCACGCACTTGCATGCCTTGACATACTTGGTCCAGTCGGCACAGTCGGCTGACGCATACTCAGGCAGGGTAGAGGGAGCAGCAACAACCGTCCGACGGGCTTTGACTTTGAAGACGGTCGGCTCGGCGAGATAGTATGTTGCAGTTGAGGTGACACCGGGGGCCAGCTCAGTTGAGGTGGTGGTGAGGGTTTGGGTCAAGGTGCGCGTAACCGTGTCCGTCTGGACCGGTCCGGTGGATGTGACCGTTTCCGTGTAGAAGAGGGTCTCTGTCAATGCGGTCTCCGTGGTAGTTTCGGTGAAGAGATCGAGAGTTGTGGAAGTAAACTCGGTGACTTGGTCCACCGTGGTAGTTACCGTTTGGGTGGAGGTAGTTGCGGCTGCGGTGGAAGTCACGGTGACGGTGCCGAGGTTTGCTGAGCAATCGGCGAGTCCGGTGTCGGCGAGGGCAACCGCTAAGGATGATGGTTAGACGAGATTCGGACTCGCAAGGGAAATGGAAGGGAGAGCATGTACCTTTCAAGCACTTATTACTGCGACAACAAGCAGCGGAAACGCCTTGCAAGAGGGCAGCGCCCGAGAGAGCGAAAAGTCCCAAGGTCTTCATCGTGATGATGGTGATAATTCAAAAGAGTGACGAGGGTGAGATGAGGAACTACTCTGCTGACCGTTACCGAGCCCGACACAGACAGGACTTGACCAAGTGGGATTCATCTCCCTTTTGTAGGTATTCTGCCATTCTCGATCTTTTCTCTCTCTGACGCTGTCCATCGTGCGATTTTGGCTATTCGAGGCGCTATCATTTTACCTCAGCTCTCTACATCCTCGCAAGCCTCGACCATTTTGAAGCCCATGCTGGGTCCCGGAAATGGACGATAATTTGCTAACCGGTAGAAAACCCACACAAACAGTGTTCGACAAGGGCTACCATTCGCGGAACTACGAAAGCCTATCGATAGCCGGATTAAAGAATTCAATAGTGTGAGAGTGTTTGCACCAGGCGGCTGAAAGCTTAGCACGCTAATTACCCCGGGCTTTGAAAAGAAAAGACCGAGGTCTAGACCAGCATCTGGTTCTTACATAATCATTGACACTCCCTCCCAGGCACTGCCCGCGAGAACGGCTCAGCACACGGTCGACGTTGATGTCGCCTATTGTTGGCGCCGGCGCCAGTGGTGCCTACGCTGCCATCCGGCTCAGAGAGGATTTTGGCAAGAGCATCGCCGTGACTGACACGAGTTTGCGGCCGGGCGGCCACGTATCAACTTTGCATCCGCCTCCTTTTTTTTTTTTTTTTTTTCTTTTTTTTTTCTTGTGTCATTTTTATACCTTCTCATCCAGCCGCAAACCTTTCATTTTCCACGGACATCTCATTGTTTATGTCAATAATTCTCTTGCTTGTTTTTCTTTCTTTTCGGCATTCGCATAGATACACGCCAATCGCAACCCCATTATCCTACCCTTCCCGTCTTGTTTGCCTTGTCCTTGACAGATGCCTTGGTCTCCATCCAAAACCACATTCGCCGTAAGAACTGAGAGACGACCAGTTACAGGGACCTCCGGACCTCGACTGGACATAAACTTCTCTCAGCACATTGCGTCGCGGACCTTGGAAATCGCGAGTGTCACCAGTGTTCAAGATGCCGAGCTTGGAAGCTTAGCATCACTGCCTCCCACGGCTCCCATGAGTGGGCTACTTGATGAAATTATCGGACTGTGACAAGCACATACGACCATACCCACTGGAAAACTCGGGATCCCGTCCGCTCTCCCATAGATAAGCCAGTGAGGGCCAGACTAGTAGTTGGGTCGGTGACGACCAGCGAATCCCTGGTGTTGTATGTGTTTTTTGTTCTGACTTTACTTTTTCACTTCTTTTTGCAATCCAGTTGTTTCTCTTGATATTTCTCTTACCTCTTTTAATAAGTCCACCCAGCCTGTCCTTGGTATTTGTGGGTGACGCCGTGACGGACAGCCGGGCAGGTGCTGGACTCCGGCTCGGATGTCCGGTGTGGGCTTCGGTTCCCGCAAGCGACCAGGCGGTGCGGGGAACTCGGGACGAGCTGGCTGTGGCGGATTGGTATGGTAGGTCGCCATTTCCGGCCTTGCGAGAGTGGTTCCAATGGATGCCATATGATGATTGCACTCGATGCTCGTACCGAACGAGGGTCACTCAATCAGACGTGGTTTGACTCCCTTCTGATGATGTGAACTAACAAGCGCAGCGTGCAGTTAAGGTGCCATGGATCATGGAGAACCAGGGACGTGCGGCAGTGTAAACATGACCTGAGTGAGGTTGCCTGTGCAATGCAGGTGTCGGAGTGCTTGCCTCATGCAAGAGCTGATACCGAGAAGCTATTTCAGGGTCTCCTGCCAAAAATACCGCAGTTACCAGTGCTCTGGAAGTGCATCCGAACTTCACATGAAGCACGTCGACGGCGGTGTCCATGGTGTTGGACGTGACGATAGGTCTCGTGAAAGTCGCCGAGGTAGGTACCTAGAAGGAAGCGTGGGAATTCAGGGCAAGAGCCCCTGGAATGAAGGATTCTTTGGACGCTGTTCCAGGGCTGCGGGATGTTAGTGATGTAGTCGTGACTACCTGCTTCGCACTAACACTAACACAACAAGGGCATGAACTTGCCGTGGAAGGGATGGAACAGGAAACGCTGGGCATCTACCGATGAGTGCTTGTGTCAGCTGTCATCCATCGATGTCTCCCCCAAGTTCGGCAACTCTTCCCTGGCTCTCCACCAATACCAAGGGCAACCGAGACTTTGCCATCTCACGATGCGTCTGTGTTTCAATGGACAAAAAGTACCATATGGTCGGTCTCGCCTGACGCCCCAATGCGGTGTTTTGCGCTCCTTCGCGCGTAGTGACTGCACCATCCGGCATTCCTCCAACGCAGTCCGGGAACCGCCAAGGTCATCACCACTTTGCCCTGAGACTTGGCCTGGGACACATACAAGTCGGCAGATACTTGGTCCTACATTGTTGACTAGGGATAACCGGGCATATAAGAATGTCCTGTGCCCCCAGGAGCCGTACTCAAGAAATCTTCTGCCAGCCAATCTCCCCATTCCACCCAAAGACGACATCAACCGACTGTCAGTAGGCAACCTGTCCCACCCAGTTTGCTGCTTCAATGGCCCTCCCTGCTTTTCTCGCCCGTCTCCTGTCCCATTTCTCGTCTAACAAAGCCAGCACCACAGAGAAGAAAGTACGAGTCGCCTCTAACAGCTCAAGCACGACTACTTCCAGTATCCAAGCCACTCCAGATCCAGCCGCCAACATGCCCGGTGTAACAGCCCCGTCCGGTACTAGCAAGTATGACCAGATCCCCGGCCCCCTCGGCATCCAGTCTGCCCAGCTTGGTGGCAAGGTAGCGCTTGTAACCGGTGCCGGTACGTGTTCCTTTTTTGTTATTGTCATCGTTGTGTTGTGAAGTCGTGCCAAGCAATGCTGCAAGGGGCAAAGAGTGAGCGACAAGAGGTGGGTGGAAGGGAGCTCGCGTACCCGGACGGGACGGCAGCTTTACCCCAACCCCAAGTCCGATTTCCCCATGTTCAGCTCCGGCGACGCCCTTTTCCCCCAATCCATTTAATCACCACATCTCAATCCCTTTCAGTTTGGAACACAAAGACATTCTACCCCTCAGACATCGAAAACAACTCCCACTGCAGGGTGTGCTGCGCAACGAGTCGTCATTGGTTCAGTCAGGACTGTGCAGTTGCACCACACAACATGCCTGTCATGCACCACCATCACCGTAGAGGGCCAAAGAGACTGACAAAATCATCCCTTGAGGATTCCAGGCCGCGGTATCGGGAGGGAAATGGCGCTCGAGCTTGGACGTCGTGGAGCCAAGGTGGTAGTCAACTACGCCAACAGCGACATCTCGGCCAACGAGGTTGTGCAGGCCATCAAGAAGAGCGGCTCCGACGCGGTCGCCATCAAGGCCAACGTCAGCGATGTCAGCCAGATTGAGAGGCTCTTCCGCGAGGCCAAGCAGAGGTTCGGCAAGCTCGACATTGTGTGCTCCAATTCGGGTGTTGTCTCGTTCGGTCACATCAAGGATGTCACCCCGGAGGAGTACGACCGCGTCTTCAACATCAACACCCGTGGCCAGTTCTTTGTTGCGCGCGAGGCCTACAACAACCTTGAGGTTGGCGGCCGCTTGATCCTCATGGGATCCATCACCGGCCAGGCCAAGGCCGTGCCCAAGCACACTGTTTATTCTGCTAGCAAGGGGGCCATTGAGACTTTTGTCCGCTGCATGGCTATCGGTAGGTGGCTGTCATGGATTCTTCTTGGGGATAAATGCTAATCACAAGACACACTGAAAGACTTTGGAGACAAGAAGATTACCGTCAACGCCGTCGCTCCTGGCGGTATCAAGACGGACATGTACCACGCCGTGTGCAGGGAGTACATCCCCGGCGGCGACAAGCTCGACAACGAGGGTGTAGACGAGTATGCCGCTGGGTGGTCGCCTCTTCACCGCGTGGGTCTCCCCATCGACATTGCTCGTGTTGCCTGCTTCTTAGCTTCCCAGGATGGCGAGTGGATCAATGGTAAGGTTATCGGTGTTGATGGTGGCGCCTGCATGTAAGGGAGTGAGTCAGACACTGTAGTACAACCACGTCTGGATGTATCAGTAACTAGGAGAAATGAGGATAGATGGGAGGTGGAAGCACGGTAGATGATCAAGGGTCGAGAGTGTAGCATACATGGTTAGCAAATTCATACTCGAATCAACATATAAATAGACTGAGCTCCGTGCTGCTGTTACCAAGGCGCTGCTCATCATGTCTTGATGTTCCACACAATCTGTGATCGTTTCATGTTGAGTTGCGACCACCACAAGCGGGTATCTGCATTCCAGCTTCACAATACTGGCCTGGTTTGTATGTTAGTCCGGTACCTGAAAGGCCTATCTTCTAGTCTTGAGGCTATTGAAGGAGATAGAGAGAGGTAACACAGAACACCCATTAGAGGTTTATGTGGCGCCACAAAACCTTGCCAATGAAATTTATGTGTCTTATATCCGTTCAACGGGATATAGCTCCAAAACCTTCTTGTTCAACCCATGATCAAAGTAGGTACCAAACTAACAGACTGACCAGCATCGTATTGTATTGTATCACCAGTGACGGACTTCGGTGATTACCTGGCAAGAACAAACAGCCCGCACCCAGCGGGTCAACTTTCCCTTTACCTTTGATTCACACACTCGGTTTCTTTTTCACTTTTTGCGAACAGGAAGCCATCACCGGCGTACGTTACCTCCGAACAAGGGCGTGTTCTTTCCAAACTGCAACTGATACGCGACTGAACACCCAGCCTGACGATCAGTGGACCAAGATCTTCAGCATGCCCGGCGCGCCTAATTCTCATGCGCAAGCTGTCTACGCCTCTTGGGCACGTCTCAGACACCTGAAGGAGTCAAAACAACCCATCGAGGTATCAGGCTCCAGCTTGACCATTGCCGATGCTATAGCAGTCTCGCTGTATGATCCATCTCGAAAAGTCCTTTCCGTCTTGCGCCCTCCAAGCCGACAGTCACTAACAGGTTACGAACAACAGGCATGGCGCAAAGGCCCATCTCTCAGACGACACCCGACAGGTTGATCGCAGCATCGCATTACTCGAAGAGCGCATACAGGCAGGCGACGTTATCTACGGCGTAAACACTGGCTTTGGCGGTAGCGCCGACACTCGGACCGATGCAGGAAGCGAGCCCCTGATGCGCCTACAAGGCGCATTAGTTCAGCACCTTAACGTTGGAATTCTTACACATGCCGACAAGGGCCGCGATGGGAGCAACTCCTGGGCAGGAAAGCCTTACGACAACGAGCTTCTTCGCAGCCATGCTCTCCCGAATCCCGTGGTCCGAGCCACCATGCTTATACGCTGTAACTCCCTGATGAGAGGCCATTCTGGTGTTCGACCGCTGATCATGGAAAACATTATGAAGCTTCTGAACAGAGACATGGTCCCTATCATTCCGCTTCGGGGAAGCATTTCGGCCTCGGGTGACCTATCGACTCTCTCGTACATTGCCGGCGCTCTCGAGGGAAATACAGACATTTACCTCAAAACCAGGAAGCCAGGCAATAGGACGGAGATCTTGCCGGCCGACAAAGCTCTGTCCCTTTCTGGCCTGGAACCCGTGCGTTTTCAAGTCAAGGAAGGACTCGGCATCACCAACGGCACCGCACCCTCCTGCGCCACCGCCTCCATTGCCATCCAGGAAGCCAACCAGCTGGCCGTTCTTGTCCAGCTTCTAACGGCTATGGGTACCGAAGCCCTGGCCGGCACAGCGGCAAACTACCATCCTTTCATCTCCTCCGTCCGGCCGCACCCCGGTCAAGCAGAAGCAGCATCCAACATCCTAGCCTTTCTCGCCGGGTCCAAAATCGCCGCACCCTGCGAAGCGAATCCCGAATCTGAAGGCGAACCGGCTAAGGTCCGAGGCCTTGCTCAGGACCGCTACGCTCTTAGGACCGCACCGCAATGGATCGGACCACAGCTCGAGGACCTGGACCTTGCTACGAAGCAGGTACAGACAGAACTCAACTCGACCACAGACAACCCGCTGATCGACCCTACGTCCGGACTCATCCACCACGGCGGTAACTTCCAGGCTATGGCGCTTACCTCGGCCATGGAGAAGACCTTACTGGCGCTGCAGAACCTGGGCCGCTTGCTCTACGCGCAAAGCTCGGAGCTGCTCAACAACATGACGAACAAGGGCCTGCCGCCTAACCTGTCGGCGGATGAGCCAAGCCAGAGCTACACGTGCAAGGGCTTCGACGTCAACATGGCCGCGTACATGGCCGAGCTGGCGTACCTGGCTAAGCCGGTCAGCCCGCATGTACAGGTAGCGGAAATGAACAACCAAAGTGTCAATTCGATGGCGTTAGTTGCGGCTCGTTATGCACTGGAAGCGGTCGAAGTTGTTAGTTTGATGGCGGCGACTTACATATACGTGCTCTGCCAGGCGCTAGACCTGAGAGTGCTGCAGTTGAAGTTCCGAGAGGCCCTATCGGTGCGTTTGCGAGATCTGGTTCTCTCCGATGTTGCCAGGCAGAAGAGTCCGAAGTCCAAAGAGGAAGAGCACAATGGCTTGTGCGAAGATGACATCACGAAGAGCCAAAGGCTTGCCAGCAAGCTTGCAGAGTGTATCCGTGACCAATGGGACAAGCTAGCCTCCCTGGATGTAGCAGAGCGAGCGTCCGTGGCAACTAAACAGTCAGCCTTGGACGCCCTTGAGCTTCTTCACTGTGGGACGGAGTACGATCGTAGAACCTGGGGCCTCAGCGATTTGCAAGCCTACCACTTGAAGACCGCTCGAGTGGTGGCAGATTGTTATGGTGAAAACCGAAATACCTTGCTCAAAGGCAGGCAGGACACTCGACGGTGGCTCAGCGGTGGCTCTACAGTCGTCTACGAGTTTGTCAGGAAGGAGTTGAAGATTCCACTGAATAGGGGCGTGGCTGACCATCCGCCGCTTCTAAAGGAGGAGTTGACGAGACTAAAGGAGGCGATCCGCAGCGAGGCAGGAACAAGAGCCAAGGAGATAGAGGAGGGTAATGACTTACGGTCAAGAAACAGGATTCTTGGAAGCATGGCGTCGGAGATTTATGAGGCGATTTGCAGTGGGGAGTTGCATTCACGGATTATGGCGTTTGGAAGGGATAGCAAGATGTGGGGAGAGGCCTCGTCTTCGTAGTTCATACCATTATTAGTTTGTGCTTCAGAGAGGTTTTCGTAATGGCAGAGAAAGAAGGAATGGGTTACATTTCATAACTTCATGCTTGCTTCCGAAGCTATATCGGCGTATATTCCTACAAAATTCACACCAAAAAACTTCATGCTCGCTGATATCTGACTAGAGGATTAAGGAACTTGATGCGCTCCCCGTTCGTTTTCTTCATCTCTTTCAGAGCCATTCAAAAGTCCAAGTTACATGCGGCATAGAGTCCTTATTCCTGTCAGCAAGTGCACCGTTTCACACTTTTGCACTTTCAACAGCCAAGCCTAGTAGTGTATTGTGAATCGGTGTTCAAGCTGTTTCTCGTAAAAGTTAGTACGGCCTGTCAAAGACAACGTCAATATCTCCCTCGCTAAGCTGGAACGAGAACCGCTTGGAAAGATCCTGAAGCGTCATGAGATCGGGCTCACCGCTTCCCTAGTTTCAGCTGAGCAGAGCCTCTCGAGGGGATCAAGCTGTCCTTGTACCACTACCGTTCGCAACATTTCGAGACACTGGTGTGGTAGTTTGGTCCTAGCATTGGTGAAGGACCGCACGTGTCATTTGTGAGCAGGCGCTTCAGGGGTGCACATCCCATGCGGAGAAACTCTCCGCATCAGGTATACGGCGTATTTTTTGCCTTCCCCCCTTTGCGCTTATCAGATCGTAATCGGGCTATTAGCGGTAGGTAGAGGTAGGCATGGGGATTCAAGACATCATGACCCCTATGGAAGTGAAGTCCACTACATCCCGCCACTACATCCCAAACCCAAGGAGGAGGGACCCCACCCCGAATATACCTTACCCCAATATCATTTGTTGATCCCTGTTGTTGGTGTTCGATTTGTTGAGAGACTGAAACCCTCGTCCCAAAAGTCATCGATTTCTCTGCTACTGGCGATAGAGTCAATACCAGAGTTCCTGGCTCGTAATAAGGTCTTTTGGCCTTCAGGGGTTGGTTCTAAATGAACTGTACGGACGGACCTTTGTTGAATTAGCATAATTCGTCCGACGTTTGATGTTCATATGATGGGCTCAATGGTACACTAGCTCATGGTCGATCACATGGCTGATCGACAATGTCTTATCTCTTTAGGCCTGCCTGTCCTGTGGTGGGACCTCCATCACCTTCCTGACGCGGGAATCTCTTCCACATGTTGTAGTGTAAGGCAAGGACCCCTGCTTTTTTCGCTTATGTGCAGAGTAGTGTACACTATGTACCTAGTTGAGGGGGATGTTCCGAACAATCAATCTTTTGTCTCGTGGCATGCGACTGATGTTCTTTGGGGTAACCACTGTAGTGTACATACACTACTCTCCCCTGTATAGTGTACACGTAGATGTAGAGGATTTGCAAGACACCTCCTCCATACTGCATGGACCCCCATTCGCCATCACGCCATCCTTGGATGTCTCGGCTTCTCCAAATCTCAAGAGGTAGGTAGGGGTCCATTACATAAGTGGGAGCTTCCCGAGGCGCAGCTGCTGGACCCTCAAGCGACCCAGTCCATTTTATCGGGTTACTGTCCTGTCGCTACCATTGGTACACAGACGACATTGAGAGTTCCTCGAAGATGAGATTCAGCATCTCTCTCAATCCAGTCTTTTAGTTCTCAACATATATCAAAATGAGTTTTGTCGCAGACATGCCGCCTGGTAAAGTAGATCGCGTTCCCTCCTGTCTGGTGTCAGCTCGTGTTTGCTTGCCTCAAAGGCACTCGACTTGCGAAGGTGGTAGTTACAAGCTGAACCATCTGTTTTTCTGCCCAATCAAAGCCAGTGTATTCTTCTTCCAAGCCAGTGTGTATTGGATGCATCATTTTTCCACACCGCTGGACCCTGCCTAGCTAGTCCGACAGTACATGGCAAGCAATCTCATGTTTAAGACAAGGAGAAACATCAAAGACACCAACGTACCTGAACCAACAGTAGCAGCGCTAATTTAGGCGATGGTCTCAGCAGCATTCGCTAAAAAGGCAATGCGGCAGATTGGTCGGCCGATCGTCGGCCGGCTAATCGGAGTTCACACTTCACAGGTCCCACGAGACCGGTTCACATATGTATTGGTAGGGCTCCGAAGGTTCGGTAGAGAGCAGCATGTGGTGAATCCGCGACAGGTATGGGTGTGATTTTGCGGTGGTGTTGATGTGGCCATTCGCGCAATTAAGCACTGATTGAACGGGCCCATACAGCCTGTATTTCCTGCAAAACCTCAGGATTCCCATGGTTGCGTGTAAATGCATCTGAGGACCTAAGAATCCCGTTACTGTAACCCCTGCCGCTTAGGGCCATCGGCCAGCGGCCGCCTGTCGGTTGGATACCCCGGACTCTCACCGGCCGGCCCCTTTTTGATAATTGACGTCCGTGCAGCTTCCCTGAATGTCCGAGAAGACGACAAGTAGAGCAGTCAAACGTCGACAGCGGTACAAGCGGATCACCGTGCGATTTCGTCATCTGGACAGTCGCGCGTCCAAAACTCAAGGGGATTACATACCGCGCTGCCGGCGGACCAAACATGCGATATGGTACACTACGAACGAAGACGGACTCTCGCCCGGAGGAATCCCTCCAGCCAGAGTCCGCGTGCCTCCCTGTAAGCCTGGTCTCCCCGAAACATAAAGATCTGGGGACCAGCTGAATCTAGAGACAGCATGAAAAAATGACATATCAGGAAGTTTCCCCTCTATCCCTACCCGCTGGAACAGCGCTGCACTTGTAGTATGGCTGAAGGTTGAAACAACTTCATCCGAACAGCGTGCCCGTACCCCGTGCAGCATCGGCCGGCGTGGGCGAGCACGTTCCAATTACAAAACACTGCCTTGACGAGCCCGTTTCGTTCTTCCTCTTTAATTGACGGTGGTGTGGCTTCCGTCGATCACGGGCGGAGGTTTGCGGTTGTGTACACTATTAAAGCGGTCAAGGTGCATCCCCAATTGGGACTTGTGATAATTGATGGTCATTATAGCTTCTGGCATATGTACTGGTACTGGCGGGATGATATCTGATGTGGTTAAGGCAAGGTCGCAGTGTCACATTCGCCAGATATCATGATCTGAAACGCGGAGTTCAGTGTGTGACCCGGCAGGCCGGCCTGCCAAGCGTCATGACGATATTGGGTTCGGTAAGGTGACATCAAGCCATTGTGGCAGGTAAACCAGCATCGACGATGTTTTTGGGCCATCATATTCTGGTCATCGACTTCTCATTGAGGCAAGGAAGTGAAATCAAATGAAATGATAGCAAGAGAAGCATAGAAAAAAAAAGTAACGTGAAAACGGTCCTGGGCTCCTTTTTCGATTGATAGGCTTTTCCGAGTTTCTCAGCCAATTGAAACGATTGCTTGGATTGGATGTAAACCCAGGTACCGATGTCGTCTCGTTGACTTCAGCATTGCCGGCTGCCAGGGCTAGGCAAAATACGCAGTATAAGTCAGCGGCATAATGCCAAAAGCGGACGAAATAAGCTTCAGCTTCAACACGGGACTTGAGGCAAAGACCTGACTCGTTAGGGCTTGAGCATTCGACGCAATGCCTGAGGGTCAAGATTATTCCTGTTAGTGTAGACCCTATTAGAGTACATGAAATCCGGACGTGGCTCCGATAGAACCCCCCGTATTGTTGTCGCCGACGGGGTTCCTGTTCAGGCTATGCACTCCCAGCACAATGACGAGTCCTGTTTTCTCCTCTGTGCGATCCTGGAAAGAAACAAATGACAAATTGGACTTCGCGATAATCCCGAGGTGCCGAAGCTAATTTCTTCGTGGACTTTATTACCCTTTTGAGACTCGGTTGCTGGTGCCCCATGGTTTCGACAGCGGCTCATAGCTTTCCGCCGATCCGCAGAGTCTGCAGAATCTCCACGAAGTTCACAAACCGTGGTAGATTGGAATGCCCTGACTAGACGCTCTTTTGGGCCATTGATGCATATGGTTCTCCTTTCAGCAAAGTGGATGTTGAATCAGCGTTGAAAGCAAGCCACCAAACGTTGTAAACCATGCCAAGGAAGATCTTGAACATGGCGTCAACGCTAGTTGTAGGTGGGCCTTGTCAAGTGGCAGCCGGAATTGGGGTTTGAACGGCAAACCTGTCTGTCGGGACTCTCCACAACGCCAAACCGATGCAATTATGATGGTGCGTGGGTACAGTCCGATCTTTGGCAGCTTACGTAGAGCCATGTGTTCCAGCCTTGGCAACTACAACGACATCATAGACAAGCTGTCTCGGCTAGAAATCATGAGTGGTGCGAGGGATTGTGTTGCAAGCTGATAATAAAAACGCGAATTGGCGGCGTTGGAAAGGGGATTTGTGCGTACGGATGGTGTGCGTACAATGAGAGCAGGTTTGCTCTTGTCGAGATTCCTCATGAATTACTTGGGGGTTGTGGTGCGGTTTGGTGGTGGAACTTGTAAGAGGGGGTTGACAAAAGACTCTGACCAAGCCGCCCGACAACCCCCAAGTACTTCTGTTTCAGTAGGTAGAAAGAGCCAATATCGAACCAAAAGTGATGGAGAGGGATGTGTGAAAGAAATCATCGGGGTTTACGCACTCTGGCTACTCGTCTGCGAATCTGCTCCCAAATCTCACCTCATACCCATTCGGGGCTCCCAGCCAAGCCGAAGGGTGCTGTTCCCGTGGACCCAAACCAAAAGGCTGGGAAGTCTTTTTGGATGTTTTGCCAAGAGAACTATTCCCGTCTTCAACACGAACGGAGATAGCGTTGCAGGGACATGGTTCCCAGAGGTCGGCGACTCAAGAACGCATTCATCCGAAAGCCAAGGAGGTCAACTGTGACCGCAAATGGCAGCATGATGAGCTGGGAACCGCCAGGGGCGTTTGCATAGAGTTCAAAGACGCAATGTACGCCAACCTCGCTCTGGTAATGCTGATATATCGATATTTGTGCACTTTGGTGGTCCACGTCCAGGAAAGAGTAAAAGGCAAAATGGTGAGTTCGCACAGGTATCCCTGTTCAGCTCGGCCGAAGAGGGAGTGTCTGTCACTGATACGGTTCCTAAAAGGTTTAGCGCGTGCAACTGGTTGTCCGACAGTCAGGAAGTTCTCGCAGGTATCAGTACCGAAGTGAATGTGGATGGCAAGTGTTCGAGGAGATTTGTGCCTGGATGCCTGCTTCTTTCCGCCAATTCGCTCGCTTCCTGGGTAGTTTGTAATCCAAAGACCAAAGTTAGTGTACACGTGGTAAAACAGCCGAAGCCCGAATTTCGGGTTGGCCAGGACGCCGGCATGACTTTGCTTGTGGCGGGATCAAGAAAGATGCCGACGAACCTTTGGCGTGTAGATTCGCATAAGTATCGCCATGGCGTCTCAGCAAAGTAGTGTATACGCATTGAGATATGTAAGTAGACGCTGAATTGAACATCAACCGACGGATGTGTTCATTGGCAGTTGCCGTTTTGTCGTTCGTATTGTGTTGTTGTCGTGCCATCGTGAACTCCCGTTGTTGTCCATAGCCTGACTCGCGCGACGGAGTTTTGGCATGTGGGGAGGCCCAATCCCGTAGCAGCTAACCATGGTGACCAGAAGTCATGTCCGAATGCGCTGTGCGTCGAGTTAACACGGAGTCCTCAGGCGTGTAAAAGTGACGACAACCGAACCACTGCGAGCGCTTCTGGAGCACATAACGTGCATGGCTGGGATGTCGCCGAAAAAGAGGAGGCGCTGGCTTCGGCCAAAGTGTGGGACGGTGGGCCGAGGTGCGAGGAGCATCCTCGTGGGCCGCCCACCAAGCCGCGGGCTGGATGGAGGCTCCATACGCAGCCGACGCAACCATTGGCGATTGCCTCGATCCACACCTTGAGCTTCGCTTCTAGAAGACCAGTGGGTCAGCCTTGGCATTACTAACGTGTTTCTTTCTTGAAGGGTTCGAAAAGTGCCAACCTTGGATGTTGTAGCGATCATCCATGCTTGTGCCATGGCAGAGCAGAGGCCTCAATTGTGTCGCGGGTTATCCTTCGGCATTGATGGCTAGCCTGGGAATGAATGAATGAAGGATGGAATGGTGATTTCCAAGGATGTTGTCCTGATGTCACACATTCGATATTCGATGTGCGTTGGTAGGAATGGCAGGTGTAGAGGACGGGCAAAATCAAACTGAATCCATAGTATGTAGTGTAGGTGGAAGGAACGGCAGATTCCGGCATGGACGACGTCGCTGCCTGCCGCGTGGGAAGCACCTGCCTTCTGTTACCTACGACGTGGAATTGGCTTCAATTGCAGCCAGGCAAGTACCGATTCGCTCATGGTCCCCGGCAGACATGAACCAGAGCTGTCCAATCCAATATCAAACTCAATTTGGTACATACCAGGTTAAAACCGCCGTCAGCTGCATTCCACTTTTAGTTTTGTGCCTAGTACACTACGTACTGCATGCTATTCGGTAGAGACGCCAAGGCGCAGACTTGTCCAGACTGAGGACGGAGCTCGTGGAACGCGGTGGAGGAGGTCAAGCATGAGGACATGGCATTGAGCCGCATCACTTCCTCAGAGTCCATCCTATCAATGTAGCAGCACATCGGTAGTGCGTCGGCCGGTCTCCATACTTAGTCTGTAGTTTAAGTCGACGGGCGTTTCGGCGCTAGACCATCAGAGTCGGGCTCGTAATGTGCATGGGCCGTTGGGTTCAGGCCAACAAGCACATGCAAATTTTGCAAGGAGAGGAAAAGAACTCTTCTGGCCACATGCAATGTCACGGTTTTCACAAACTCCCTTTCCAAATCCCCTCCTTCTGTGTTCGGAAGTGAGTCCACTTCAACAAGAAAAGACCTTCCGTCACATTTCATCCCCAGCGATCCGACTGCACACGGGTCCCAGTGGCTCCATACTGCTCTCTGGCCTTCCGCATTTAGGTATATCGCCTATAGACCCCCTTGATACAGTACACTACACGTAGGGCGTATAGAGCATGCCTAATAGATGGTCGTGTAGCATCCGCTGGTAGGATGGTACAATCGTCCATTGATCCGGCCCGTTGACAATGAGAGGTGGCAGGAGTCCAGACCGGAAAGTGGGGGTTCAAGACCGGAACCCTTTGAAATTATGATGAGTGTGTGCCTTTTGCGTGTTCTTGATGGTCACATTGAAAACATCACAGCCGCAGCCAGCACGCACATCTCGCACATCGGAAACAAGTGGAGGGTTTTGCGGATCCACGTCGATCTTGTGGCCGTGCATGTTCTTTAACTTCAACTTCGGTTTCGGGCCTGCCAATGGCGGAGCACACAGGGCAATGGGTACGACGGACGGGGTGATGGAGGCTGGCGTTGAAGCCACCCTCGATTTCGTGACGCTGGTTGACGCCCGGCCGAGTCAGGCGTGGGCGAGCATGGGACAGGCCTCGGTGATGACACGCTTTGCCAGTACTGGATCTCCGCCCGGAGAGATGAAAGCTTCCAAAAGCCTTCCAGAACGTTGCTGAGAATCCCAGGGTTCGATGGCCACTTTGTGAACAGCCCTTACCCCAGTCCTCGTTACAAGACGATCACCATTCACCATACACTACACGTAGTGTACATACCTACATAGCAAGCTAGCAAACCTCGCCGCCGTGAGCCCCAGACGGCGAGGATAAACATATTTCCGCAAAATTGCAGTTGTAAAAGATTTACGAAAGGCGCTAGCTACGAAAAAGACAGAATCCCACTGGACTGATTTCTCATCTGCCACTAAAGCCGTCGTGCATATGCGCTATTCTCACCAAAAGTGCCACGTTTACACTATAAAATCTCGGGTGACTGAGAGAAAGCGGTCTCTACGTAGAGACTCAGAACACTGTGAGCGACCGTGCGTAGGTAGTCCATCCTGTCTTTGCAAGCGTCGAGCTGTTTTAAGAAGACCCATGAGATGTTCACAAGGCAAAAAAGGTAAAGCACAACACCCTGCCACCGGAACATTGGCAGGGTACCTAAGTTTCAGAGGAAACACCGGGACCCTTTGATTTCTATACGCTCATTTGATCTTGTCGCATACTGTACACAATCGGCTGTCATGCTATAGCATCACCGTGTTGGTGCGCGCGCGTTTCGAGTTCAGATGAATCCGAGGCCAAGATGAAGCTGGGTCGGGGATTCCGTTGTGTGATAATACCGCCGCGCCGAGCCTCAATTCCCGAACTCCACAGGATATTTTGCGAAGAATCTCCCCACATTGAACCACTAACACGCCGATGAGAGAGGCCGCGCTTGCGGCGACTTGTGATGTTGAACTCTCGGCCTAAAAAGACTTGACAGGGAATTCGCTAGCGGACATTTTAGCAGGACTCTCCCGCCGTGTTTTCTTCTTTTGTGTTTGGGTTGAGATTTGAAGATGCGGGAATTTTCAGCACAACAAGCACTGTTTTTTCCGGGGTCTGCTCCATTGCCGAGTCGGAGTCTATGGGGCACCTAACCGGGCCGGATAAATCGACTGTGTGCCCAGATAGATCCCCTGTGTGGGGGCCGCCCGACCAATGGCAAACCATGTCAGCGCCCGCCAAATTTGCTAGCGAGCAACATCGTGTGACATCTCTGTACCTCAGCAGTAACGATTGAAGCAATTGAGCACATCGCCGTCGCCGTCATTATTTACTATCGAGCCAGTGAGTGTGGTGTTGAGGGGGTCATACTTATCGAGATTACTAACCGTGCGCTGTAGAAATGCCTGAAGTTATCGATCTGACTGCCTCCTCCCCAGCGGGCTCCCCCATACTCGCGCGCGCGCCCAGTCCGACCCCCTCAATTGAATGGATCAAGACTGAACCGCGCGACGATGACCACGAGTTTCTCGATATCAACGACCTCATCAAAGACGAGAAGCCATCTCCATCTCCAGCTCCGGCCCCAGCTCCAGCGATCCCCGTGTTCCACCGCCGCCGTCGCTCCCCCTCAAGCTCCTCGAGCTCGTCGTCGTCGTCGAGTTCTTCCTCGGACCAAGACAAAGAGACAGAGAATGAGGAGGAGGTTGGCAAGAAGGAGCCCGCCCTCGCCGAGCTTTCTTCTCGCCAGTGGACCGACGTCGACGCCGCCGTCAGAGAGATCAGTGACATCGCCAGACAACTCGGATTTGGTGTTTCTAAGAACCGTGCCAGTAACTACCGGACAGAGGGAGCAACTCGGTTCCCTTGTCGGTACGATATCGAGTGTGTTATGGCGAAGAAGCGCGGGGGCAAGAAACGCGACAACGACGCCCCGCTCCAAAGACCGTTGGCAGCGAGTATGAAAAGAAACTGTGAGTGGCAAGCAAAGCTGGTATTCAGCACCAAAACCAGGGTATGGCAGTTTACCCTCATGAGGGGAGACCACAGCCATCCCCTCGACCCCAACAGCGCCAGTTATCTCGCCGTCAATCGTCGCCAACACCGCACAGAGGAGGTAACCGCCAGTATCCTTCGGTTGGCCAAGCAACCAAAGACTTCCTCGTCAGACATCGCGTCTACTATCCGTGACGAGTTCCCTGGTATTGCCATCACGCAACGCGACGTACTCAACGTACTGGCGGCCAACAGAACGAAGCAAGCGGGTGCCCTCACACCGACCCAACAATTTCTCGACCGGTTACAGTCAACAGAGGGGATTCATCATGAAGTCTACCGTCACAACGGCGAGGAGTTTGGTCTGATTGAGAGAATCTTTTGGACTTATCCATGGTGTATTGACCAGTTGAGGAAGAATCCCGAAGTCATGAGCTTGGACTGCACGTACAAAGTCAACAAGTTCGACATGCCTCTCCTTCAAATATGTGGGATAACGGCCATGCATACGACTTTCAATATCGGTTATTGCTTGTTAAGTGGCGAGAAGGAGGCATGCTTTACATGGGCATTTCAGCAAATCGATGCCATGCTCTCAAAGTATGGTATCCCCCAGCCTCTAGTCATTGTCACCGACTACGATAAAGCGTGTAAGAGAGCTTGCCGGGCAGTCTTCCCCATAACCCAGCACCAGATCTGTCTCTGGCACGTGATGAAGAACGTTGCCTTCAACGTCAAAAAGAAGTGGGAGGGTAGTCTTGAGGGTACAGCGTTGGGTAACCGTGGCAGTGACGGGAGTCATCTCCGTGAGGATCACCATCATATGGATATCAACCCCGCCAACGAAGACTCTACTGCTCGCCAAGTCGCCGCCCAGTTGTTGAATGGAGATGACCGGAATCACCACCTCGAGTCAGGGACTAAGAATCCCTTCATTCAACCCATCAACGGTCGTGCCCCCCATGGTTCAAACCGTGAATGGATCGACAACGCGGATGGGATCTTAGCCGCGTGGAGGGCAGTGGTGTACTCTGATACAGAGGAGGGATTCTACCAGCAATGGCGGGTGTTGTTGAGGGAGTTCCCCAAGCAAAAAGGTACGATTATCACATCTTTCTATTATTATCTGTATAATTACTAATCCCTCTTTTTACAGCCATAACCGACTACCTTCTCTACGTTTACCTCCCGTTGAGGTACGAGTTTGCCCATTTCGCCATCAGATCATACCGCAATTTTGGTATACGAGTAACCTCCCGCACAGAAGGTGCCCACGGCGTCTTGAAAGCACTACTCAAGAATCGTCGTATTGATCTCAACCAGTTACTGGGCGCCATCACCGAAACCCTCAAGCGGTTGAAAGAGAACTTCACGATCAAATACACGTATCAGATCTCAAAAGACGTGGCGAAGTTCAGGCATACTGCTCTGGCGGACTTGAAGTTCATCACCAGCTTCGCTTGCCTTGAGTTACTCCAACGGCAAGCTCAACTGGCCAGTGATAATCTCAAGCGCTCACAGTCTGACTTGGAGGGACTAAAAGCAAAGTGCTCTACCCACTTTACGAGGCAGTATGGCTTACCCTGCTGGCACGGGATAATTGATATCGTACGGTTGAACGGTACCATACCTCAAAGTATGGTCGATAAGCACTGGTTGCTCAAACCAGACACGGTAAATAAATATCCCTCTCTTAAATATCATTTATCTAGTGCGCTTACTAACCGTGTCTTTTACCAGCCGTTGTCTACAGAGTGGCTGTCACTACGTAGGGAGAGAGACCCTCTCCCAGTTGTCACCAACCGCTGGAAGGCTCGCAACGGTGCCCAGCCCATGCCCGCCATGCCCGCGCTCCCTCCTCTCCCCTCCTCCAGCGTTAGATGCGATCCATCTCATGATGCCCCCCCCAAGGCTTCACAGCCTCCCAAGAAGAAGAGGATGACCAAAGCAGTACTGGCCAGTCAGAGGGAGCAGGAGGCAAAAGCGGCGGCAGAGAGCGCGAGGCTGGAGACAGAGATATTGAAAACACAACTCCAGGAGTTGAGAGAGTCACGGCAAAGAGAGGCACAGCTGGAGGCACGGCTGCGAGAGCTCACGAGTCAACAACAACGAGCTCAACCCCCGCCGCCGTCACCAGTATACCAAGGGTATCAACAACAGCAATATCACCAGCCCACCCGCCAGCTGATGATGCCCCCCCCTCCCTCACAGCAGCCGCTGTATCTAAATCCTTACCAGCCGCCACCATCTGGCCAACAGCAGTCCCAACAGCTGTACTGGTTCTCCCAGTCGAGCCAGCAGTACCAACACCAGTAGATTATATATACCAGTATAAATATAAACTCTACGATTTCAGCATATTCATGTAAATCAGCATCTCAGAAAGCCTCGTCTGTGTAAATCCTTGTGCAATTTTGGTGTGGATGTTGCACACATGTCATTTTGGTGGAAATTTGGCGGGCGAGAACATGGGTGAATCATTGGCCAGACCGGTTCCACACAGGGGATCTATCTGGGCACACAGTCGATTTATCCGGCCCGCACCTAACTGAGTGGTACGCATGCGAACGGAGATGTCACCGTAGTGTAAACCCACAAATTCCACTCATCACACATGCCTACAGCCCGCAAAAGTGCCTGTGTGAGTCGTTTTCTACGAGGACGATTTATTCGTGTCATGCTGAGATTCAGACACTGTATTGTCGTTGGGCAAAAAGGTACGGTCGCTCCGTACTGGAATATCAAAAATTTGCCCCGCAGCTGGGTTTTCCGCTGGCAAGATTCCATCAGCCACCGACAACGACGGAAATGCGCCGCGTTTCTGTCTTCTGCCTTTCAGATCGGCCCGTTGTCCGTCAGCATGGTGCGAGGTTTTCCATCAAGATTTAATGCCAAAAGGTGATGGGATCTAGTGTAAGTCGGTTCGAAAGTTCGCGGAGTGGTATCATTCATGCGGTACCAAAGGCCCGTCACCGAATCATCGTTGCGAATATGACCGCTGGATCGAGGCGTGATAGACGACACCTTTCTTCGCAAAGACAAATTGCACAAGAGCCCGATGACGATGGTGCCTCCCTCAGCAGCCTGAAAGCCCAAATGGTATAACTAAATATATCAAGTCTGGAGACGGAGCATCCGACCTTGACACGATCACCCGAGTACCTACGGGAACAGAGAGAAGTGTGGTGGAGAGGACGAGTGCAAACTGTGGTCGCAGCATTGGTGAAAATTGCAGATATACGCAGTAAGTAGTGTACCACACAACAAACGGTATCGCTTATACGGAAGACACAACGAAGACTCTTCGCCGCAAGGATGGTGAGTGAATGTACGTACCGTACCTGACGACTCGTAGCCGAAGAACTTGAGTCGCACCGTGACCCCGTCCTTGCTCCGTGGAAACTTCAAATGGATTCCTTACCGTGCTGCCGCTAACAAGACTTGCAGAATGCCAAGCATCAAGCTCCACATACGGCGAAGTAACCTGAACCCCTGTCGGTTAACCTTGGCTCCACACGCTCCTTGTGCACACAGTCGAGGACTCGAGGAGGAACGGAATGCCCCTTGCCCAGACCTCCATACCGTGTCTCTCAGCGAAGTCAAGGGTGTGTGGTGTTGGCACTTAGCAGCGAATCAATGTCGCGCCATTGTCCAGACAAGAGGAACAAAGTTCGGGGCGGCGGTCCATGGACTATTATTTCACCATATGTTTCCATCGTCCCCTGGCTCCCACAGCCTCATGCTTTCGGTAGTCTCTGTACAGTGAACTGTGTCGCACGCTGTACATGCGTAGCCAAGGTACGTACCTGCCGAGCGGACCCATGTCCGGCAAGTAGCAGGTACCCAGCAAGGTAGAGGTACCTGACGAGAGCTCATCAACTGACACCAGAAAGCGGGCAAGGGGATCCTGGAAGGAACGGTGCTTCGCATCTTTTGACAACACTCCACCTTCCAAAGGGCTCACGTTGGAGGACTAGGTCGGGATTGACTCGGATGCGCCATCCTTTTTCATTTTCCTTTTTTTTTTTTTTTTTTTTTTTTTTTTTTTTTTCGTTTTCTCACTGTGCTTAAGCATCCGTCCTCCTCACGATCCCTCATACTCCATAGGACGCACCACCTGGCATACAAGGTTAAATACAACGTCGTGCCCACCGTCCCATCTTGGCCATCTCCTCTTTCTCCAGTCTGTAGAGCTTGCTTCCCCCACAGATTCCTCAACCAGCCCAACTCAGGCACTTGGCTACTCGGCTCGTCATCGACATCGATATCATACCTTGGGTTCGACTCTCACTAGACTGCCGACTGTCTGATCCTCGCAATCAGCACACCAACACCGCCAACTGTTCAACAAAACACCAGTATCAGTCAAGATGTGCGACTACACTCAACGGGAATACTCGTGCGGCCACTTCCGCTGGATCGCGTCCAAGTGGTGCAGAGACTACACCATCACCCACAAGCGCTGCCAACCCAACGTCACCCACTTTGAGTACAGGCAGGAGGAGCTATGCGGTATGTGATCGACATGACCTTCATCTGGATATGAACAACCGTTCCTGACCCCCCACACCCTTTCCTGTTTAATCATCCTGACATCGTTCTCCCACATCGACTGGAGGCTGACTTCTGAATAGGCGAATGCAAGCCCAAGACATACCCTCCCTGGGAGAGCATGATCAAGCGCACCAGCAAACAGCAAACTTACCTTTGAGCGCATCAGGCTTCTGGCGATAACAGATAAAAACACCACTTCCCCACCGAAGCCCGCAATCGCATCGACGATCAGTGGCATTCAAGGCAGTACAGCAATGTGAGGTTACTACATAGGTACACCCGGGGAGTCTGGGGATACCGCAATCGGGCGATGACAAGCCAAGCGCCGACCACCTCGATTTGAACATCTTCGCCAAACGAGAGAACGACACTGGAGCGGAAACATCGACAACGGCGGCGACAGAACTGCGAAAATGGGTCAACCACTGTCGAAAGCACATGGACCCGGGCCCGTACATCAAAATCACTGAAAGCGGCAGTTCGGCCGTTTCCATGCGCCAACAACCACAACGGCCATACACAACGCGAGCCCCATGCAGAATTAAGACAACGATAGGTACTTGGGTTCGCAAATTGGACCCTCGGCATCCCATACTTGCCAAGGACCATGGATGGGCCACACCTCACGGCGGACCCCCTTGTCACAGCAGCCAGCATGGATACCACACCCATTCTCTCCGGCCATCACACAGTCGGCGAGCAACCGGGCGGTCAAGCACTTCCGATCTTCCTAAAAGTTGTGACTCGACGCGCGCGACGAAGGCATCGGTTATTTATTCACCTGCCTGCCGAATGGGTCTCCATTTCCAGCCAACTGTAATATGAGGCACCATCTGCGCCAGCTTGTGATGAGTCCTTGTTATCGCAGGTACCATTGCACTGGCGCCCGCCCTCATACGGTCCGGTCCAACCCCAGTGCAACCCTATCCAGGGTGGTGCTGCAGCATGGTTGGGGGACAGTTCCAGGGCATGGAACAACAGCAGCCTGGGCAGCCAGCTGTCGCCTTGTCATATCAACATCGTCATCATTATTATCGGTACACGTGGGCGCCAACAACCCGGCCAGACCTTTCTCCTTTCTCCTCCCCCACTTTGACACCCGACTCTCCAACCACAAAACCGGTCGTGTCTCATCCCAAGTCACTAGCCTGCGCCTCCCCCACGACTTGCATGCTTCCTCTCATCTCATTCTAGAAACCCAACGAGTGGGTGATGAGCGACAACAAGCCCAACGAACTTGGGTTTTTGTTGCCGTATTCTTTTCTTCTCTGCTTCTGTGTATTTTTGTTTTGCTTGCCTTCCATGGCCTTTTGGCCATCTCGCATCTTATACCCATGGACCTTAAAGGCAGGTCTTTTGTCATTCATCATCATCACGAGCCATACATGTGTATGTGTGTATTGTACATATAGAGACGTCATTTTACAGGTGTTGTTTGCTTTTTGTTTGGAGTCTAGGGAGATTGGATTGCGCTCTTTTACAAGGAAATATAATGGTTATTGGTATCGCTGGCAAGCTTGGGATGGAAAGGAAAACGGATTATTCAGGAGGGATGAACCGGCTATGGCTCAAAAATGACTTTAGATGGGAAATTGGGAATTTAGGGACCGGAAAACAAAAACGATTCATCGTAATCGATACCACCATAGCATTTTAACAAGGCGCCTTGAACGGTGCTTCATTTGTGTCACCAAAAAAAAAACGTTTCCGTGTGTCAACGCGTTCTGGACTCTCGCTGATAGATTTGAAATATCGGGCTCTTCGCGCTTGTGATTGATAGAAATGTTTATACGTGCTATAGTTGTACCTGAAATGGTACGAGCTAAACAGCAAGTACCGACAAACACGGAAGCTCTTTCGTCTCAGGCAGATATCCTTGTCTGTCCCTCGATATTCTAACCTGAATCACATTACACCGGGCCAGCAATTGTTTGTTTCGATTGCTTGGCGAAGCCGAGGGCTTCGTCGTCTTACACCACATACACTGACAAAGTGGGTTTGATCGGCAATGGATAAGGGGAGTTTCTTCCCTTCCCACTCTTGAAAACACAGCATCCTAGTGTAGACACCTTAGACAAAGTGGATATTAGCAAATACACCTGCTGAACCATCTTTTATAGCTTAGTTAAACTGAGTGGCCCCGATGGCCAACCGGTCTCGTGGGAGAGTCATGGCGTGACGGGGGTGCTAACGGCGTCAACAACTCTTGCGAAAAAGAAGCAGAATAAGAAGAAGAAGAAGAAGAAGGAGAATAAGAAAAAGACAGGTCTGGCTGAAGATGGCTACGTAGGTACGGCACGCACATTAGTGTATGGATTGAAAAAACAAAGAATAATAAAAAAAAAAAAAAAAAAAAAAAAAAAAAAAACATGGCTTCCCGGTCTTGTTTTAGTGTGAAAGCAAGCAGGGGAGAATACCTTACTGTGATTCATTATTCGCGGAAAAAAAAAACACACCAGTGGATTACGAATGAACGTCCTGTCAGGCAAGCAAGCATCACAAAAAGAAAAGCTTCGTCCTTCCTCATCATCGCACCGCATCGAGATCGGAATTGCGGGTTTCATGCGACGCGCGCAACCCAGGTCAGTAGCGACGGGACAACGGGAGAAAGCGGGTTGCGGAGGGCCGAATTATGGAGTCGGTTGGAGTGGGAGTCGGATGCGATATGGGGATTACAGTACGCACAGCGTACAGTGTGTAAATTGCATTGGATTATGTATGTATGTCACTGTGGTGGTGGTGGTGGTGGTGGTGAGGCTTATACGCTAAAGTCTTCAATACCAAAAAGTCAAGGTAGGTAGTGGTAGTGTAGGATTATGATCGTGATCCCTGGGTCATTTCTCGTATAAGATTGGAGGTATTAGCAATGGTGAGCATGGGTCAATATCATGATGCGTCTGGCGGCGCTGTGGTACGATCCTTATCATAGTTCCCTTAGCGCTGATTTCTCAGGCGTAGAGTAGTGGTATGTTGTCTGTTGCTGTAAGTCACATTACATGGAAAAATTTCTCGATTCCTTCGGTAGTACGGATCTTTGGTAGTCATGTTGTTGAGATATACCTAGGAATTGTCAGAGACGACCTAGACATGAAGCCTTACTCGGTTCGGTCACGGCTCGGTTCGGTTCGGTTCGGTTAGAACCTCTTCAAGCTTCTTTGTCTCGGTCTAGTAAGGGTTCATTATTTTCTTTTCCCCGTAAGTGCTTAAGAGGGAATCTTTCGATTGTGTATCGAAGTATCTGACATGCTTTTGATGCCATGAGTTTCTATCAACAGTCTCGTTGAGATTTCTGACTATCGCTGTTTAATTTCAGCAAGTGCAAGGTTGAGAGTGCTACCTGTAACCGGTCATGTTACTGTAGGGTGACACTACAGACACCAGAGCCTGCCATTGAATATGGATCAACCCATAGGGCAGCATACCGGTATGATCTGGTAGGAAACCAAAAACCCAAGGCTGTCGGAAGGAGGTCAACAATTAGCATGTGCTCCGATGGTCCATCAACTCGGCCGACCGGTCATGCAGCCCTTTGGGGCGTGTAACAGTTTAAGGTAACTTGTCATCATCACAATGCCTCATACTGGGTAAGCATTAGCCCGTCGACGACGACCATGTAAGTCTTACCTTGGGTGTGTGGACGGACATGCGCAGCCTTATGACTGTCGTGGAACGATGCTGGGAAGCCGGTGACGACTAAGGGTATGAACAGATGAAGTAACACGTCTGTCGGGTAGCCGTAGTATTTTCCACTCAATCCCATCTCTGTGTGAGGCCTGTTTTGTTGGCACAATGTAGGCGTAGCTGGGATAGTTGTGCGGTTTAAGGAGGCTTGCCCGGTCCGAAAGAAAGCTGGCAAAACCTCCCCTAGCCGCAAGCACGATATCGGGATGTAGACGGTCGCTGGGTACAGCTTTACCCTGTGCGCTGTGTTACACGGGTGTAGTTGCATCGGCTTACCAGACATCTGCTGAATAGTTTGGTGTCGAACACAGTGATCTTGCAAAATTTGAGTAGGTGGTGTGTGGGGGTATATTGGGTCGAAGAGGACATGCCTGTACCTCGAAATGCCGTGGTTGACTCCCCATCCGTCGTCATTGCTTTTTCCCATGGTTTTTGAAGCAGTACTATGTAGTATCTCTTACCTATCAAACACATGTATGCGTGAGAATTTGGCCGTGTCCGCTTCCGAGCTGTCCATGCTCATGTTCAAGCCATGTGTGTGTGTCGTGTCTTGTGACAGAAAGTGAGGTCAACCTGACTGGCTAGAAATTCAGGTTTGCCGCAAATTTGCTGTCAATCTTTGCTAACAATAGGCTTCTTCTACGCTCAACTTGTTTGGTTTCCAGCCAAGGTGGAAACACGCCAAAGGCAACACCCGTCATGACTGGGCATGAAGAAAGGGGACGAGTAAGCAAGCATCCGCTGAGCATCGATGGCTTAGGTATATTTGGCCGATGGCTTTTCGTCATTGTGTGCATGTGGTAGTGACTGTCAGGCACCATGCGTACGCCATTGGAGGTTTTGGGAAGTGCGTGGGCAACAGTGTTGCACATCCCGGACAGTGCCTTGATGTCCATCGCTGAAGCCCATCGATCGACGGGATACGCGCATCTCGCAAGCGCCAGTGGATGTTACTGGGCAGCAAGGCTTCATACCTATCACAGCATTACGGATGCCTGGCTGTCGTTGTGGCGTGCACCAGAGGGTATCGAAAATCAGGAGTGTTGAGGGGATGGCGTTTGTTTGCGTGTCAAAAGAGAGAACGAAGAGATAGGAAGAGTTAACTTGCCGGTGAAGAAATAACAAGGCAGCCAATCCGGAGAAGATGAACAATGCCGGTCGAAAGCAAGTTCGATTGTGTCAATGGAGAAGGTGGCCAACTTGTCAACTGTTTGTTTTGGTGAAGCTTGCCGTTGTGTTGCTATGGTGATGGCGAGAAGGACGAGGAAACACTCTGTTAATCACCACAGGGCTTATTGAACGCGTGACACCAACACTACGTGGGCGAAGAAACCGCCAGTGGTAACTGTGTTTGCGAGGCCAGAGTCAAAGGAGACGCCAGTATGAAGTCGAGGCGTGATGTGAACTGCTTGCCCGACGCCATGCTTGCTGGCGCAAGATAATACGCAGAAATGTAGATGCAGTAACAAGTTGCAGGCGTTGCGCTGCCGTTCGCTGTCCCTCTCAGACCGTTTAGGAGAATAAACCCGAGGGCGAGTGGGTGTTGTAAGCTTGTGTTTGACGGGTATACTAGATGGTTTGGGCTGGCGTGTGGCATTTGGGTTTGACGCCAGTGCCAGGTTCCTGCCGTAGATGATGGTGGTGGGACAAAAACAATGTGATGATGGTCAATCACTCTCGGCCACACCATTCCTCAAGCGTGTGGGCAGCCCGTGATCCCGGCCGATGTGTCGGTTCGATGTATGGCGTTCGCTTGCCCCACAGCCGAAGTCGAGGCAGCAAGGTGTGTCTGTGATGTTTCCGGGATGGGATATGACAGTTCGAATTTGAGGCCTTCAGCCTCAAACTGGCTTACATAGAGAGGGGATGCAATGCAGTTTGCCCATCATCAACGTGTGTCAATTGGAACGCGATGCCGAGATCCGATAGTTGATCAGATGGGTCGGATATCATTATGATCAAGATCAACGCAGATAGCCGCAGGCAGGAAGGCACAGGCCATGGCCGTGGCCGCCGTCATGGACGTGGACGTGGTTGTCGTCAAGGTCCGAACGAATTTGACACTGCCATGGATGAGGAGAAGTTCAGGTCTTTGAGGATGCAGTGCAGCGTCAAGCTAAGGTAAGGTTCCATACCTATGTACCTCTAGGCGGGCCGCATAGGTACCTAGCTAGCGATCGGTAGCGGGCGGGGTAATTTGCCGGGCATCTGCCTACCAGCTGCCACAAGTGGAAGTGCCCCTCTACAATTGCCCATATCGTACCCACTGCACCTTTCAACGACCAACACTCGAGAAACCGCCTTGTGCTTTGCAACATCAAAAGCTGCAGTTATCGTATTGCATAATCTGGAACAATTCCGAATCTCTTCGTTTCTTTCTTGATACTTCAGTAGCACCGGCTTTCCAGCTTTTCCTTGTATCGGGTCGGATGCCAGCAGGGCCACCGAGGGCCATCACCCGCTTCGCTCGTCCAACATGTGTTGAAGTTGGGAATCAAGTACCAGTACATGGCCAGCTTTGTACTCCGTGGATGGCATTGAATCCTGGTCAGTGGCACAATACTACCCCCACCCCGTCCGAGTGTTGAACACCGTAAAGGCCTTAGCTCTTTTCACCGGTCTGAGTCTGCCGTGTGTGTGTGTCCATGGTCAGTAAGCTATCGGCAATGAGGAAATGTCACAAATGAGAAAAAGATGCTGATGAATCAGTGTAAAAAGGGTGCCCGGACGGGAGTTAGGGATCTAAAATGATACCTAAAGCTGATTTAATAGCGGCCCTGTAGCGGCCTCACCACAGCCACCTACTAGAGGTACCTTCACGACACTCCAGTCCAGGGCCAACGGGCCCGACACGCCGACGCTCGTCGAATCTGGAGTACCTTGCAAGCAGGATAAGACTTTTCCATCGACCTCAACTTCCTGTCAACGCCTGAGATGGACGCCTTCGGAGAGACGAACCTCCATGGTCCCCAAGGTTGTACCTCAGAACACGCCAAGACTAACTGTTCCATGGGATTTCGGCGACATGGCCTTCTCTCACACCTGGGTCTCTGAGGGCTGCATATGGATGGCATACGTTTATGGTGTGGTTCTTCCCTGCAGGGCCCAGCAAGTTCAGGCCAAGTTTAAGCGAGCCGTTGGAGAGACATGGTCGGGCAGGCTCGGCACACCCATGTTGCACCACCGCCGTTGACATCGGGGCACCCGATCCTTTGACGGTCCGTCCACCCGAAGTCCTAATTTCCGGCTTCATGGCTCTACCTGCCTACAGCATGTGTCAACGCTTCAACGGTCCTGTCAGCCTTGACCGATGGTTTCCGAAAACCCGAGTCTACCAGTTGGGCATTACACATGGCTTGGCGGTGGTTTCCAAGTCCAAGGCCATTTGGTGCTGAATGGCTTCTGTACATGTTCAACTACCTAACACACCACAAACTCTCCCCTAACCCACAAGAGTCGCCAACCCAGAAGATTGCAGGCTCCACACATAGCTGCGGCAGCTTACGTATGTGTACCCTGCCATGTGGCCGTATCTCTGTATGTATCAGCTATAACATGGCGCGCAGATCGCTCGGCACAGCATGCCAGCCGCCCAAAAGGGACAACTTCTACCAAGGTCGTTGGTGGAGAGTGTTGTTCTCCGGGAGAACTAATGTCGACCTTCGACGACTGGAAAGGAGGCAGCGCCGGCACTTAAAGTGACGGGTCGACGGTAGCCTACGCTGCATCTCGACCAGAAAATCAACGACCTTCGGCTCGAGGATCCGGTGCATTGACCCAAACCAACCGGGCTTGAAGATTGATATGCACAAGTTTGACCTTCATGGGACATTGGAATCTGCCCCCAGATTTCCCCATATTGATGACATCTTTCACATGATGTCGGTTAATCTGCACCGTTTCATATTTTCGCGGCTATGTTATCAGTCGCATTTTCGTCATATATTTATCCAGACAACTATTCAACTCGGCAAGTACACCTGGAATATCCATGTTAACCGAGTAAGCATGTGAAGATCCCTCATCAGATACTATAATCCGAAGCCAGACATTCGATCGTCATTCCGCACGTGTCTCAGTCCTCGAACTAGCTACATACCTCTAACCACGTGGCAGCGTGTACCTTCATGTCATGGAACTTTCTGGGGTTTCATTTGGCAAAGTCCCGACCTCCTTCCTGGTCGTTAATGCGACCCTATAAGACCCCACATTCAGTTTCATCGAGCATCCAATTTTCCATGGGTCTTACCATCTGGCCGGCTCACCGAGTTATATCAGATCTGTCCTAAGACACGGTTGGGGTTACACCGAATTTCTTTTTGGTGCTACCTCCCAGCAACGCCAGACCATGGCCCCATCCGTACCTCGATGATATATGATAAGCTACACCGGGCTTTTCTTATCTGGCTCCCGACGTGTTCAGGCTCATTTGTCAAAAACGGAGCGTGAAGGAAACGGGGCACCCGCACCTCACTGTTTCTGTCACAAGCTTATCGATGTACAGGGCAAGGCACGACTCGGAGTGTCCCTTCTGCCGCCTTCGGCGCATCCTAGTCAAGCTTTCTTCGGGAACAGTCGTGTTATAGTTGCTTCTGTGCTCCTTCCTTTCTTGACCGTGGTTCCTGAACAAAGCCCTACTAATCTTATCTCAGACCGCTTCACTGCTCACTGATAAACCAGTAAGACAATCACTTAGTAAATTGCCCGCCACATGTCATAACTGACTGTGACTTTTGATCTGCTTATCCTGCAAGCCACCATGTAACAAGCTTCTCTCGATGTCCTTCCCCCGCGCGTCCCGTCTGATGTCAGCTTGATACTGTACAAGTCTTAGCAGACCCTTGACCAGAGACGCCGGTTACAAACAACTTTGTAAGCTTCAGAGATGGTTTTCTTTTCGGAAAATCCCGTCTGACATGTGACATCAGCGACCCTGCTGCAATATTATACACGATGGTCGGCATTGCCATTTCCGGGGGGGCTTCGGGTGGTCATAGAAAGGACCGCACTCATGGTTAGACATGGAGAAGGGTGTAAGCAGAATGATCAGCATCAATGACGGGAGTGGGATGTGTTTTGTTTGGGTTGTGCGTGGGGGGGTAAGATGAAGAATTGAACGTTGCAGCTCTACATCCCCCACCAACAGATGACATCCGCCTACAAACAGATGATCCTGATCCTAAGCCCGATCCTAAATTTGATGATTATAGCCTGAGACTCTAAAAGCATCAATGTGGATACCACCATCGTTATCCCACATTAAGTTGGGGAAAGAAAAAAAAAAAAAAAAAAGAAAGAAAAGGAGAAGAGGTCAACAAGTGGTGGGGTGGCTTACTCAGCAGTGGCTTACACGCTGCTCCTTCCCCGTTCAAATCCCATCCCCTTCACGCATTGTTCTGATAGCCAAGTGCGTGAAGGTGAAAAGTGGATAGATGTGTCTATCGCCCTAACAATAAGTTTTGAATGTGGGTACAGCATAGGTTGCAACGGTGGTTGGCAACTGAAGTTTGGGGGTCAAGACCAAAACCTCAATGGGAACTTCTGCATGTAGACTGTACAACTCATCTGAAATGAGCACAACAACTGCCAACTAGTCAACATAGAAAGAGCTAGGGATGTAAGTAAGGTTAGGTACCTAGGTATAACATCGTCATCACAAACCCGCGTTGTCCTCACAGCAGTTAACAAGGACGACACCACTCGAGATGACCAGCCAAGCTACAAGTCACAAAGCCGGACCCGGACTCCCGGAGCGGGAGCGGACCGGGCCGTAGTGGAGACCTTGGGTGGAAGGGACCCAGAAGGAACCAGACAACCTGAACCCGCCCGGAGAACTCTTTGGTCCACTTCGGCTTACTGCGTACACATTAGGGACTCCACAAGTCTATTACAAAAAAACGGAGAAAAAAAAATGTTGAGTAGCTGCAACTCGTTTCGATCGAGTGACCTCCGGGTTATGAGCCCGGCGCGCTTCCGCTGCGCCATGCAGCTTGTTTACTTGCGGTGGAGTTTGAGGGTCGATGCAAGTCTTTATATATGCTAAAGAAGGCTGCCGTGCATTAGTGCTATGGACAACCGTCTGACTGCGCAACATCGCTTGAACAATCTGCCTTCCGCGTATCTACATATTGGCCAAATCAAGCATCCATGGGAGCGAAGACAACGAAGTGGTTTCACATCCAGGCTTCAACATTTGTCTCTGATAACACCCGGCCTCGCTGTTTATCTAGCAGCTGGAATCCAAACCACCGCAGAAAAATCAAAAAGTGAAAGATCCACCTGAGCGAAGATGGATACGAACAAGTGTATGTGGATGACAAGAGTGGGATTCGAACCCACGCCCTTTCGGACCACGGATTTCTCAGATGAGGATTAAGGGTTAACCTTAACGTGGCGCCTTAGACCGCTCGGCCATCTTGCCTTGGGATTAGATGAAAAATAAACAGCTGTAATGAACCTTATAGGTACGAGCTGAAAGCGATTATCAGTCAGCCAACGACCGGCGGGTCACCTTTGCCATGCTGCGCTCACCTTGATGAAGCCTTCAAACTTGTGCATGTACTCGGTTGTTGTGACTATAGTACCTACTAGCATTGACACTGTATCTATTACAAGAGCCTAGCCAGCCTCATCGTTGTCCTCCAGCTACCACGGTGAACACAGGTTTCTGAGACTTTACCGGCGACTGACAGAAAGAAACTGTGCATACCACCTGACTAGTTGTTGAAGTTCTAGACTTTCAGCTAGGTAAATCAGAACCATATCGGTTGAGAGGTCCGAAAGAAATGGTGAGATCTCTGTCGATCTAGGGTTCACTGGTTCATGAGTTGTCACCTAGGTGCTCCGGTGCTTTTCAGTTCTCGCCGTCTCTAGGGGTCTTGAACAGGTCGTTGAGTACCTCTACTTCTTCTACTTACGTTCTCTTTTCTTTTTCTTTTCTCTTTCTGTTGTTTCTTTCTTTTTCGAAGCTTACTGTGTACGCGAGTCCCCCCGGACAAGAAAGGCAAAGGGTCTAGTTTAGCGATGGTTCCTGCAGGGCAAGGAATTCGGCGACGGCGGCGGCGAGGTCTCAGATGTACAGATCTTAGGGTCGGTGAGTGGACGAATAGGAAATTAAAAAATGCGATCGGAGCCCGGAGGAGATGTCCGAAGAAACAAGCAAGCATTCCCCACGTACCCCCTGGAGCCTTGGTTGCTACTGTTCTCTACACTATACTAGTACCTGAAATGCATCGCTATGTTGTCGTACAAGACACTGACTGGGGTTTAGGAATGAGGCAGCCGAGCCACCAAGAGGACTGACCGCATGTGCAAACTCTCATGTGATCGGCCGGAGTGAAGATGAACTGCTTGCTACCTAGGTACCTCTAGTTTCTGACTGACAGGACCGGTGCAACTGTCAGCGGCATCAAGACCAGACTTCAAGAGGGATAGGTACTGACGTTGCACAACACACTTGAGCACCAGGCAGACAGACAAACTTCGAGAGTCAGGACATGAAATTTCCGAGTACTCTCAATACTTCCGCTCTCTTGTAATCGATGGTGAAATGTTCATCACAGAGTTGACTGTTACTAATGAAGTCTAGAGGTTGATGCTGTTCCACTAGTGTTCGGGGCGGCTTCGCCGCTGCGCGTCCGTGAGGGGTGTAAGGCTGGAGTCTGGGGTTGTGGCCCATGTAGAGCTACATTGAGGTGCTTTACCTACCCTTCCAAACCTGTAGGCGATCGAAAGGTTGAAAGGCTAGATTTGTAAATTAGTTCTCAATCGTTACTATTCCCATTTCCTTTTTTTTTTTTCCTGTCAGGGGGCTGCGCCATCCGAGAGCCCCCCTTCACTTACAGCGTACCAGAGCTCGAGGTCAGCCCTTAACTTTTTAAATATACAAAGTATTAGGCCTAACAATTTCCTTGGCGAGCGTTGTGCGGAGCGTGCGGTTCGTGCGGTAACTGATCGTTAGTGTGAGTGGGGCTTCGCATAAAACCGCCCGCGAAAATCATCAACGCGCTAACAGGACTTTCTTAGGACCCAGCTCAATGTAGGTATATAGAGAAGCTGTTAGAATTGCATGTTGCTTGTGATTGTTCCTTGCTGCTTCGTTTGACAGCTTATTGTTGAATGCAGAAGTAAAGCTACTTCCAGGACTGATACCATGACCGACGACACTGTGTCTGGGGAAAAAGAAGCTAAGATGAAAACGATAAAAGTCCCCTAGCTTCCATTCATTCCATATTCATGATCGAGATCGCCCGGCACCAGCTACGTCCGAGACAAGCGCGGCCAGGTACGTCGTCCAATAATGAGTTGCGGGGCAAAGGAGTAGTTGGGAAATGTGATTTGTAACCTACCTCTAGTCACACTGGGCTGCACTAAAATGTGATATGGAATGGCTTCGGGAGTCTAAATCTATAGATAGACGTGCAGGCGCGGGCAATCCATTCCAAGTCTGGGATGGTCTTGCGAAGGGCAATGAGAAGCAAAGTTTGCTATGGTTTTAAAGAGGAAGGACTGTGTGGTAGAGCAGATAGGAACCCAAGATTGTATGCGAGGAAGGTGATCACATCACGTTTGACAAGTGTCAAGACATGACAGCCCGCTCTGTGATGGTACCCAGTATGTAGGGTCTAGTGAATCACATTATTGCGCACAGTCGAGTTCGTTGAGATCTTCCCGTGTAGGGGATACCATAAACCTCCCACAATCCGTTGCGGGTTTCGAGTCCTCTGGTACTGTTTCCATGGCCACGGGCAAGGTGAGTGTGCGTTACTAGTGTCGGACTGTATGAGCTGTACGGTTAAGTCAGTTGATAGGTCATTCGGTCAGTCACCAATCAGGCTACTTGGCGAATGCAAGGAACAAGCGAAGAAATCGCCGACGGTTTGAACCAGAAGGACACTCGTCGGTTCGGTAAAATTGGGGGATTCAAAGGGGAAAGGACCCTTGATGTCTCGGACGGGCCTTCCGAGAGTTATAAGCATATTGACGATGGACAATCTGTCCGAGTCCCCGTCTGTTGTCCCAGGGGTTCCCCAGATGCTTGCTTTCTGGTATCCCGTGGCGTGCAGGTGAGCCTGTGTGAATCTCTAGCATGGTGTGAACGATCATGTGAGCGATCACGACCACCCATTGCGACCTGTCAAGTCGTCGAGAAAATCCCAGTGCTGGGGTCCGGGCTCGCGTACCAGTACCTCGGACCCTTCTCACCGATACAGGGTGCCCAAAATGGTTGCTCAAAGAACTGACTGGACGATATTCCCTGCTTGAGCTCCGTTCTGCCTGCTCGAGGATAGGAGTGAAATGGTGGGAGCTGACCCAAAAGTGTAAACATGTGCTTGTCTCCGCCGTTCACGCAGGCGGTTGTTTCACTTTGACGCGTTCATGTACCATTCGATGCTGGTTGACCGTCAACTTGTCCCTGCCCTACGGGAGCTGATTCCTGATTGATAGAATGCAGTAACAGTTCCTGTCAAGATGGCATATGAAACACACTGTGTGTAGGGCTATATACGTTAGGATCCATGTATGCCACTACCGGCTGTCCTCTTGATGCATGCGAAGCTGAAATGGTATGGGCCATCTTGGTACCACCATGCACGCAACGAGAGTCCCAAGGCCGACGACAACCATAGAGGTAGCACATGATGGAATGTATATGCAGCTTGGAGGCGAGAAAGTCTCAAGCAGAGGCACATTCTGGGACCTAAGGGGGAAAGTGCTTGCAGACGCGAAGACCTTATTGCTTCTTCTTCTCGTAGTTCCCGGGGGCTGCCAAGGTGGCCTGACCAGCACTTGACATCGCGAGCGTACCGTCTGAAATCAATACCTCAGACCGGCGGACCTGCCACAGTACGAAAGGATACAAGATGTCGCAGACGAGAGAAGTTCCCCATAAGAATACGGCAAAGGGGCTGAAGACGAAGCCATGAGCTTCTGGCCAGAACCACCAGAGGAAGACATTGGCAAACACCAAACCGATCAGTGTGCCGAGTGCTCGACATAGCCTGGCGTACTTGTTAGTGATATTTGCTTGGAGATATCCGTTATTGCGATGGGTCTTTCTAAGCACAAGGCGCGTTTGTGGCATTGTATATGAAACGATGGCCGCTTGTCAAACTCGCAAATGTTTGCGAAACGGTCCCTGTCTCAGCGGGGACGATACCGCCTTGGTCGAACCCGATTCCGAATCGCGGACTTGTCTGCCTTTGCCATGTACGGATGGATACCCACGGAGAAGGAGAAAGCAATGGAAGTGTTGGAACCTACCAAATCAGATAGCTTGTTCCCCCAGAATGACCCCGGGTTATGAGCATGGCGAGACTTCCCGCGCTGCCGGCAAGTTGACAGACGGCGGCAGACCAAAAGGCCACTTCGGTGGCATCATACGCATCCTGGCCCGCCCAGAACTTGCCCGTCTTATCGCCGGAACCGCGGTGAGGCTCGGACATCCACCAGGCAGCAAAGGCGTAGTGGCCCACGCATCCAACGGCGGTCATAAGGGCAAAAAGCCAGCCGATATTCCGGCCTACCCATGGGTTTGTATGACGCCAGGCCTCGGGACCGAAGCGGACGGTGGTGTAGATGAGGCCAATGTCCAGCAAGAGCCAGAAGGCAAAGCCCAGTTTCTCGAGTATCATCTCGCTAACGTAAAAGGCATAGACGAGCTCCCACGAAACGTTGAGGGCGAGAGCCAGGAGCGGCATGCCGTAGGTTTTGGTGGCTAAAGCGCGCCGCGTCATGAGGATATAGGTCGCGTCCCAGAACAGCACGCCGATGCCGAGCAGAGCGGTACTCGTGGGGACTACCCATGATGGGCAATGGGCGGGCGGCACATCGTTGGAGCCCATTTGGGTTGGCGTTCAAAGTGAAGGATGTTGATGGATGTATCTGTATGGAAAATAGATGGTGAGAGAGAGAGAGAGAGAGAGCGAAAGCTGAGGTTGTGGCAACAGGTGAAGAACCGGGCTGACGCCGCCCCTGATGCCCATGGCGAGACTCGTGCATTAGTGGTACATGCCTTCCTCTATTTCAGTTCTTTTATAAAGCCCAGCTCATCATGGGCTTTTGACCTTGAAGCGGACACCCATGGCAGCAACAAGTTGTCGTCATATACCAATGGACAAGTCAGTGTGACTCTCGACGTTTGTCTGCCAGTTACCGTTACATATGGAGGTGTTGTTTTGTCTGCCTTGGTAGGTACCACTGGTCTTGATGTATATACCATTCAAGTCGACGAGGAGATGCTGAAGTAACCCCGCCAAGAGCACAGGCCACTAGGTTGCAGGGCGCAGGGGGAGCTCCCCGCCTTTTTGGCACGTTTGGATAATCCGTCTGTGTTCGATTCCAGTCCGACTGTGTGGAATCAAGGTACATGTCACCTCCGCAACCAAAGTAGCGTGAATTGATTGCTTCATTGACGGTGGTTACGAGCTCTCGTTGTCGTTCTCAAAACGATGAGGTGCTGGCGCGCGAAGTTGATGCCCTGCCGAGCTTGACTGTCCCGCAGTTGTAGGGCCCCACACAATCGAATTGGCATCGAACACAGTCGAATAATTCGGGTCGCGTCTTCCCGTCACGTCGTTCGACAAACCGAACATAGCCAACTTCAACTTGAAGGCGTACTACATCAGGTACTGTACTGACCGTACCGTGTTTGTTTTGTTTTTACACAGCACGACCATTCAATTGGTGCCGAAGCAGTACATACTTCTTGCACGAAGTGACACCAAACAACCCATCCCAACAGAAACGAATTCGTCTGAAGTCGACACACGCAAACACGCCCACCACCAGAGTCGCTCTTCATTGAGCCATGGAATCGACCGAGAACCGAGTGGGCCGCGGTACATGGGCCCGTTACAAGCTTGCCCAGGCCCAATTCACCAGCTGGGTCAAGCAAACCGCCGACAAGGTCGTGTCCCGAAAACCGAATGGCACCGCTCCAGAAGTTCAGACCGAAGTCGTCGTCGAGACAGCTCCGGCGCCTGGAAAGGAGTCGCGACGGCAGAAAAAAGCCCGAGCCAAAGCCACAGTCACTCCTCTCGCCGACCCCCGCCTCGAGACCAACATCGAAAGCGCCAAATCTGTCCATTGGACTGAACTCGAGGTTCTCGCCCTCAAGATCGCCCAAAACGCCGAGCCCGAGCAGATCCCCGATGCCGCCGTCAACATCCTCCGCGATGTCGTCAATCTGCGCAAGAAAAGCTTCAAGTTCTTTAGTGGCGCCGCCGCCAAGCGACCGGCCGACCGAAAGCTCCAGGAAAGCAACCAGACCCACGCCCACATCATCAACGTCCTCGAACGAATCCTCGCCAAGTTCGAAGCCCTGACCTCGGCTCGCCGCAAGGTCACCAAAAACGAGAAGCCTGACGAGAAAAACCCAATGGGCCTGTCCGATCTCATCAACATGTTTACTCATCTCGAAGTCCAGACGTCCCCCGACGCAGCCGAAGATGACAACCAAGGCGATCCACCGTCCGAAGACGACCAAAAGTCCACAAGGTCCAAAAAATCACACAAGAGCAGAAAGAAGAAGCCGCGTAAAGAACGCCACAGCGAGACGAAGGTAGCCCCGCGCCCCTCCACGACAGACAATAATGACGACACTTCGTGGCTGGACACGTTCGATTGGGGCCTGCCCTCGGCAGATGAGGACGACGAGGACGACGAGTTCGACTTCTACATGATGGTTTACTGCTTTTTCGAAGACTTCAACACGATCCGAAACTACGTCCAGGAACGTTGGTGTGACTACTGGTATGACCGGTCCGTCCATCTCAACACCTTGGCCGTCATTACCAACGCCGCCTTCGAACTATTCCACATGCTCGAGTGGGACCTGATGAAGGCGCTCAAGTTCCATCCCGAGCTTACCCAGTACACCTTCATGATGGATATGCTCTTCATCCAGATTGGCATTGAGCACATTGATTACGACTCGTACGATGGTCTCAGCCAGGAGGAACATGACGAGCGTCTCTGGAGAGACGAGGCAGATTGGTTAGGGTTCCTGTCCTACTGTACCATATACCGAACCCTGAAGAACGTGCCTCCTGGCAAGGTTCCCATGCTGCCACCTTCAGCCCGGAAAAAGGTTGTTTATGGCGCACATAACATGAAGACCTGGCAGGATTTTGAAAACACAATCAGCTTCCAAATGATCACCGAGGGTTCTTTGTTAAAGGCCCTCAAGAAAAATGGGCAGGTCCCCCCCAAGCTCCCAGCCGAGCCACTACTGCTGCTAGACTGGCAGGAAGCGCTCAAGAGGCATGCTATAACGTCTTCCCTCATCTTCTCCTTCCACCTGTGGGTCGATATCCGCCATATCATGGAGGAGGAAGTCATCAATCCCTTCAACGAAATGCAAAAGACGGGCCAAAGAGTGGTGGATGCGCTTCGCCTCCACGATCCCAACAGTGTAAGCAAAGATAAGGCATTCAAGTGGGAGTACAGGGAGCGCATCCAGGACACCACCGAGTTCCTGCTCGAGGACTTTACCTACGAAGACAAGCTGCTCCGCTTCCGACAAATAGGGATTGCGGAAGACCCAGAGGAGTTCTTCCTCCTCAAGAACGAACCAGTTTGGGCCGGCCTTCTGGACTTCCGCGCAAGGCTTGTGCATAGCGAAATGGGCCATCAGTTTGCCGCCTTCACCTACGTTCTCGAGGCTGCGGCCTACTTGTACCATGCGGCGCGTGCTGCCGATCCAACCTTACCTGTGTGGGACAACATGTTCAAGCTTAACGAAACCTACCTCGATGACAGCATATTCAAGAGCGGCTTCCTTGGAGTGACGGACCCTGTCGCTATTATCCACAACTACCAACTGGCGATCAAGCCACCGGTAGGCTGGGACGGCCCTCCCGATCTTGCAAGCAGGTCTGGTTTCGCCCAGTCTGTCAAGATTCGGAGAACTCTGTATTATCGCTATGGTTTTGCCGAAGAAGACTCTTACAACGAGATTGCCTACATGGAGCATCTGGCCATGCATCGTCTGCAGCTTGAACGATATCGAGGAACTCCACGTACCCTCGTTGGTTCTACTCGGGAGTCGAATGGGTTGTTGGACGGAGAAGGCGTGAACGGCACGACGACAGGCGCCTATTCAGTTGCGCCACCCAAATTGGACGAGAAGAGCGAGGAGTATCTGCGTCGCAAAGCGGTTCTGTCGAAGCTGTCGCCTATCGAGATGCTGCAGCTGGTTGATGACTCTGTCCAGACGCTTTTGGAAGGTCTTCTCCAGCTTGACTATCTGCAACTGTTTGACGAGGCGACATTGTTCTTGGAAGAAGTCATGGATACCTTTGGGCCCGAAATGCAACAGCGGGTTAACTACAAGGGAGGTGAAGGTCATCCGCCCGCGAGGTTGGATAAATTGCCCACTTACTTGGGCGAAGATTTGAAGGCTGTTGCAGAGGCAGGCAACGGCAAAGAGTCTGAGATAATCAGCAAGCTTGTCGACGGTTGCAGGGAGTTTCTGGAGCAAATGCAATCGGCTACTAATAGCGATACTAGTGCAGCTACTGAAGAAGTTTGTAGTCAATAGACTAACAGTGGATTTCCTGAAGGACTGCTAAAGGAGTTGGATCAGAGATCTGCTACTTCTGGTCATCCATAGAGGATATTAATACCAGGTTCCTGAGCTGTCAAAACAGGGTCCAGCCAGCCTGAGGGAGCCAAAACTAGTTTTTTTATGTGGTTATACAAGGTTTTTATTTTGGATAAAACATTTTTAAATGTTGGCATACCTTCATCATCAACAATACTTTGTAATACATCTTCTTGGTAATACATTCGACCTCCTGTGAAGATTATAACTAACCCTATCACGTAGGTATTTTTGCATCATGCGAGTGTTTGGGGTCAAAGTTCTTTTGCACTTGAAAAAGGGTTTCGCATTTTTCTTTGAACCCTATTTTGAGACATTTCCAACTATTGACTCTCAAGCGTCTGACTTTACCCACAAGAACCCGGGGTTCTCTGTGGATGTAACTCATAACCAGAATACGGCCAATTTCTGGATAGCATGGCAACTAGACAACAGCAGCCGTGATCTTCTTCCACTCGGGGACCAGCTCCCCATAAACGGCCCGCTCGAGGTCGTCGTACAGCTGGATGACCACCGGGTCGGCAAAGGGAAACTGTTCAACTAGGAGGCATGCACCAATGCCCGTTTCGCGATCAATCCACTGCATTCCAAAACGTTAGCCGTCAGTCCATGATAGTACCATAGTAGAACAAACTTACCCAATGCGAATTGCAGTATCCATGCCACATCATACTTCCCTTCTTCCTCTTGCCCTCCACATCCTCCATATTCAGCAGTCCGCCCAAGCCATGATCGACCGCGTCGAACCCTTCCGGAAACTCTGGCATGATGCCCGCATGAAACGCCCTTCCCATCTCCTTGATCATTTCCAGGCCTTTCTCGTTCAACTGCGGACTAAACATCTGATCAACCGTCTCCTTCGTGAGTCCCAGCTCCCTCTCCCCCTCCTTTGAGCCCGAAGCAGCCCTCAAGACCGCCGCCAAAACCTTCCCATACTCCTCCGCCGTAGTCCACAACCCCGCACCCCCGCTCTCCGCCTTGGGATCCCACGCTGTTGAGATTGGCAATTCTCCCAGCGACAGCTCGCCCGTCTTCGCATCCCTCAGCGCCACGCGGACCAACTTGTCTTTGATTCTCTTTTCCGGATTTTCCAGGAGTTCAGCAGCCGGTTTCAGAGTTGAGCACTCCATCCCCAACGGCTCAAAGATGTTCTCGCGCATGTACCGTCCCAGCGTCGTCGTCGTCGTCGTCGTCGTCGTCGTCGTCATCTCACCTTCATTCTCAGGGGGGGAGGAGGAGGAGGAGGAGGAGGCCAAAACCCGCTCCAACAAAACGCCTGCCCAATCCAATCCCGTGCCGTATACCCACCCCTCGCCAGGGGAAAACAAAAGGGGAGTCGTCCACCCTTCCACCGTCATCGAGTTTGTGTTCCCCTTTTTGCCGACTTCTTTCGCCCATCGCTCCAGCAGGGGATGGCCCAAGTCATAAGATAAACCGACAGAGTGCGTAAGTAACTGGCGGGCAGTAATCGGCTTGGTGATCTCTTCCAGTATCGCTTTTTTTCCCTGCTCTTCATCTTTCTCCTCCTCCTCAAAACCCCGCAAGATCCCCCATTTGGTCAGTTCCGGCAACTTTTCACGGACGTCCTCATCCAGATGAAGCTTGCCTTGCTGGACGAGCTGCATCAGACAGATGGTGGTGAGGAGCTTGGTGAGGGAGGCGACCCAGAGGAAAGAGTCGGTTGAGAAGGCGGGGGTCGAGGCATTGATGGGGAGGGAGGTGTGGCCGGCTGCGCCGGCGTAGATGGGACCGGATTTGTCCACGACGAGGAAGGCGGCGCCGTGGAGTTTGTCCTTTGTGGAAGTAGGCGAATCCCGGTGCAAGGTGTAGCGGTGGAGAATTTGATCGAGGATGGATTTGGCGGAGGCCATGGTTGAGATCTATTTGTGAGGTAGGCGCGGATTGGCAACGGTTGTCCTGTCTTCTTTTTTCCTCTCAACTAACACCTTTTTATGAGACAGTCCAGTCCTGAGCTTGAGTACAACTTGTGCTGACCCCCTCCCAGTAAATTTGGAAAGGCTTTAAGTGGTTTATATAACATTGGTTGGGTAGATAAGTACACGTGTACTCTGTTTGGCAGGGACAAGGGCCAACAGGCAACAATATATACACTATGATGATCCTTCTCGGTCCCGGTGTAAGACGGGCGATCATTTGATTCCCCGCACCACGCCCGCTCCTATGCTGACATTTCGACGCTGTAACACCACATCCCATCAGAATGAATCATCGTGTAATCCCAACAGGCTATGCGAGAGGCTCTTCCTGAGATATGGGGTGCGCCTGCTAGTGTTCGGCGACACTACCACTTTGATGATACCCTTGAGAGCCTTTGTGTTCCGTTTGCTCAAACTTAGGTACATAGCGTACCGCTTCATTGTCACTGAATGTGGTTCTACTCAACCTGCGCTACGATCCGGACTAGCGAAGCCTAGTAAGGCCTTGAAACCAAGCGGTAAGGCTGACATCACTAGTAGACACTCGGCACAGTTCCACAACAGTTCGACCCAACCTTTGTCTATCATGCACTCAATTAGTGGTAACTATTTGGACACAAAGACTTAGTCCACAAAAAATCCCAGACAAAAGGAAACAAACAGGACAGAAAAAGGGTATCGTACGCCTCCGCTCGACATCGGTGTCCTCCTACTTCCACTTGCTGCTCTCCTTCAGCCACGTCTCAAAGTCCTCTGTCGGCACAATCTTCTTGGTGGCCTCTATATCCACTCCATACCCCTGGTTCTCAAAAAAGGCAAACATGGCGCCCATCTCCTTGACCATCCAGAGCATTAGGGTACCGAGGAAGGTGAACGTCTCGGGCAACTCCTTGCCAGTAACCTTCTTGAACTTCTCGCGCGCCTCGTCCAGAGTCAGCTCGTCGCCCGCGATGCCCACGGCCTTTCCATCGTACTCGGTCGAGTTGTAAAAGGCTTCGGCGGCGAACAGACCAATGTCGCGGACGCCCGTGAGCTGCAGCTTGGTGGTGGGCTTGAGAGCGGCGCGCCACATGGCCGTCATCAGCTTGCAGAAGATGCCTGGGTTAAAGTTGTCCATGAAGGCGACGGGGCGTAGGATGGTCCAAGAGAATTTGGACGGGTCCTTCTCGGCCTTGTTGCGAATGTGCAGCTCGATATTGTGCTTGGCCACGAAGTGGGGGACCTCCGGGCACGGGTTGTCCCAGCTCTTTACGTCGCCGCCGCGGTCAACCGATGAGAATATGACCTGCTTGACGCCATGCTCGACGGCCGTGTCAATTAGCGGGATCGCCTGCTGCTCCTCGGGCTGCTTGCCCATCGTCGTGACAACGAAGAGGGAGTCGATGGAGCCCTTGGGCTGGGCGTCAAAGATGGGCTTGGGGTTAGTCGAGTCACCTTGGATCAGCTGGACGATGCCCTTGCTGGAATCGGCGAGGCGCTGGGCCGAGGGGCTGGACGCGTTGCGGGTAAGGGCAAGGATCTTGAGGGATGAGGAGTCGAAGCGGCGGTGATTGAGGAGAGCGCGGACTACGGCGCCGCCCTGTTGACCGGTCGCGCCGGTGACGAGGATGGTTCTGAGAGCCATTCTAACGGCTGGGTTGAAATTGGTTGACTTTGGTTAGTATGATGGTGTTTTGGTTTGTTTGATGCGAGTCGCAAAAAACGATGACGACATGGAGAATCGGGGAAGGAACATATTTATAAGCACAGGACGGGGATGGGGAGCTCCGATTTCCTGCAAGGGAGAAGAGCGGCAGAATAACCTAACGAGCTAGATTGAATTGGAAGCAAATGATCACTGAGACCCAACACGAAGTACTTTTTGTTTGTACGACTGCGCTGTCATGCTTCACGTCTTTCATTTAGTTCGATCGCAACTTCCCAGATGAATGGATGGTGAGCTCTTGTCCGAGAAAGCTTGATACCCTTTTCGGTTAGTATCTGTTTGGCTTATTGATCCCTGAGCATGCGGGGTCTCGATGTTCTTGGTAAGTAAGAGTGTCGTTGATGTGCATGGAATCGAGGGTCAACATCACGTCTCAATGATCAACATGCAGGTTGCGGGTCGTGGTTGCTTATCTTGCCCGGGATGATCAAAGCTTCAGGGCCGAGAGCACTGCGATATTGGGAGGTTTTAAGACAGTCCAATCTATCACCTAAAAAAGCAGCTCGACGGGAACAGAGCAGCGACTCGAACCATGGTTACTTATCTGATTGGTTGTTTGCCTGCAAGAGTGAATGGATGTGACCAAAATGTCCACGGAACCTCTTTTTCGCCGAGTGCCTTTGAGGGTCCACCATGACTACACTACAATTGCCAGATTGGAGACGAGACACGACCACGACGACAGCGTCGCCAATCGCCTCGAACGCCATACAAACCTCACGAGGCACTTGGAGGCGATTGGTAGGGATATGTTGTTGATTCTATGACGCCTCAAAGACAAAGCAAAAGAAGGCAGGAACAATGGTCTTGTTCTTCTTTGACTTCACCTCGGCCACTCAGCCACTCACGTCCCCATAATGTGAACTAGTTTTCGAACAAAGAATACTGGCAGAACGTACTAGAAGAATCACGCGAACAACCGCATTGTGTTTTGAATAGATTGAACCACCCGCCATTGTTACCTCGAGCAAGTACTTAGGTATAAAGCCCCCGTTGTAACCCGTCATGCAATTTCTTCCCGTCTCAACATCAAAGTCACAATCTCACACTCAGATCATCAGAAAACTAGGAGCTGGGGGTAGGTAACGAGAAGCGCGTGCCAAACACTCATTTCCGAATATCAAGATCAAGCTCCTGTCAGGTACAGGCAAAGCAGGCAAGTACAGGTACTTCTAGCAGCCGTTCACTCTCGCAGGCACGCTTTCATCGTTACTACCCGAACGACCTTAAAGCCCAAAATTCCTTGATCCTACTCAAATAACTCAACATGATGTTCCGTTCGCTCTTTTCTTCCCGTTCTCCTTCCCGCTCTCCTTCCCCTGTTTCTACCTCCTCTACAAGATCAACCTCAGACTTCAGCTCCAGGCCCTCATCCCTATTTTCTGTTTCTGTTTCTCTCTCGAAACCTTTACCCCCTCCCCCCGACGCCGACCTTGATTTCTCTGCTCCCGATTCCTTCGCGGTCTCTCTTCCCGGCGGTCACCTGCCCGTTCCTACCTCTAGCCATGCTGTCTCCACAGCCGAAACCATGCTTCTACCCAAAAACAAAATCAGCTCCCACCGTCTCCACCAACTCACTATCCTCATCACAGTTCTCAACCTAACCAAAATGTCCCTCCAGGGAGAACAGGATACAATGGTCAGTATTCTCCAGGCAGCGACCACATCCACGGCCGCAAACTTGCGTACCCCCTCACCAGACTCGCAGGACATCGAGCTCCTAGCTTTGGCTGCCAACGCCTGTAGAGTGAGGAGGTATCGAGCTGAGGAGCCGACGGGTTCAACTGCGGTAGGTCCCTGGCAGGTGGTGGTGGACGAGGTGAAAATAGCGATAAGGAGGTTGGAAGCGGAGGTGGAGGGACTGGAGAGAGAGAGGAGGGTTTTAGAGGATAGTTGGTAGGTACTTCATTGAGTGAAGTAGGTAATAAGTCAGTTCAGGGAAGGCGGTGGTAATGTCGATAGTAATGGGGAGTTAGAGATGGAGAAGAGGTAGACAAGTGGTCAGCATAGCGTGGTAACCTTGCATAAGATACGGTATAGACATTGAAGAATAGACTCTACATTTCTTTTTCAATTTTTTTTGTAACAGTACAGGCAAACAATGATCTCAGTAAATGCAAAGAAAATGACATGCCAGAAGGTGTACCCGGTTTACATTTACGAAGGGCACGTTGCTGTAGCCGGGCAATTCGTCCCCAAGACCGCGGGGTTTCGCGATCTAGGTGTCTTTCCATCGCAACCGCTTTGGGCGAAGTGGCAGAAACCGGCGGCGATCTGGGTCTGTTGGCCTAATGATTTGCATAATAGTCTGGGGTACACTAACCTCTAATGCGACCGCCGCATGTGCTATGGGATGGACAGACCGAGGTATTCCTCCACACCAGACTTTTCAGGCCGCTTATAACCGGTCCTAGCCTAGGCTAGTAAGACTAGAACTACACGACCGTTGTTGTCGTCGTCGCCGTTCATCCGGTGTTCTAGCACCACTTCCAACCAAACCACCAAGTCCATCTGTCACGACAACATCGCCAGTTAACATGGGCTCCCCTCTTGCCCTCTGGACTCACCTTGTCCAAACCTACTCTCCATACCAGATCGAATTCTGGGGCACTCTCCTAACCCAACTCCTCTTCTTCTGGATCCCCGCGGTATCATACACCTTGCTCGACCCTCTCTTCCCCTCCTTCTCCGCGCGCCACAAAATCCAGCCGCCTTTCAAACAACCTTCCGCCGCCGAAATCCGCCACTGCGCCCTCATCGTCCTGCGCAACCAATGCTTCAACATCTTGTCTTCGTTAGCCCTCACCACCCTCGCCATCCGCTCCGGCCGGGGCTCCCGGTTTCGCATCCTTGCCTCCCCGCCTGGCTTCTGGAGCGAAATGGCCTGGCAGATTCCCTTGTGCATCATGGCCCGCGAATCCATCTTCTACTACATCCACCGGCTCCTCCACACCCCGCGCTTCTACAAGATGATTCACAAGACGCATCACGAGTTCACTGCGCCCACGGCTCTATCCGCTCAATACGCGCATCCCATCGAACACATGTTTGCCAACACCTTGCCGATTGCGATCCCGGCGATGGTGTTGGGTGTGCATATCCTGACGTTTTGGACTTATTTGGCTATCATGCTGGTGGAGACGGCGACGGTGCATAGCGGGTACGATTTCAAATTGTTTGGGGTGCTGGAAATGGCGAGGGATCATGATGCCCATCATGAACTGTTTAATGTCGAGTTTGGCGCGATTCCCGGGTTGATGGATAAGCTGCATGGGACGGATTTGAGCAGTAGAAGGAGGAGAAGGAGGGAGGAGAAGGAGGAGAGGGAACGAAGAGCACGGGAGGGGGGAGCGGGTGCGGGGAAAGTTGTGGAGAAGCTGGGAAGAAGGGATTCGGGGGTGATGTTGAAGTAGAGTTGAGATGAGGCTCTCGTCATTTTGAAGGACCGAATTCTTACTTCACAGTGCCCGGTTCAAGTGCATGCCCGTAAAGTAGACTACTGCGTGTGCAAGCTGCATGTCAAAGATGATGATGACAGTGTCTGAAAAGTGGGTTTTTGGAGAGGACGGTTGCTCCACTATCAGCATTTTTTTTTTCGAACGGAGGGCTGACGGTGATGTGCACGACGTTCGGGTATCAGTCATGATTGGATGCTCTGCCGCAAGTTCAAGCAAAAAAATAGATGGTCTGCACGAAGATTGGTGTGGTTGTACTGTGGTGATGATGGGAAGTATAAGGGAAGGGGGAGAAAAAAAAAGCAAAAGAAAAGATAACTCGATCCACCCAGGGGTCGAACCTGGAACCTCCTGATTCGTAGTCAGACGCTCTGCCATTGAGCCAGCGGACCTTGTTGAAGAAATTCCCAAAACTCATATCCCATAACTCCATTCCAGACTTTTTCCCGTCGCAATGTCCCAACCATCACTCCCGTCACCGGCCCCTTTCAACCTCTACCCAACAGTAGTATAAGCACAAGGCTGATAATCACTAGCATTCCCCCTTTACTAAAAGGAATCACACTCACCGTCTCCCCATTTTCACAAACACAATGATTTCCAACTCCATTTTGCGGGTCCGCCGCGTTCGAACAAAACGGCGTTCCCGTCAGCGAAGCAATGGGCACCGTCGTCCACTTGGGGGAGGTAAACGTCGTCAGGTTGACAAACGGGGTGGTCTTGAATGTAAAAGAATTGGATGTTGTGATTGGCTGTTTTGTAGACCGCTTGACAGTCCTGGACACGACGGTGGTGGTGAAGGAAGTGAGGGTTTTCATCACGAAGATGGTCGTGGTCTTATCTGTGACAGGACTGCTGGGTGTTGGGTAGGTGTTATGGTCCCCCCAGGTGTCCGAGTAGCTTGACCAGGTGGTATAGGGGACCGTAAAGTTCCAAGTGGTAGTAGGTGTCGTGAAGTTCGAGGGCGCAGTGGTGGACGTGTCGGAGTAGCTGGTCCAATTCCAAGTGGTGCTAGGTGTGCTGAAGTTCCAGCTGCTGGGAGTGTAGGAATCTGTGTGAGGGTATGGATCGGATTCTGTTGATGTCGTCGTCGTTGTTGAGCTGTGTGGTGTTGGTCGTGGTGGCCATAATGGCGGGAGGGAGGAGAAGGAGTCGGTATAGTGATATTGTGTGGTTTCATTCTCGGTTTGAGTGCTGGTTAGGGCGCTGGGAATGTCACGGATCTCATGCTCATGTCTGGGTGGTCCTTCCAATGATCCTAGAGAGACCTCTGAAAGGAGAAAGAGCAGGAAGAGGGCTGTGCTGAGCGATCGCAGAACCATTTCGACGCTTGTTGGAAGTGATGGCAGGTACTGACAGCCGGGATTATCCTGTAGACGTCGAAGCTAAATCTGAGCCCAACCCTCACTGGTAACCGGCAAAGCTCGAGTGAACCACACGGTTTTCAGCATCGTTGGAGACAGCACACATCTAATACCTTCTCATATATGCTACTATTTCATTTTGCTACTTCCGGACATAAGACCATAAAGGCGAACAGTGTAACCGGCACATGATGGGTGAAACGATAACACGAGCTGTCAAAAAGTCGTGGCCGCGTTAGCTGTATCACAGACACGTTTGCTGCCATCTTCCAGTTATTGTGCGGTCCTTTGTCGATTCTGGTAGCTGGATCCCTTGATATCAGTTGTCACAGGTAGTACAATATTCTGTAGTGCCGTCCAGATGGTGCTGAAAATGCAACACTGCAGAATTGTTCGCTAATCGCTTGTCATCTTGCCGATTTACTCGGGGACGTTGTACAATCGACAGGGGATACCCGTATGATATCATAACTTGGCGGAACATCCGTCGATGGACACGGAAGACTCGAGGTGATACGCGTTCTATCCCCGAGCTACTCAAGTAGAGGTATGCGCAGAGATTTTTAGCAGACACAGGAAGCCATGAAAACAGAGAAGAACGAGATAGCATTGGATGGAAGAGGATATTGAGGTGAATTGGTCTTTGGTACTCAAGAGTCGCCCAGATAATCAAGCCCGCGAGCCATCATGTTCAGCCTAAAAACCTTGTCAAATAATGCCAAAAAGGCATCTCTTCCTGGATTCTTCCGGGTTGCCTGTTGAGAAGATTCGAGACCGGTAAACAGGGTCCTAGAGACGCAGGAGCAGAAATAAATGGGCAAAAGGTCCGATATCTCTCATCAGCAAACATGGAAGGTTAACAATGGTCGTGTAGGACAGAACTTGATCGTCCGGGGGACTCGAGAGCCCCAATAACCTGTTCATAACCTGCATGTACTGCATATTTCCGAGCAAAGTGAAAGAAATTCTGTCATGCCTGCCAGACTACTGGACACAACTGCACATGTTGACCTAGGCGGGCACCAATCCTGGGGCTTGGATTATTCACGGGCAGAACACATACCCCTTGGATCTTTCTGATGTCTTAATTCCTCCTTGGCGGGGAAACCATCCGCAGAAGCCGCTGGTCATCATTCGCCAACGTCCATCAAAGCAAGAAGAAGAATTCGCAGACACCAATCAGCAGCCGGTGTAACGTTGACGAAGACCCTTGCCATGACCGTGTCCAAACATGTCCGCTCAAGGCCAGCGCCGTCCCAGAGGCCACCGCTGTCTGGCCGTCAGCAAGCCCGGGAGACACTTGACCTCACCCGCTTGTTCGTCTTAATTGGAATTTGGCTTATTTTGCTCTTTGTAATTCTTGCACGCCGTGTTTAGATTGCATCCTTCGAGATACCACCAACATCCTCTCCGACGCCGACCATGACGATGCTGAAAAACTGGGAGAACATTAGCAGCGACGACAAGGGCCAAGGTTCTGAATACTCAAAGACCGATATCTATGTGGGCAGTAGTGACGTAGGCCTCAGCCAAGCCTACCAAGGAGCAGAATATCACGACAACATGTTCCCCCATCTCCCAAACCAGCCGCCTCGGCTGATTATTATCGGTGCTACCTGGGGTGGCGTCAGTGTCACAGACGACATTCGGGCCATGGTGGCATCCGACGACAGAGTCACCTTCGACATGTACAATCTCTACAACGTGTTGACGCCCGATCCAGCTTACGGTGCCGTCAAAACATTGACAGTGCTCTACCAACTCGAGGGTTTGAACAACAACGGAGAAGTGCATCTACTCAACATTCCCGAGCACAGCGCCGTCGTCAGTATCTGGGCCGACAAGCACGCCTTAGCCGAGCAAGAAGCCGTAGACAGAACATCGGATTTTGTGCAAACCATCCACCGGCCGTGGCGGACGGGACTTGCCTACAACGGCTCAGTGGAGATCTTGGCGGCGTTGTACGGGCCAGAACGCATCGAGACGCCGTGGGTGTTGCAGGAACTTGCCAAGTTCTTCGAGGGGAGAAGGGGACAGATCCGCATGACGAACGCGTTTTGGAAGAAGGACACTTGGCCGGGTGTTAGAAAGTCATGGACGGTGTACTTTCGGTTTGCCGACTCGAAGCGGATTCAAATTGTTACAGGCATGGAGGACGGCGCGCTGGAGGTACCGTGGGGTAGGTTCTAACGGGAGAAGAATGGTCATTTGAAGAGAATCATAACCAGAGAATATTTGCTTCCTCTTCTTAGACTCACGACGGTCAGCATGGCTTGAATACGGAGGGAAGAGTTGTGTCTTGATGGTTGGGCTCCGAGTTGGAAATATAAGGGTTAGGGTTTTGGCATGTCACTGCACTTACACAATACGCCAAGATAGGTACATCGTCTGGAGTCTGCCACTGTCCGCAGGAAACGGGCAAGACGATAGAACGAACTTGATGGGAGCAAGGTAGTTGGAAATTGATTTTCTCAGAATTACATCACAGCACTTGATAAATGCTTGATATCCGTAGGTATTGAAAACAACAATCAGGCAAAGCTTGACTTGATTGGGGGAAGTAATCCACTAACCTCCATGCCGGTGTTGGTGGCTGATGAAGAGATAGGCAGCAGGTGAGGGATCCCCATCCCAACAAACCTGTTGGTCGCCGAGGTAAAATAGTTTCTTCCTGTTCAGGTAGGTAGGTAGAGTACAATGTGGGCTGTGAAAGGAAAGGAAAGATCTGTCGCCTACCGAGCCGTTATCGGCAAAGAAAAGCGTGGTGAGCAGAGCAGCAGTCAGGGCAGAGATAAGGATCACTGAAGTTGGCGTTTTGGGACGGGATTGGAGGCAGACCTTGGCAGTGCCGCAGCATCCTCCTCTTGGCCTGTGGGAATGAAATTGATCTGGACGTTAAACATGGAATCGTCAGGACGCTCATATTGTGCTCGGGAATCTTCAGTGAGGATCGAGTAAATGATTTGTTCTTACATTGTTGTTGGTGTTCGTGGGGACTGCCGTCGATGACGAGGCCTGGGGGGCTCACTCGGCGCTCAGACACAGAAAGACCCAGGGAAAGACCAAACCATGGGGGCCTGGGCTTGGCACATCGACCCCGCACTATCGCGGGCTAGTGGAGCGGCTGAGCGTTGGCAGGCACACGCACTGCAGCTCGGCGAACTACCCGACACCACAAGCCGTTGCTACTCTACAATCAGTGAACGATAAGCCGGCATCTTCGAGAATTGGGAATCCGAGACTGGACAAACATCTCACTTTAATAGTACCGCTTCTCTGAAAGCGTCGCAGAATCAAGCTCGGATTCCCATTATTTTCGTCTCGCAAAGTTCGCGCTGTATCCATCTCGTGACATCTAAAGTTCATGACAACGGTCTTAGTCCCTCTCAATCAAATACAGCTGACCCCAAACACTCGAAAGCCCGCGATAACGGCGTTGAGCTGACCTCGACCATGGCTTCTCCAACAACCCCGGATCTTCATAACCTAAATCGGAATAGAAGTACGGCAACCGGGAGAACGACAATGCTACCCTGGGGTCCCAAGAAGTACCTAAAGACCGAGGGTGGCTAACAAGACAGACCCTGTCCGATACAACACCACCTCGACCTGCAGATCCATCATCTACACCCCGGACACTGGTTTTCGCGGTACAGCAGTTAATTTCTTCGGTGCTACGATAAGACGTCCGCGGCTTCTGCACATCTGATCATACTCTCAGTTTGCTCAAACGATTACTGGACGAATCGGTCCGTGTTGGAAAGACTATGACATACAGCAATCTCCAACGAGCATCTCACGTATCTCTCTCTTCCCAGGCCAGGAACGGCAACATGAGAAGGTACCTAGTGATCATGTCTGGAGATAATATAAGCTGGCGATGCCTCCCACAGGACTCGACATGAGGACATCAGCAACTGCTCTATTACCAGCTTTGCCCCCGAGTTGTGCTCACCAGGCAACAATGGGTTTCCTCAACGCTCTTAGCCCCCGAGCCATTGTGGCCTCGGTTTTGGTACTGAGCTCCCTCGCCTACGATGTTGCCGCTCGACCCAGCCCCGAACCCAAAGCCGACTGGGTACGAAAAGGCCCTGCTCGCAAGAAGATGTCAAATCACATCAAACGTGCCATTGAGAGCCAGAGCCACACTCGACGAACCGAACAAGTCCCTTGCGCCGATGTCCTCGCAAAGCCCATCACTGCTCCCAAGCCCAACATCTGGGGACAGCTAACAGGCGAAGAGATTTCATCAGTGGTAGACTGGCTCTTTGCGCAGCAACAGTTCAACCTGACTGTCACCGAGGAGGCTGGGCCATGGGATAACACGATGTGAGTCCAAGACACTCGACAGGCGCTCTTTGCAAATGCTTACTACCCATAGACAGCTTGTTGAGGCCATGTGGCCAAACAAGACCGATGCCCTTGCCTTCATTGACGGCGATGCGCCGGCTCCTACCAAGTACGCCCACGTCCTGTTGAACAACCGCGCGACGGAGAACCCCTTCTATGCCGACATCCTCGTCGGTCCTCTCCCTCTAGACAACACAACCGTATCGTGGGAGCCCCTTACTTTTCCCTACAACAAGCCCAGCGGTGACGGAAAGGTCCGTAACCTCGATGCGGACGAAGACATTGTATACGAAGAATGGATCTGGAAGATTAGCGCCTCTATTGCCGATATCACTCTCGATCTATGGAACGGCACGGCCTTGGGTCTGGAAAACGATACCCTCGACATCTGGGGCATCGACCCCTTGTGGCAGGATGATGGCAGGGTCATCCGTTGGGATGGCTTTTGGGCTCTTTCTGGCGATGTCTTTGATGCCGAAACCCTGCTGCCCCTGGGTCTTTACTTTGTGTCCGACATCACCGGCCGTGACCCTAGCAAGTGGTCGCTCGAAGGATGGCTCTATAACGGCACCTTTTATGCCACCACCGAAGAGTTCCGTGAAGCGTACTGGAGCTCTTGCTTCAAGAAGAACGGCCCTAATGTCCCTGGCGCCTGGTCAGCCACTGATCATAACGGAGATGTTCCTCCTCTGGATTACAACCACCCCCCAACGATCGTTGCCCCGGCCGGCGCGAGATACGGCGTCGACCACGAGCAAAAGTACGTTGAGTGGATGGACTTCAGCTTCTACATCGGCTTCACCAGAGATACTGGCATGGCCTTGTACGATATTCGCTACAAGGGTCAAAGGATTCTGTACGAGCTTGGTTTGCAGGAGGCATTGGCTCACTATGCCGGTAACGACCCGTTGAACTCGGGCATTGCCTATCTTGACACCTTTTACGGCTTTGGCCCCTACGCCTTCGAGCTTGTCCAGGGCTACGACTGCCCCACGCACGCCACCTACCTGAACTCCTCCTTCTATGTCTCGGAGACCACCCACACGCACATCAACAGCATCTGCATGTTTGAGTTTATCTCTGACTTCCCGATCCAGCGCCACACCACCAATCGTTACACATCGGTCACCAAGAATACTTACTTCGTTGTTCGTTTTGTCTCTACCGTTGGCAACTACGATTACTCGTTCAGCTACTCGTTCTTCCTTGATGGCACCATCTCTGTCGAGGTCCGCGCCTCGGGTTACATCCAGTCCGCCTACTTCGCCGGAAACGAAGAGTATGGCTTCAGGATCCATGACAACCTTTCCGGCAGCATGCACGACCACGTGCTCAACTTCAAGGCTGATTTTGACATCCTCGGCACAAACAATTCCGTGGAGCTGGTGACTATGGCGCCCACTACCGTTACATACCCCTGGTCCAAGGGTAAGGCCAGGAATACCATGCACTTGGAGAGGTCGTTTGTCGAAAGCGAGGACGAAGGCCGGTTCAACTGGGCTCCTAACCAAGCCACACAAGTCATCGTTGTCAATGAGGACGTCAGGAACAAGCACGGCGAGTTCCGGGGTTACCGTGTTCTCCCATCTACTGGGACTGTCCACTTGACCGTGCTCAACTCTACCAACCTCGCCAACGCTGGCCGCTGGGCTGAGTACGACATCCAGATTACCAAGTACAAAGATACAGAGCCGAAGGCGGCGCACCCTTATAACAGCCAGGACGTGCATGACCCACCCATTGACTTTTCCAAGTTCTTTGATGGCGACAGCCTCCGGAAAGAGGATCTCGTCCTGTGGCTCAACCTGGGTATGCACCATCTCCCCCACACGGGCGATCTACCCAACACGGTCATGACCACGGCGCACGCTGGTGTGCATTTCATGCCCAGCAACTACTTTGAGGGAGACGAGAGTCGCAAGACGGTCAACCAGGTCCGCATCAATTACTCGGATGGCAAGACCAGCGAGGTCCAGACATTTGGGCAAAAAACCAAGGCCGAGGATTACAATGGAACCTGCAAGCTGGTGTTCGAGCCGGTGAAGGCGGATCTGTGGGGCTACACTGGTGATATTGTGGTGAGGAAGTTCCCCTATGATCCTAACAACCCATGGTTCCAAACCGGCTCCATCGTTTAGATCAGCAGAACTCGTGTAGCAGCAGCTGCTTTTGTGACGAGATAACGAGATATTATATGAAGGTTTTGGATAATGATGGTCAATGATAGTAAAGCTTGCGATTGCTCGTCTTGTTTATTGCGCATCGTGATTCTGCTCCTGTCAGTCTATCACTCACAACAAGGAGGCTCGAGGAGCAACAAAGTGAAAGTCGTACCCTATCGTCGACATTGAACAGACCTAAAGTGTCTCGTTGTATAGGAGAGAATAGCCAACTTCTAGACGATTTCGACCTACGTCTGAAGAAAAGGGTTCAATTTCAAAGTCCAGGAAAAACCGAAGCTATCTCTGGATGAGTTTCAGGGTGGGGTGCTAGGGTACCATGTCCATGTGCACGCTCCAACTGCCCCTTTCGTCAATACGGTCAATTTTGATTGGATACACTCAGCAATAGCATGGACAGATGGACAGGCGATGCCTGCCTGCAAAGGTGCACTTACTGCGGTAGTGCTCTCGATGACCACTGCTGACATTATGTGGTATCAACCCTTGAACTGTCAATTGGGTTATAACTTGGAACCACCTGAATCCTTTGATCTGTTGGAGGAGACAAATATCCCGTTGCAGATAGTCACTCGTCTATGCAGCTTGGTATGGATGAGATGGACTTAAGTTGTGAGCTACTGTCATGATCGAAACTACCTTTGATGATCTCGCTTGGCTGCGGATGAAAAGCCTTTCACGTTGACGGAGACTCTGGTGATACAATGTTGATCAAATCCATATCCTCCGAGCCTCCTCATTTTCTGCGGTGTATTAATTCAGCTTGTCTCTATGGGTACCTTCAGACCTTGGGCTATTTACCAATCATGTTGCAGTCAAATCTGACTGACCTAGTGGTAGGTGGGATTGTCGGAATATTCAGCTTTCACGACGGTCAGATAGGGTGCCCCTGGTGCCTTCCGCTTTAAGCCCTCTACTCTGGCTGCGCCTTCACTGCGTATCAGGCCATCTTGTTGCCATCCTTCTGTTCACTCCAACCAACTGCTTGAATCAGACTTCTAGCACCAATCCCGATTGCCGCTTTGCAAACAACAAGCACGAGCAGCAAACTCAGAGCGACCCGGAAATAGAGACTGAATAAGTATTGCTCGTCGGCTTTACTGTCACCGACCTTTTCGACGCCGTAGAAAAAGAAAAGTGCAAGTAGACACAGACGAGAAACGCGGCACCGCTGGTGGTACGTTGCCGGGCCAAACCGTACGATAGCCGGCAATAACGACGATATACTGATCATGGTAGTCACTCCTATCAGCGGTCTGGACGGCCAGATAAACTTCTTCAGTCTTGTCAACCAGCAGGATGAAGATGGGCCGTGTACCCCACACGCCATGGGCCAAGAGAGCTGTTTCATCGTGCCAAATTTCCATAGAGGAATTTAGTCTACTTCCGAATCCAAGGTTGAGAAACAGTAGAATAATATTCGGGATATCTGCGGAGATGGAGGAGAGGCTTCGCCCAAGGTCGCTGTCTGCGCCAGTGCCAGTATCAGTGCCAGCGACGGCGACGAGGGACAAGTGTCTCACAAAGTTTACAGAAAGCTCTGGAGATGGCGAACGGCAGGTTTTGCCTGATGTCGCAGCCAGTTCTGGATGACTGAAGTCAAGCGGCTTCGCGGCGAACAACGGACCATCAACACCATACGTCAGACTGTCAATACCAACTTATACTGACGCATTGGTACTAAGGTTACGGGAGATGAAGAGACTGATGGCGCCAGGGAAGGATGTCGGGCCTGGTCACAGAAACTCCGAGAATGTCGGTTCTCATTGCGGCGACTCGGATGATGGACTCAACGACAACGCCGACGAGTTCAATGCCCATTTGGCTGATGGTGCGCTTTTCAACAACGGATATTCGGATGGCATCCCAGATGGCAGTAATACCGATGGGGGAGTCCGACAGCCGGATGTGATTCTGTGCTCCTCCCATGACTCAGATCTGGTGATATTTGCATCGTGGTTGAGTGGAAATTGTTGCAAATTGACCGCTGCCGCTGATCGCTGAGCTAACAGTCGCCGAGAGTCGAAAGTTCAAAAGTAGAATTCTTTTTTGTTTTTCCTATTTCCTTTTTTTTTCTTTCTTCTTTTCTTTTTTCTTTTTCCGATGGGCCGCCACTCTAGTATTGGCTTGTTTTGTTAACTCGAGACCTCGGATTAACTCCCATAGGCAATGTTTGATATCTCTGTCTTACTCTTCGCTTCATGTTAAAGACTGGCCTCATCTAGAATATGCTGATCCTGCTGTAAATCATAGGATTTCCAACTCATGTGAAGGTATTTCCGATTGGCACCTGGGTATTCGATTGTTTCATTTCGAAATCTAGGACAGTTCAAAGTTTGTCTCCTCCAGAGTGCGAAGAGGTGCTAGATGAGTTTAGGTCTGTTGGTATCACCGCTTAAGATCTTCGTGATTCTATAAGTGCTTGGCCCAAGACTCTCGACTGTGCAGTTGTGATAGGAAACAATGATGCGGATGATAAGCACAGGATGCATGGCAATAGTGTGATTCTCAATAGCTTTTTTCCTCGCTCTCAACATTGATGTGCTTGGGTATCCTAAAATAGTAATGATACTATTACCAATGTAAAAGTTCTACAATATTACTCAGCCTCATGCAATTTCCGTGTCATGGCTCTTTCGTGGACTTCCGCAATTACTCCCACCTTCCATACCGATATGTCGTCTTCCGAACGGATCGTTACTGCATAACATGTTTCTCATTAACTCAACGAGAGCCATCCACTGAAGCTTCCCTGTCGAGCCTTCAGCCTACGCAGAATCACTCTGAATCTCATCATCTGCATCCGAGTGCGCCACATTCTGTTCCCCGGCCACCTCGTCAATCCCCACAGTCGAGCAATTCCCTGCATGACTCGTGGGCGGCGACAGAGGTCTGGAAAAGTCAAAGGGTGGTTCGTCTCCTCCCGAGCCGTGCTGAACGAGTTGCTGCAAGGCATGCGATGCCTGATGGAGGCTATGGCTATGACCATGAGCATGTTGAGGATGCGCGTGACCCTGGGACCAAGGTCTCCCTTCCCTCATGTGGCTTGCGCTCTTAGCAGACCTCTGCAACCGCGGCTTGGCAAGTGTGTGGGCAACGGGCGCTCGGGCGTGCGGGGTTATACTCCCAGGGCGTGTGTGGGCACCTCTGCGGTAGCTCATCTCCAGTCGCTCGTCCTCCTCGGATTGGTCATCGGTTAGGTAGTCATCGTCATGGCTTTGGTACATCTTTCTGTGCCGCGAGGCGAGGATCTGGACGCTGCTAGCAGAGCTTCTGCGGTGATGATGCCGGCTACGATGATGCTGATGCTCGCCAGGCGTGGCTTCCCCAGAAGAGGTTGGAGGGCGCATAAAACAGGGGGTGGGCTGGATGGCTGGGCCGAAAGTGGCACCACTGGAGCGACCGAGGTCGACTTGGCTCTTACCAAAGACGACGCGGGCCCGCAGGGCATGGACGGCCTGGTCCAAGGCCAGCTCGATGGCTAGCCTGTCTCGAATCCGGCTCAGTTTTGGCCAGGTTGCTCGTTCGCCTATGAGACAGTTTCGCATCATGAACTCTGATGTTGGGTTCTTGAGAATGCGGGGAAGGTCTTGCAATTCAAGTTCTGGCAGAATGGTAATGTCCCCGGAATATCGCTGGCTGAGGATAGACCTAAGCTTCGTCAGAAGACCGGGAAAGATGCCAAACTCGGTCAAGAAATGCAGTCGGTGAACGGCCTCGTCTTTAGCAAGAGTGGTAAGGTAATAGAGCCACTCGCTGTTGTTTTCTTGGGCGGCAGCCTTCTGTTGGCGAAGGCGGCCGGGATGGTTCCGAGGATATAACCTGTCATCTTTAGAGAGAAAAGGAACGATGTGGGGGTTGACTTGGGAAACAATAAAGTGGTTGACATTGAACATCTCGGCGAGACGGGTCATGGGTAGGTCGTTGTCTACAGAGCCATCAATCCAGCGTTGTGGTGTTGGGTTCCACGGAACGTGGGCGCCGGTCGTAGGATCCTTGACCAGCAACGGGGCTGCCTGGAAAACGAGCGGGACGGAGCACGAAGCGGCCACTGCAGACCAGATCATAACATTCGGAGCCGTGATGTAGTTGAGCAACCGGGGGAGCTCGTAAATAGAGGCGGTCGAGACGCAAATGTTGCATATCCTTCGTGTCCGGTTGTAGGCTTCCTGGAACGTTAGATCGCCAAGCATGGATCGCATGACGCGGGTAAGATTCGTTATATCGGCCCAGCTCCCTTGGGTAAGGAGTCTGCGCAGACTGTCGGAGATGCCGTCGTTGGGCCCCTTGAAGACGTCGAGATCGCCATAAGGAAAGGTCCGGATCAAATCGGGCACCTCCTCGTCCTTCCTAGTGCACAAGACCGAGCACACAATGGAACCAGCAGAGGCGCCCGAGATGATGCGAGGCAAAAGGTTTGCTTCGAATAGAGACTTGATGACTCCAATATGGGACATGCCAAAAGTAGCTCCTCCACTCAGAAGCAGGGCACTTCTCCCAAAGCTCTGTCTTGCGAACAACATGCCCTCCAACAGATCCTTGGTCTCCATGTCGGCAGGCAATGTTTGGGTGCTTTGGTCCACCAGGGCGCCGATCGTTTTGACGGCCGAGTCAACGTAGTCCTCGATCAGTTTCTTGGTTCCAACATACGAATGGCGGTACAAGTCAATGTTGCCCATTCCCCCGAGGTCACGCGAGAGGGCGGTGCGGACGAGATACATCATTTCCCTTGTGTCGCCATTTTCGCGAGCATGATCCAGGTCTCGTAGTTTGGCCTCGATGATATCGGGGTGGTAGTCGCCGGTCGAGGGATCGAGTTTCCAGGCGTCATTGCCTTCGAGGTGGTCGAGTTCCTTGGCGGCCGTTTCCCATTCATCTGCACTGGTGGCCTGCATGTCACAGAAGAATGGTCAGCATTGTCGGAGATGTGACGTAGAACAGCATGGCTCCAGAACAGGTGTACAAACATTGTGCATGACGTCCTCTAGGAAGCGCATCCTCTCCTCGATCCTCCGCTTGTTTTCCCTCTCCGACTCGGTGAGGCCGTCGCGCCAGGACATAACATAGTTGCCGGCGCTGCGCATGAGTTTCGAGAAGGGCCGGAACGTGACGCGCTTCTCGACCTTGCTGTTCCTCTTCTTGAGTGCCGAAGTCAAGGTTTGGGGAGATGCCTTTTGAGTGCCACAATCACTGCCATCGGGGCCGCCGGGGCCGACACGGATGCCTGGCGGCCCGTGGACGAGGAGGTCGGTCATTGGAGTACGGTAACAGGGAACTGGGGGGTCGGAGCGCGGCGTCGGATTGTATACGTAGGTGCCTGCGGTGCGAGGGTTTGGGCCGAGGATCTATCTATACGGAAGCCGGCCGTGGCGGAAGGGAATCGGCGTGTATGGTAAGCGCCAGTGGGGGAGGTTCAGGCTCTCGGGTAAGGTAGGTACTGTAGTGTAAGCAGAAGAACAATAATAGGCGCAGTAGCGTGCAGTGGATGTTGTTTTTAGGTTATCGAGTTGTGGAGTAGAGGTAGGTAGGTACTGGCGACAGGACCTAGTGATGGGACTGGAAGCCAGGGCAATCGGGAAGGGCGCGTGGCCGATTCGACATGGAAATATGTTATGAAAGACGGCGACATGGAAAAAAGAAGTTGGCGGTCAAGAAATGACTGCGTGGTTTCATTGCAGCAAGGCTTCCAGGATCCTTCCTGTTCGGGCCCGTCCTGCCGTCATCAGAAATTCAAGGTGCCCGGGTTTGGCGCGCAAGGGGAAGGGCCAGCTGACGCCTTTCGGGCGCTGTCCCCGACAAAAGAGGCTGGAAGGGTCTGGGGCTGTCGCTGAAGGGGGGCCACGGGGGCCACCGGACCACACAGAGGGGAATGCAAATCGTGGGGCAACCCTTGCATTGGTGGGGCCCCGTCATTAGTCAGGACGGACACGCGCGCACTTTCATGGCCCTTTGGGGTGTGTGGTTGGGTGTTCCATCGGTCCTCAATGTGCAATTTCCCATTCAGATCGGGACCACCCAACCATCATCGGAAAGGAATCTGGGGAAACACCACACAGACCGCACGCATCTCTCACGGGTTCACACAGTCCACCCTTCTTGAAATACTTGGTGGACCTCTCTCTCTGCCTCTTGGGTCGCCGTTGAGCTATAAAGCTTTACATTGCTCAGCACATGCCTAAATCAATGACCGCAGAGGGAAAGCTTGGTGATTGCCCTTGTCATACACTAGTGCTGCCGATGATCAGCAAGACATGACCAATAATGTTGACACTGCGATAATTTACGTGGGTGTTGATTGTGGAGAAGAGAGTCGGCGAAGGCTTCAATTTAGGAGGCGCCGAAAAGTGGACGCAGGGAGTCCTGGGATGGTGCAGTGCAAAGGACGGGATCTCGTGGCAACCCGCTACCGTTGGTCCCATAAGCCACCAGAAGGAAGATTGAATGGAGAACAGAGACGAATTAGTGTAAGGTGGGGTCAGAGGACCTCCATTAAAGCTTTCACATGTTAGAGGTTGCTTTAACTTCCATCTTGTCCTTCAAGTTCTCCCAGTCTGGATGACGTGCATGCATTTTCGGGCAACCCCAGTGCTCCACGCACGGCTCCATCATCGATTTCATTTCGAGTTCAGTTGAGACAGTGCATAAACCGTCTCTTCCCACTGTCGTCACCCACCAACATCAGCATGAAATGAAGGATGGATGGATGTTGTCAGGGTGAGTATCGAGGATGTTTACCACAACACTCCAACAAGGGTGGGACTCAGCCGTGTTTTCAACATACATATAGTTCACACCTGACTTCGTTATGGGTGGTCAAGTCACTTCAAAAGTGTGAAGGAATGCCAGTGCCTCAATGACAAGTCCACTGAATCCACGCGTAACCACCTCACTCAACAAGTCCCCAACTTCAAGACAAACATCGATTCTATACTTGACAAGGAATACTGTCCACCTTCCATTCACAACGGCGTTTGATTGTTTGTGATTGACCACACGGAGACAGCAAAGTCGGCAAGGCTTAGAAACGTAGGCTTTGAGCGATGAAGCGTCCGATTGAATACTGTCGTGCCATCACACTGCCGAATAACCGGAAGTTCTCACATTACAATGTGGGATTATCCGTCAGAATCTACCTAGTGCGGTCTCAGATCGCCAAATCGGACGGAAGAGCCCGGCCCGGGATCTGGGGACGCTGAACTTCGGCACTCCATCCTGGAAGCTGCCGTCTAAGTCCAGTCTTAGGTTCCGGGTGGAGTGCACTGCAGCGGGAGGTGGAGTGGATCCCGCCTGGGACGGGAACGGCGCGCTCTCCACTTCAATTCAGTGCAGCCCAGGGCAGTGGGCACCTAATCGCTTGGGGGGAAAAAAAAAAGAGGAAAACAGAAAACAGGATTGACTTCATCAGTCACGTTTCCGTGTACCCGCCTTCAGTTACACTACAAGGAGAAGTCGACTTTGGTCGTCGTGCAGGTGCCCGTCGCTCCGAGTTCTCCCCTCTTTTTGTCTGTTTGCTCGTCATCGCTCCACCGGGCCAGTTTCCGGGCTACGGCAAGGTTCGGCGCACCAGCAATGACAGACGCCGACAACCAGCCCTCCCGGTCGGCAAGATCATTGCTTCCAGAGCCGACGCTTTCCTTCACCCTTCCGAGTCTGCACGACGGCCTTGCCATCGATTGTCGCGTCTACCATCCTCAATCTCTCGACCCGTCGCCCTCCTCGCCACCCTGGCGGAAGCACGCTGCCGTCTTCGCCCATCCGTATGCTCCTCTTGGGGGTTGTTATGACGATCCAGTGGTAGACATCGCAGCCGGAGTACTGCTTAAGCTTGGCTTTTTGGTCGGCACCTTTAACTTTAGGTTGGCTTACCTCCCTGCTCCCAGTCGCTATTCCCGAGTATGCTGACAATAATACCTCGTCAACCTAGAGGCGCACAAGGCTCCGCCGGTCGGACCTCTTGGACAGCAAAGGCGGAACATGCAGACTATCAAACATTCATCGGCTTCCTATCATATTACATTCATTTTCTCGATCCCTTCCGAACACAGGTTTCCTATGCCGTTCCGACGACGACCCCAATTGCCGAAGCACCAGATCACCTTGGGGCTCATGGCGGCTCTAGCCCCATTACACATTCTGCGTCACGCGATACCACCAGATCACCATTGTTCCTAATGGGGGGCTATTCGTATGGTTCTATGATTACCATGCAACTTCCCTCGCTCCAGACCATACTCCGCCAATTCGACACTCCAGCATGCACCTCCCATGCTGCTGAAATACGACTTCGAGCTCAGCATCTTGCAGAGGCGCAAAATACAACTTTGGGCAGTGCAAGAGCAGCGGCCCTCGAGCGTCAAGCCAACACACCGTCTCACTCACCGAGCGGCATGCGTTTCGGGGGAGAAGAAAGCAGCAGAAAACACCATCATTCGCGATTATCCTTCTCCCAAGATACCGAAGACAAAATCCGCAAGGGGGTTTCGGACTTGATGGTCAAGGCAAAGAGTCATAAGAGACGTCTTTCCGGAAAGGACCACAGCTTTGTGGGTGGAGATGCAGCACACGACACACCCGAAACCAAGCAGCAACCGGCCAGGGATTGTTTACCTTCTGTACCAGACCGAGTGGTCTTTCGTCCGGCCTACTTGCTGGTTTCGCCTTTGCAGGGCCTCATCAACAACCTCGCGACGTTTTCCTTGCTTCCTCGAAGGCCGTCGTGGAAAGGTTTGACCAGATCCCTGTCTTCTCCAGCTGCCACGGCTTCTCCAACGAGTGAGCTTGGTACGGATTCCGAGACTGCTCTTTCGCTCGAAGAAGCCGAAGCCAAGTTGGTACGAAACCCTACGCTCGCCATTTACGGCGACAATGATGGCTTCGTGCCTGTACGAAAGCTACGGCCGTGGGCTTCCCGCCTGGAGAGCATTCCTCACTCTTCCTTCCGAGCCCACGAGGTTTCTGGAGCGAGTCACTTCTGGGCGCAAGGCAGATCAGCATATACACTGAAGGATGCTATCAAAACGTTTGCCGAATCAATCTTGGCCGTAGACGCAAGTTGAGTTCAGTAGGTATCTATTCAACATTAAGTACATCAACTCATAGGTTCTCCAACGCCCGGACTCTGTTCTCAACCGCAATTTTCGAGACCCTGACATTCACTGCCACCATCTCAAATCCGTGCGGAACTCCAGGGTACACGTGCAGCTCTACACTGACACCAGCCTTGAGCAGTCTTGCACCAAACTCCACGTCTTCGTCCCTAAACAAGTCCAGCTCGCCGCAGTCGATAAAGGTTGGTGGCAGTCCTGACAAGTCCTTCGCCCTTGCCGGCGCAGCATATGGCGAGATCTCCTTCACGCCATCCGCACCCGCATACGCCCCCCACGCAACCCTGTTAGCGGCGCCGTTCCACATCAGGTACGGGCTCAACGGATGGTCCTCGGGCCAATACGTCCTATCATCCAACATGGGGTACGCCAGCACCAGTTTCTTGACGGGTGGTGAGATCTTGTCGTCACGCGCCTTGAGGGCAACGCCCGTAGCCAGCCCGGCGCCGGCGCTCACGCCGAAAAGGGCAATGCGTGCCGGATCAATCTGCTCCGAAGCAGCATTGGCATGGAGCCATTCCAGGGCAGCATAGCAGTCGTCAAAGGGGGTGGGGAAAGGGTGCTCGGGGGCGAGACGATAATCGGCGGCGTAGAAGGTGAGGCCGCTGGCGTGCGCGTAGCGCTTGATGTCTTTGCGGAACTGGTCGACATTGTTATTGACGAAGCCGCCGCCGTGGTGGTGGAGCACTGCAGCACGAGGGCCAGGGGTTGCCGCCGCCGCCGCCGGGGTGAAGCGGTAGAGGGTGATCAGGGTGCCGTCCTTCGAAGGGATTTGGTAGGTGGTCTCGGTGATGTCGGGGGAGTCGGGAATGTTGGCGAGGACGAGCTCGAAGTCGTTATAGTTGGTGCGGAGGGAGTTGATGTCGGTGAGGGGAGCAGGAGGCGGGAGGGATGCTTTGGCCGCCAACAGAGGCTGGATGGCCTGGAAGTATTCGGGATCGAACTTGTTGTCGGCCATTTTGTTTGATGTTGCTGAAGGTGGGGCGTTGGTGTTCCAAAAGATCGCGGGGAACTCGAGGTGCGGGATTGCAGCTACGTAGCGATGTCGAAGCTTCTTCTACCTCCCGAACCTGTCGATCACCCTGCCGAACTCGGCGATGGTCAGTGTACGTGTCGATGCCGAAGCGATGGCAGTCTGTGGGGTGGGCACGTGGTGGGGTACCGCGCTCGCCCCGGCATTGGCTATCCGGATCGCATTGATGGGAGTTGTGGGCGGAATTACACCGTCGCTTCCCACCGCGGTATCTCAAACCGGCTATTAGCGTCATGGCCTGACCATTCCATTTGTCAGCTTTTTTTTCATTAGGAGACCCCAGTTGGATCGTCACGTCACCGACGTTTGTTCATCTACGCTAGGCGCCACCATCGACGATTTATAATACGCAGTTACCGAACGGCTGTGGTAGTTGATTCCCGCGACTGTCAGCAGCTGTTTACTGGAAACCTGTAGATGCTTCTTCGGGTCTAGGGCTGACGATAGACCCTGTCCTGCGCCATGGTCAGCTACTTGATATCGACGCTGCCGAATAGGTCAACGTCTCAAGCGAACATCATCAATGCAAATATTCTCCCGTTTCCGATCCTGATTACTCATTGTACATGTATGGCTCCCGTAATCAAGCCCTAGAACGCCTTCCAATGCTTTCCGTCCGCGTCTGTCGTCGTCCTTGGTCACATCAGCGCTAGATCTAGTTATCGTCCAGCCAACAATGGCTTTGTCTCCCCCTCCTCCTCATCTCCCTCCTCCTTTACATCTCTCAAAGCCCTCACAGCGACCCTCGCAACACCCTTCCCTTTCCCCTTTCCCCTCCCCTTCCCCTTTGCTTTGCCCTTACCCTTTGGGCCCTTCCTCCCCACCGTTGTCTCGTCACTCGAAACAGGCCTCTCAGCCTTAACACCAAAAACCAGAAAGATGGTCGCCACCGCACAAAGCACACAGGACACCAGATAAGGCAGCCCCCTCCACAGCCCCTCCAGTCCCAAACTCCAACTAAAGGTCCAAGCGACCGCCGGTCCCGCCATCAAGCTACCTGCAGTATCCATCATGGCGAGCGTGGTAAACAGAATCCCAATCATGTCGGGTTCCACCAGGCTCGCCAGTAAACTTCGTCCAAAGGGATAGAACCCCGAGCCGAGGGTGTAGAGGGTCAAGGAGACAAAGACGTAGCGGAGGGAAGGGGCCCAGACTAGGACGCCGAAGCAGGCGGTAACGAAGCAGAAGGAGATACGAGATAGGATCAGGTCTTTGCGCCGGGCAGGCACGCGCAGACGGTGGGTGATTAGGTAGTCGACGGAGGGGAGGAGGATCGTCACGATAAAGAGTTGGGTGAAGGCGCGGAAGGAGTTGAGGAGGTTTGCCTGGGGTTTGGTTTGTTAGTAGAGCACAATGGAGGGAGGAGACCAAGGAGCGAGGATGAGCGTACCTGAGCAATGGGAATGTGGTACCGTGTGGATACGAACTGCATCAGCATGACAAGCGACTCGCGCGAGTAATCGGCAACCAAGAAGGCGAGAACGACAAACAGGATGCTGGGGTGATGGAAGATGTAGGCGAGCGTGTGGGCGGCGTGGCGGTAGACTTGGATGGCCGAATTGTTGACGTCCCCATTCTTCCTCGAGTTAACTCCGTTGATGACGGACGCCTCCGTGTCGTCGTCGTACTCATCCTCCCCGCGGACCAATGCCTCCGAATCAGTACCCGCTCCAGAACGAGCGCGCTTGAGATGCATAGTCTCGGGCATATTCGCCGTCAAAATAGCGCTCATAACCAGACACCCAAACCCAACACCCAAAGGAACCCAAAGTCCCCATCGCTGCATCATCAGCGTACTAGCAGCCGGACCCAGCAACTCCGCCGTAATCAACGTCGACAGCGCTGCGAAAAACACGCGACTGCGGTTCTCCTCCGTCGTCGCGTCCGTGACAATCATCATGCCCACTGCGCTCGTGACCGTGCTTCCGCCGCCGATGATCAAGAAGTAGGAACTCAACCAAGTGGCTTTGAGCGAAAGCAGATGTGCCCAGCCGTCAATCATCCGGGTGTCGCTGTCGATGTTGTTGCCTGTGTCAGAGCTGGGGGAAGAAAGCGCCGAAGCAGAAGAACACCTCCAAGCGACGTAAAGAACCCAGCCCGCTGCCAGAACTTGTCCCAGCAAGGAACGGAACAAGACAGGACTACGACCCTTCTTGTCGGCCAGGACGCCGTAGTACATGGCGAGCAAGAGGCCGGGGATGCCGTCGAAGAATATCTGCCATCCGAATAGCTCGGCGAGGGCGTCCTGCACGGGGGCGATTTTGCATTGCGATTCGGAGGGTGCTTGTACCTGGCTGAGGTCGAGGTTGGTAGTCATCGATAAGAGGGTACCGGCGGAAGTGATGCCACTATCAGTCGTCCCGTTATGAATCGCATAGTACCTCCTACAAATGATGTCCTCGAACAAGCGCGTGCGCGGAGCGAAGGAGATGACGACGCTCATGGCGGAGAGGAAGATCATGAGCTGGATTAGGATGATGGGGGTCCAGTGAGTCCGCTTCTGGCGGTCACTGTTTTGGAGAGATGACGGATCATTGTCGTTGTCGTCATCGTCGTCGTCGGAGGAGGGGGATGAGGAGGATGTTGATGGCCAGTATGTTGAGGAAGCAGCTGAAGGGCCCTCGAGCGGAGTGGGCGGCATGAAGAGGAGGCTTTGGTGGTCTTCACTTGTGTCTTCTTCCCGCTCGTCGTGGGTGCTCAAGCGAGCGACGGAGCGCGGCATTGTGGTGGTTGGAGACGGTGGGAGCGCGGCCGAGGCCGGTCGTCTTGTCCTGAAGGCAGCGATGAGGGTTTTCGGTTCTTCTGGTGGTGGTGGTGGTGGTGGTGGTGGTGGTGGGCAAGATCCTTTTCTTCTTATCGGGCGAGCATCATGAGTCGGCTTCAGTCTCGTCTCCCAGCTCTCAAACCGCGCAAGGATTGAGAATGAGCAGACTGAAGAAGATGAAAAAGAGGAAAAGACAAAACACGAGAGGCCGCGATCAGAGAATTTGGACCGCCGATCGATCAGCACATGCTCGTCAACCTTTCCCTGCTGGGCTAAGCCGACGTATCCGGGCCGCCGGAGCGGATGCCGTTGCGGATGCCGTTGCGGGGAGTTTGTTTTGTTTTGCCTCCACTCGTGATCAGATCAGACGATGTGGATCTTGTGATAACTGATAAGATCTTACATATTCTGCACGGTGATACGACGTCAGGAGAAGGAGGGCGGGGGTTATGGAGACGGGGGTGTCGAGCTCAGCCCTAACCCTGTGGTTCTGCCGACGTTTTTCTTTCGGAACTTGGATGCCCCTGATTGTTCGTTTACATCTTGTGTCACCCAGGCCCATGATATCTTAAGCATGGATTCTGAGCTTCATTTTGTCGTTCCATTATCTGCCTCACATTGAATGAGGCCTGTCCTTCAACTAGAGTACGGGACCGCAGTGGTACTTATCTCTATCGCCGCCTTAGAGAGGCGGGGTAGCGGAGATTCCTCACTTAAAATCGGACTCGAAAAAGGAAGGAGCGACGATGACTTGTCGCAACTCGTGACCTTCTTGACCCAACTGTTCCTCTCCTTGCAAATTCCTCAAGCCCTAGCTGAGTGACTTCCACTTGATTCAACTTTTTTCACCGCCATCCAAAATGGCCATCGACCATGCTCTCCCCGACTCCAGCCAACATCACCGACTTTGTCCATAGATGTCACTGTCCTGCTCTCAACGAGCAAAACAACTGAGGCGCGTGTGCCAATCATGGAACACAAAGCCTTGGCGATCAATCATGATGACCACGGAACACCCACGCAATTCACTACACACTAGTAGACCTCCTCAGCAATCTAGCCCGGAATCTCCGGCCCTGACCCGGACGCTTTGTTGAGGACAAAGGCCCTCATTGTCATTGAGTTTCAGAACGTGTGTAGAGCTGACAATGACATTGTGCAGTATGGTCAGGAACCCGCATTGTGTTGACAAGCCATGTCTTGTTCCGTTGTTCAAGACCAAGGCCTCAGTTTCCAAAACACACCATCGTGTTGTTCCATGACTGTTGGAAAGCCGACCACATATAATCGCAACGTCCCGAGCCGTCCGACATGGATGTTTCTGGAGGAACCGATCATCATCACACACGAAACAAGCACCATAGCTAGCAACAACCACAATCATCACCATGAACTCAACCATAGTTTCCCCCTATCCGCGAACCCCAAGCAGGACATACCTCCGTCGCTCGACCTCCACCATCGGTTCATTCGCTACCGCCCTGTCCTACCTCACACCCACTGAAGATGACATCTCTCTTCGCCGGTCATCTTCATCAGACATTCCAACGGTAGCTGCCCCTGATCATTCGCCGACTTCCCCACCGTCTTCTCCACCGTCTGAGACTGATACGGATACACAAGGTGTAGATTCATTCATCCTGATGGCGTTCAATGCAGATGACATTGAATACGGCCCAAAAACCCTGGATGACTTTCTCAGAGGTGATAACCCTGTCCAGAGGGCTATCAACTTCTACCGATATGTCCAAATGAAGAAATTCTCACTCTGCTTGTCAGTTATCAAGGCTACCCTATCCATGGCACTCTATGGTTATGCAATGATCTGGTTCGTAGAGCTGCGAGACGTATGGCGCAAACTCGACCTTGAGGACCACGAGAGCCGCGAAGGTTGGTTTGTCTGGTTATATATCATCAACGCATTATTCCTCATTGTGACCCTGTACCGGTTCATCCGCGCCATCAGCCGCTTACATGGTGCTCCGTACGAGAAGCACACGTTCTTGGACGTAGGTGAGGCCTTTGATCCATTCATTCCCGGCAAGACAAACGTGTACATTTACTTCATCTTTAGCAGCGCTGCTGTCATAGCCCATGTCTCCAGTTCTATCGGTATTGCACTGTGGGTTAAGGACTGGATGGCAGGTGGCCCAGCGACCACTAACCCCCATCAGGATATTATTGTTGGGTGCATTTATTTTACTCTCCTGATGGGACACCTTGTCAAGACACTGACATGTTGTACAGTTCACATCCGTTATGGCGCCAGGTGGGCCAAAGCGCCTAGTCGCGATCCCCGCTCGCTTGTTCCTGATGACGTTGACGACCACCTTTTGCCCTTGTACGAACTCGACGATTTTCATCATCCACACGACGGTCATGGCCACGACTTTTACTCAGACCACGAGGCGCATCATCATGGACATCATCTACACAACAACCATGTCCACGGCATCTGTTCAATCCACGATGTACACCATCATGAACACAACGACATTGACATATGGGAAGGCATTCCTCGTGGCCGAACTCAGTCGTTTTCTGTATCGTCCGACCTTTCGGTAGGTACCGCGGATACTTGGATGACCATCCAGTCTTCAAACATGTTTGCGACATGGAGGTGGGTGGGGATGTTGAAGATACATTTGACCGATCCGTCACTCTATCTGTTCTAGGAACAATGTGCCAGACCGAACCAGGAAGGAAGATAGCAGTGTGGTTCGAGGTGAGTTGAGCCCCATCTGTTTCTTAGATAGAGACACATGCTACTGATCTGAGCAAGTTAGGGAGCTTGAAATGTACGATTAAGTAGGTGATGGCGGACGGTTGATGTACGTGCAGGTAAGAGAAAAACATAGAAGAGAAACAACGAATTAGAAAGTCACAATAGAAGTTGACCAATTTCCAATCATTGTGCAATCGCGAACGCGTAGTCTTTGTTTTCAAGCGGTCGCTTCTTCCTATCTCCATGGGTCCCTTTATTGCCTTGTTGTGGTACATCCATTATGAACGAGAACTTGCGGTATTGGCTAACGAGCAGCTAAGTTTTTCCGTCATAATAACCTATTTCAAGTGGAACGTACCAAACAAGTCCTCAGTAGTGTCCGTGTATGCATTCATCTGTACCCACTCTACCTCCTACCAAAAAGTATACATCGTATGCCCTGATCCCATCCTTATCCAAAACAAGACAGCATGCCAGCATATCATATACCAAACACTCGCCAGCTATACCAATTCACCTACATATCTGATCAATCTTCTGTCAAGTCAACAGTCTCCACTCCGTCCTCGAGGCTAACGCTCCGAGACCTCTTCACTCCCGCCACAGGAGCGGTCGTGGAGAGACTCGACCCAGAAGCACCCACTCTAGTTCTACCCATGACAAGTCCCGATGCGGACGCCAAAGATCTCGGTGCCGTGCGTCTGGCTCCCGCTGGGTTTGGATAGACATCCTGCATGTTCATGATCCTATCAAACTGCTCTCCCAGCAAGACCCTCAACTCCGGCATCGCCTGCGAGTACGTCTCAAAGATGCGTAACCTACTGGCCGCATATGCCTTTCTCTCTTTCCACTCCTTCATCAGCGGCTCCTCTTGCGTAAATGTCTTGGTCACCACCAGCGTGTTCGGGGTCGTGCCGCGCTCAGACACGTGCGTACAGTCAATCCCGCGCTCATCGAGCATCTCGTGCAGGTGGCGTCGGGCTTTTTTGCCGACATCGAATCGTTCGACCTCCTCAGTGGGGCTTTGTAGAAAGAAGTTGAGGGCATTGCAGTCGGGGCAGTGGAGGAGGGGGCAGTTGACGGGCGGGCGGACAAGCGAGTTTGAAGGCGCGGGCTGTGTTCTGACGTACTCTTGGATGTAGCGAGTGAGCATGTTGCGGTAGAGGGATTGGTACACGGGGGTGGTGAGAGGGATCCCGTTGGCGGTGAGGATGGGGATGAGACACCAGAGAAAGGGAAGCCAGAGGTTGTGCATGTGATCGACAGGTAGACGGGGGACAGCGTCGTTCAGCTTGGTTATGAATTGTGTGGCCAAGTCGTCATCTGGGGTGCTGATCTTAACGAGCTTCTCGAAGAACTTGACTAGTGTATTGGATGCGACTGTCCTTAGGAGTTGTTTCTTCGAGGGACGTTTGTTGCTACCGTCATAGCTGGTCCGTTGCCGCTTGGTCCCATGCTCAGGCTTGATTCCACCTTTCGGTCTAAGTGTGGAAAGGTCTGCTGAGGCAAGCAATTGCTTGGCTATAGTCCTGTAAATGGCAAAGCCATCGTCACGAGGAACGACGTCGGCCGAGACTTCCTTCCACAACCGCGCCAACAAGGCGATGAAGAAAGCTATTGACTGACGCTCTGGATCCAGCAATGGAACTACGCTTGGAGATTGTTAGACTATGTTCATAAGTTTATAAGTCTATCATGACTAGGACGAGAGAGACATACCTGGTGGAGAGGAAGCGTGATGGATCCGGAAGGATTAAAGCCATTTCGATTATGGTTTTCCCGTCGCCATCACCTACTTTCTCCTTCATTAACAAGTCGCCGAGGGATTCCTCGAGCTTGCCGTGTACCCATGTTGATATTTCATCACGTAGACTGGCGGGCCAGTCCGCGTCTTCGGGCTTCGGGATCAAGTTCGTAAGGGCTGCTAACCTGTCAGACAGATCAGGGTATGAATCGACAACGCAACTCAGCCTTGGCGAGTATTATTGTTAGTTTGTGTCCATCATTATTTACATAATCTGTGCGGCATAAAACGTACCCTAGTTCAAAGCACTGGAAGCGCGAATCCGTGTTTGACCGCTTGAACCACTGCTTGGTCCATGCGAAGAAAGAGGTCGGGATTCCGGCGTTTTGATTCAAGCAGGCATCAGCGAAGGAATCATAATCTCTCAGCTCAATTGCAACCTTGAGAATACTCATGAGGTCGTTCCCATCAATCAGTGGATTTTTGGGCCAAACGGTCGAGCGAGCATCGCTTGTGGTCGTAGAGCGTTTGGCGAGATCCATCGCAGCCTGAAACAAGAGCGTTGCACGGTGCATATTTGACCCCAAACAACTCAGGCTTGATCTGGCACAATAACTGATCAATGATTGGCGAGTCTTTCTTGAAAGCTTTTGCATATTCTTCTCGAAGAATTCGAGAATTGAGGCGGATGGGACAAGGAGGACAGCCTTGTTGAGAGGGGAGTTAGTGATGGAAACATTTGACAAAGCGACAGGCAGATACGAAAGAAACAGAATGCTTACGGTTGAACGGTACCGATGTGTCACTGTCGGACCCTGTTGAGTAGATATATTAGTGTCAGCCTCGCTGTTTTGGCAATAGCAAGAGCAAGTTGTAGAGGTACTTACTGTGTTGCCCATGACGCCCTCGTACTCCTGCTCAGGGTCATCATCGGCAAACAATTCCCCGTCGTCTTGGAGGATTTCCTCCTCAGGGTCAAGTGCTAGACCGTCGACAACCGGCTTACCGAACATATCTCGAACTGTTTTGACTCTGTAGTCGACTTCTATGAGTTCTTCTATGCAAAGGAAGGGTTCCTCCTCGCTCGACTCTTCGCCTTCTTCACGATACACATTATAAAACTTAGAGTGGTCGACCTCGGCCTCTCCAAACTCTTCCTTTTCCAGAAGAGCAAAAAAGACTTCAAAGTCGAGTTCCTTGGATAAATTGTTCAAGACTTGGCCGATTGCTAGGTCACGCGTCTTCAGGTTGTTCAACTTGATGCTTGCTTCGGTGTAGTGGTGATCCAGAACGTAGTAGAGACCCTTCTGGCGCGACTCTCCGGGTTCCTGGAGCCATTTAAGCAGGATGTGGCGGAGAGCCTCGGTCTCTGAGCGTACAAGACCGGCTGAAGGGCGAACGGCATTGGGATCAAGAGCGAGGTTGTAGATCAATACCCATCTATACCCGGACTCGACAGGACACACCTTGTGGTGTACATCAGAGTACCAGCAGATAAAGGACTGTCCATGTTCCGAGGTCTTGAATGTTTTTTGGTCGCCACAATGCTTGACCACCACGTCTCCGCCTTTGTGGGCAGAGGGGAGGGCGACGACGAGGGTGCCGAACTGGCCGGGGATTTTCTCGGTATCGGTATGGCTTTTGAACATGGCACCGCGCTCGTAGATGAGCATCTTGTATATCTCTGCCCGGATTGGTGACTTGATGCCTAGGTCGGCGGCAACACGGGAACACAGATGCCGGACGTAGCCTGGCCACCTTTGGTTGTTGAAGCTGAACTGGGCTGCATCGATTTCCCAGGTATTTCGGACGCTTGTGTCAACGATGGTCTCGCTTCCCCTGCCATAGGGAGCCTGACGGGCTTTTGCAATCAACTGGCGGGCTTGAGTCTCGCCAAGAGGCATGGCGACGTCGCCAACTCCGTCGACGTAAAAACCGTCAGGAGGTGTACGTGATAGCTTGCGGAAAGAAGCGAATGATCCGGCGACTTTGACGTTATCGAGAGCCTTGCGTAGATCATCCTTGAGGCTGACGGTATAGTCCTGCGTGCTCAGGTCACTTGTTACGCTGTCTTGATCAGATCCATCGTCGGTCTGATCATCTTGGGTGCTATCCGTTGGGAGACTAGCGGAGGAGATATCGGAGCTCTCCATGTTGCTGCTGTTCCCCTCGACTGACAGTGCTTGTGTTGGCTGGTGGTCGGCCATGTTGTAGACGATATCGAGCGGCTCGAGCCTCCGCTTTGAGATGAAAGGTGACAGAAGCGTTGCCCTGAGAGCAGAGCGCCAGAGAACACATGGCTGTCCTTCACACTTGAGGAAGAGGGGTCGGTTGGTTCACGGCATGTGGTGGGATCTATCGAAAGCATTCGAAGCCTGTTTGTGGGGGGAACACATCTGCATGTAGGTAACTTGCTCTTGACCTCGCTTTTGGCTAACAGGGCGAGCAGGACTTATCTGGTGCCTGTTTCACGTACTGCCCAATACCTCTACCTATCGTTCTGGGATTATGCCCGGTAATGCACGCCCCGTAAAGCGTTTGAAAGTACAAACGAAGGTCCATTACGCTCGTTTAAGCACGCACCAGAATGAGACATTTCTGCCCGGCAATGCGATGATGTCGAGTGTGGTACGTTCCAACTTTGCCCGGATGAAATAGTAAGGAGGGAAAAACAAGAAATGGTGGTTAATAGCGGGGAAGCTGTAGGGTCGAGGTCCCTGTGGCTGGCATCTTGGGCGGCTACTTCCGTTCCAGCCCATCCCCCGGCACCATGAACCCAATCTGGAACCATTTCCCCAGACTTTTGTGCCCGGACCCTCCTTCTTCCCGCCGTCTTCAACCTCAATCGGGTAAGCACCCTGTTTACAGCTCAATTGCCAATGGGGCTATGATTCAGTATCAAACTACATCCAGTGTCATGTGTCCGTAGTCTATTTATCCTCCAATTCGTGTCTCGTTTCCTTGAATCTCGTCCTTGCCGGATGGTAGGAGGGACCTCTTCCCCAAGCCGATGTTCTGGACTGAGTAAACCACTTGCCGCTTGTTAGTTTCCCCGATAAGACACCTATGGCCACGATAACTCTTCCTCATCATGGGCTTTGGCCATCTTCTTAACCAGCGGACGCAGGAAGGGGATGCTAGCGGCTATGATTGTGGTGCACACTTCGAGGACCGCAAACATAATCACACATCCTAGGGAATACATTTCGGGTTACTTTCCCAGCGGAAACAGGTGATCGTAATATGCCTTTGTTCTCAAGGCTCCCATCATGGCCGACCTACGGGCAACATAAGCACTCATTCGTTACATCAAGGCAATTTACGCTACTCACACAAAGCCCACGCTCGTGGCACAGATGATGCCCATCTTGGTGCTCCGTTTCAGTGGCAAGTTTCAAACGACATAGGCGGGAACAGCCGCCAATGCGAATTCCTATGTATCTCTCTGTCAGCATTAAAAGGCGCCTGCAGCATGGATGGTCAAGGATCGTATGATTCCTTACCAGGACAGTAGAGTAGATTGAGGTAGCTAGGCTGATCTTGATGGCCACCCAGTTATCGAGGCACCTCTGGTCCGATGTTGCTGGAGTGTTCCAGCTCCCGTCAGGCAAGAAATGACATTGGTAGTACCCAAAGGTAGAAGCGACAAACAGGGCGGCGGTGCTGAAAACCATGAGGACCCAGAGCACAACCTTCTGCCAACGCTTTGTGACCAGACGAATGAGGGTTATGAACCATGACACTTTGGAAAATGCAATGGCGTTGATGCCGAAGAGCAACAGATTTGAGGTCCAGAAAAGAAGAGCGTGCATCACCTCTGGTTCGACTATAATTTCTTGCCCCTCGACGATGGCTGTGCCAACGCCGTGCTTGGCGAGCATCAAACCTATGATGGAGGTTATGACCATTAGGATCTGATCTCCCATGATTTTGACGTTAGCTCTCTCGTCTTCCACGGTCCAAACACAGATCTGGGAGCCGAGGGTGATGGGTAGGTGAGAAGAAGAACTGAACCGCTACGTACCCATGACAAAATCAACACATAATCATCAAGATATCCGGCCGTTGCATTTTTAAGCCATCGCCTGCAATAAAGCCTAAGGATGATAAAGACAAGTGCCAACACCGGGAAAAGGATCATGGTACCCCACATGACGGGCACGATGGTTTTGCCTTTCTTGTGCTCCATCTTGAAAGGTCGTTTTTTTACCTCTAGGCACCTTAGCACTGGCAAAAACTGGGTCGACACTGAATTTCCGAGGTGCCGTTGGTTGCTCTTTCTAACAAGCAAAGATGTGAAACTTTGGGAGGTGACGACAGGACGCAATACACCATCTTTTTAACCGGCCGAGGCCACCGGACATACACATAATCTAAAGTAGATACAGGTCATGGAGGGTTTGACATTTCTTTGCGACGATTGAAGTAAGGATGATAAACGCAATAAAGGAAAGTCATAAGAAGGTCAAAGCTGCAGGCCGTCTGCCGAGCCAGATTGTGGCTCATTGTACCGCACGCTGTCCAATAAACCTCTTCTTCCATGGGTTGAGCACATGTTTGCTACAAGCCTTCAACGGCATCTTGTATAAACCCCGGCGAGATGTGTTGCAGAATCGACGGTACGTTCGTTTCATATATGTTATCGAGTTATATCTTTCCAGGACCCAATGTATCAACACGAGAAATATAGAGCGAAAAGAAGAAAGGCTATAGTGAACCCGGCGCTTGAAACAACCCCCCCCCCCCCCCCCCCCCCCCTCCCCCCCCCCCAAAAAAAAAAAAAAAAAAAAAAAAAAAAAGAAAAAAAAAAAAGAAAAAAAAAACCACAAGTTCAGACAATGATCTGTTAAACTCCTCTATGACATGGTCGATTAGCCGATCCCTAACAAACTCGAGCCTACTTGCTCGTTCAACTTAACAGTCACAGTCTCGCAGCGGGGTGTCTGAGCCAAAGCGAGCGTTATTGGACAGTCCAATGTCCGTGTTCAGTTTCTTCCCACGGTTACTCAGGCAACGTTCAAGGTCAACCAGTTGGCAGGTATGACCGTACGCATCATTTTTTTCTTCCTCGCCCTTCGCTTCAATTTATTCTCCTTTGGCAATTCTGGTGCCGAGAAGATGGAAGGAACATGATGATTCGGAATTTCCCCACCATGAGTGGTGGTGTGAAAACATGGAAACCGCGAAGCCCAGAGGCTGCGTGGAGTCGACTTCAACCAATACAGTAGCCGGGTGATGATGTCCAAAAGAGAGAGACCAGAGAACTGACTTGGTGCAGGCGTTGGTTGCTAGGGAAGTCTTATCGTGACTGCCATGGCTGTCGTGACTTCCTTAATCCAGTGTCAGCTCTGGAGTGGAAGGAACGCCTCGCTCACGTTGCAATGGTCCTCAAGAGCGATGGGGTGTCATGACTCCGTTCCATGTCGCATCCAAACCAAGGGAAAGAGAAGAAAGAAACAAAGACGGCGAAGCGAGAATCGAGAAAGATGAGGTGAATATAAAGACAAAGTGAGACAATCGCCCAGCCAATTCTCCGTGCCGAGACAAAGCAAAGCCCTTGGTCCCATCAAAGCTAAGGTTAGCGTTATTCCCTTTCCATTCCGAAGCTTCAAGCCACCGCCGGAATGATCCCGAGCTGATCAACGGTCTTCCCTTCCAGTTTCCATGGCCTGCCATATCCACTCTCCTACTCTCGACAAGCAATTCCCAGCACCATGCACTATGAAAGCGCCGTCTTCTTTGCTCGCCAGGACAGTGTTGACTCCATTGGCCCTACAGGCATGGTTCAGCTCCTCCCCCTCTCATGTCGATCTCCGCATCCCGCATGGACATCAAATTCGTGCCATGATGCAGGGTATTATCGCTTCAGGTTAGGCCAATAACGCCACCATACTCCCTGATAGGTCGATTGTTTTGCGTATCATCCTGCCTGGCCAAGCTGGATTCGGTGAGTAAAGTGATCAAAGAGGATCCCTACACGTGTACCAACCACTGTAAGGGAGCACTGGAGAGCAACCACATGGCAAGCCGCAACAATGGCAAATGGACGATTCGGAATGAGCACGGGAAGTTAGGGGGGCCACGCAAACATTTTACCATTGGGCGAGGAACAAGCAAGCAAGGGCTGGCACACATGCAACGGGTAAAAGGCATGGCGAGCTACATGTTCTTATTGAATAGCGGCCCAAACATACGCCGCGTGGCGTCCGCCACCCCTGTCTAGACGATCAAGTTTTCGATAACGAATGTCTGATGTGGATGGAGCATTCAGCTGAAAGGATGTTGATACACCTCTTATGGTCAGGTTGGCTCAAGCGTGGCCCTGCCTGCCCTTGCTTGTTCTTCGCAAATGCCTTCGAGAGATCAACAACACCATCAACTAACGGGAGTCCTTGGTGGCGTCCGCCCTTTGTCTGGAAGCCCCGATAATACCGAACCTGATCTACGTGTTGGCTTGTTTTAGGTTTCCAATATACCGGTGGTGTGGCCCAAGTCATTAAACCTAAGCAAAGTCAAAAGCACGGTGCTATCCGCGCTTTGCCTAGCTGGCTGAACTAACCAACCAAGCAAGCCTGCTGACCTACTATTGTCTGTGCAAGGAGCTTGATACAAAGCTAGTTTCGTCCCCCAAAACCCCAGGACCTTTTTTTTTCACACTTACAAACCCTTGATCTCATTCATTTCTTTCTTTCCTTCGCGATCGAAGTGCCAAAACCAGGGGACGATCTATGTTCGAGACATAGCGATTATCCGGCGTGATCATGCACTTGCCGGGATGGCTAGTTTGGTATAAAAAGCCCGAGTATAGGAATTTCAAGGAATACGCGAACAATGCCAGCTCTGGAAAGAGGCCACCAAGTCCAGAAGCGGGAAGGGAAGGAGTGATACCAAGTCGATTGGGACTCGAGCGAATACTGCAGAACAAGACATGTAAGTGGAAATTGAAGGATTACATCAGTTAGACCGTGTGCTGACTAGTCTGATATTGATAGGTAGTCCAATGTCACTATACGACTTTTATATGTATCTCAAGTACATTGAGTATTCATCTGAGAATCTTGAGTTCTATATCTGGTTTAAGAACTACGAAGAGTCCTACCACAAAGGGTTCGCTTCCCGTCACGACAAGGGCTCTCATGATCTGGTCAAGACGGCATCGGAAAGCGGAAGCGTATCGTCGTCTGTCTTCAAGAAGAGCCATTATCAACCCAGCGATGGCGAGGGAGACGGGGACTTGGAGCCGGGTAGGTTAAGCGCCATATCAACAAACATGATTCTCCACCCAGTGCACTTGACAGAAGTACGGGTCGTTACTCGTTAGTTTCAGAATTCCAACATTGCTAACAAACAACAGTCACCACAGCGAGAGAAACCCTCCATCGTATCTCGATGCTAATCACCGCCTCTGCCTCATGCACCAGCAGCGTCGCCCACCCATCCTACCGCCCATGTGGTCCCTGCGCCCCATCATCCAACGCCATATTTCCGACGGCAACCTTCTTCAACAACTTCAACAACAGCCAAATCGCCGTCCTCGCGAGCGACCCGACCCCCGACCCCGCCGACCCGGCCAACAAGTCCACCACCCTCGGCCTTCTCGCCCCTCAACCCGGTCCCATCCCGCCTTCCGAAATCCAAACCATCATCACTCTCTTTCTCCTGCCATCGTCGTCAAAAGAACTCAACATACCCATGTCCCTCCGTCGCTCCGCGCTCGACGGATTGGCTGCTACTCCCCAGGGCACGCTGCCGGACCCGAACGTCCTCAGACCGATCGCTGATCACGTCTACTATTTGCTACGCTCGTGTTCGCACCGCAATTTCGTCAGGTTGGGGGTGAGCAACGGGACGTTTGAGACGATATGCTTTGCGACCGTTCTGGGTTTCGTGTCGCTGGCCTTGGGATACCTGGTGGTTCTGGTGAGGGCATTCACGGAAGGCAGAGGTGCAAGGAGCAGGTGGGAGAGTTTCGACGGGTTTGGCTTCTGGATGGTGGGGATGAGTTTGGTGTTATGCGGGCTGCGGGGCAGTTGTTTCTTTCTGTTGCTGTTCTCGAGGAGGCAGAGGTTGCCGTGGGAGAGGTTGAATGATGGGGAAAAGGTAGAAGGGGTACATATGTGTGGTGGTCAGGAAGGAAATGAAGACGAGATGGAGACAAAGAGATGGTCTGTAAGACAAAGGGTAGGCAGGATGATGATGTTCGATAAGAGATTGAAGGTGCAGGAACGCAGTCTGCGGAGATTGCAGAGGAAGATTGTGATGCAGAGTATGGTGGGTGGAACGATCTTCTCGGCCTTGTCAGCTGTGGTCTTCCTATTGCTTCCGATATGGAAGGAGACGGTTTGTGATGACTGATGATGGATGGAAGGTGTCGAGATTTGGTGTTCTGTTCTCATCAGAAGGGTCCTTTTTTTTGCCGTCGTTTTTATACCCCTAATAGAGTGTCTCATCCGGCCCTTGTCTCCTTCAGTCGAACGCAACCTTTCCCTCCGTGTTCCTGCATTCTCGGATGTCGAATGGTCCACCCAGGCCCCTGTCTTCCGATTACTCCGCCAATCATCTTACACCATCTCGACGAAGCGAAAAGAAGAGCACCATGGCCGATTTTTCGGTCCAGGCCTGTGATGGACGTGCAATAATGTATATCTTGACCCTGATATCTCATGTCTCTGACGTTTTTTGACCTGTCGATTATCCTGCATGCTATTATCTCTTCGGGACCAACTCCACGATCCATCATGGCAGCTCTCAAACTCGGCTTCATGGCTCTAGCCCCAGCGCTAGCTGCCGCTGCTGATATTCCACTGTGGGGACAGTGTGGTGGTATCGGATGGCAGTCTGCCGGCTCGGCTTGCACTTCAGTAGCTACTTGCACGTCGTTTAACGACTACTACTGTTGGTCGACCTCGTTGACTCCTCACTTACTCTTGAAGCCATTGACATGACTGACCACCAGCTTCCAGACCAATGCGTTCCCAAGCCCACCTCGGCTGCAGTTGTCACTACCAGCTCCAAGCCCGTAACCGTCCCCGCTACGCCCACGACAACCAACAAAGGCAGCAGCTCGACCTTTTCAACCTCCATCAAGCCATCCAGCAGTAGCACTGAATCTACCGGCTCCAGCACACAGTCTAGCTTTGTGCCCGTCCCCACCTTTACCTCTGCCAAATACCTCATCTCCTTCGGCGACTCCTACTCCCAAACCGGCTTCGACATCAACGGCTCCAAGCCCTCGTCCTCTAACCCGCTTGGCAACCCCCCTTTACCCGGCTGGACCGCCTCAGGCGGGCTCAACTGGGTCGGCTTCCTGGCCTCTCAGCTCAACACCTCGCTCACGCTCTCCTACAACTTCGCTTCGGGCGGAGCCACCACGAACGCCTCGCTCGTCGCGCCGTTCGCGCCCACCGTGCTCAGCTTCGTGGACCAGGTGGCCCAGTTCAGCGGGAGCATTGCCAGCCGTCCTGCGTATGCGCCGTGGAATAGCGAGAACAGCCTGGTGGCGGTCTGGATTGGAGTGAATGATGTGGGTAATACTTGGTGGATGAGCGAGTCGGAGATGGATGCGTTGTATGGACAGATTATGGATAGTTATTTTGGACGGTTGCAGGTGTTGTATGATGCGGGGGCGAGGAACTTTGCGCTTTTGGGTGCTGCTCGTGAGTGTTCTTCTTTTTTTTTTTTTTTTTTTTTTTTCCCTCCCGACGTTCTGAGATGCAAAGAAAGAGGTGCTAACAATTTGATCGTATTAAAACAGCCATCTACTACACCCCTTCCACGATCGGCCAGGGTGCCACCACCGTCGCTACCCAAAAGGTCGCCATCGCCAAGTACAACTCTCTCCTGGCTTCTCGGTTTGATGCCTTTCTTGAGGTCAACAGCGATGCCACAGGAAAGGTCGTCGATACCGTGGCGCCCTTTGAGACGGCCATCAAGAACCCGACGGCGTATGGAGCGCCCGATGCTACTTGCTTCAACGAGGACGGCGTGAGCTGCTTGTGGTTTAATGATTACCATCCTGGTGTGCAAATCCAGAAGTTAGTCGCGCAGGCGGTTAAGAGTGCCTTTACTGGTACTTTCTTCTGATGTTGTGGATGGAATGCGGTAGTTAATCGGAAAAGAATGAAATGGTTGGTGATGATGCCGGAAAGCCTCGGCGGCAACAGGGGCTCCGGCCACATATGGAGGTGTCATGGTCACTCACTGTAAATAAGATGGAGATCAAGTCAGCAGTACATACCATAACTCTTTTGACATATGTCTGAGCCAGCTACCATCGCGAATTATCGCCGGGGCGAGTGCAAAACACGAGTGTCGGATGTGGGAGACGCAATGACGGAAACTAGGCGCAGCCTACCAAGAAATCTTCAACGAGAGAGCCAGGGAGTGGATTCCAAGGCAGAGTCAGCCAGCAAACTGACCTTGGAACTTGGAAGGGGGTTGATAGAGGACCCTAGGCTGATGAGTGTTTAACATACAACTGGCTTTGTAATTGAGCGGTGTGGTGCAGCAGACTGCATAAGCCTCAAGAAGCTTGGCTTAACACGGCTGTGGCCTGGCGAGGTGAAGAGGAGGGAGTGAATGGCGCGTCGAGAGCTGTCTTCTTGGAACGAGCCTTTAGAGGCTGTGGTGCCCTTGTCGTTGTAGAATACATGATGGTCGCTGAACGGAATAGCGGAGACGGGCGCTTCTGGCAGCTCGTTGACGCATGTGACTAAGTGATAAGGCACGTTCTTGGTATCAAGAACACGAGGAGGTTGCAATAATCACGCATGATAGACTGGACGTCACGCTGCTTTTGTGCTTATACCGTATCTGTCTCTTGTTTTCCTTGATGTGCTCTCAACTCCGCAGCTGGATAGGAAGGAACCCTGAAGGTAGTGATGCATGTTACAAGTTTTGAGTTGCTCCTTCTTCCAAATCTGCTGCAGAAGACTGCATCGTGGACCTCCTGGAGAGGAAGTGAGTGAACTTTTCCATGCTCGTGCATGAAGACGCAATATGAGGGCTTTATATTCTGCGTTCTTTTCTTCGTTCCTTCCAAGAGCTGCTCGCTCTTTTGTACCTTTCTTCCATTCAAGGTTCCTCGACATCAGCCTTTGAAACATCACGCAACCGTCAATCGCTGCAAAGAAACTTCAACCCATTAGAGTCAACCAAAAGCAACAGGGGCAAATTTCATCGTAGGTTTTCATCGCACAATTACACGATATCATTTCCTTTTCGAACCATCCGAAAATGTACTAACCTGGAACTCTCTTCATCAGATCCGAACTCTCAATCCATCTTCATTACCCGAGACAAGCATAACACAACAATCCAACAAGTCACCGACACTCGAGCCACATTCATGTCTGTCATCATGCCATCCTTGACAGCCTCCCCATCAACCGAGGGGTCATCCTCCACCCCTACAGACAGCCAACTCGATACCGCCACGATTATCTATACGGTCTCCGGGGCAATCTGGATCCTTGTAGCTGGAAGCTATATGACGTTTTTGATGGCGCTCATGGATGAAAGGTTGGACAGTACCGAGGAGACGGGTGTGGTGGTGGCACCGCGCACGAGATTCACCGCCCGCATTCTCTGGGCCGTGCTCAAAGGGCTACTTTGGCCTCTTGTTCTGCTGTGGATACTGGTGGAATCGACTGTGATGGATTGTTGCATCCCCGTGTGCAAGTGGTGCGCCGGCGGGTGCATGTATGATGGGAGTAAGTGTCGGGAGGCGTACGAACGACTCTCTCGGGAGCCGAGGGATGTCGCCGGCGAGGGAAGCCAGACGGCCCGATCGGCAGACGTTGTGAGGAATCCGCCTCCAACCATAGTGCCTATGGAAATGCCGCCTACATATGAAGCCGCTACTATGCCGATGGAGCTGTCTAAGCTGCGCAAAGGCAACTGAATCGACAGGAAAATGAGGTGGATAGTTTTGAGTGGAGGAGGGCAGCGAACGAACGGATATTGATGGTATCATGTCAGGCTTATGGACACTAAAATGGTTGATCTTGTACGTCAATTGAGGCATGAGAAGGCTATGTTTGGAAAGGAAATGGTCCTGGAGACAGCGGATGAGCGTTTCGTTTTGTAGGTAAATCGCCGTTAACAACACACCTTATAACTCCCCAGACAGGATGTTCCTCTAAAGAAATCTCCAAATATGCGGCAAGAGACCGCAACCCTGTGACCAATGCTCGTATCAGATTGAAAGCCAAACGCGGAGATCCAATGCAGGCTCTCGTTGGAGAATCGTGCAGGTGGCCCCGACTGCTGCAAACAGCTGGAAAAAGCACAACTCGAGAGGCTCCTCATCGACGTCATCCTGACAATCTCCAACTATTTATCCATCCTCCCCGGTCGCATTTCCTCAGCTGTCCGTCATGAGCATGCCAGACACTCGATAAGAAGCAAGCCCAAAATGCATACAACGCCCCTCACGACAATGGCGATGCAGTACCAAGCTGCATTGCAGATATTGCAAAAGACGGCCAACGATATGTCCAAACGCAGAACAAGAACGGAAGAGCTCGTTCCACTCGAAGACTCGGTCGGGCGGACAGCGGCCAAGGACATTCTGAGCCCGGACTCAACACCGCCCTTCGATACGGCCGCCGCCGACGGATTTGCGTTGGTATCCTCAGCCACCATCAACGCATCGCCCATGAACCCGGTCTACTTTCGCGTGGCAGGAACCATCACGGCAGGCGAGGAACCACCACTAATGCCGCCCTGTAGGGGACCCGATGGTGTTCCCCAATGCTACGAAATCATGGTCGGCGCCAGATTTCCCGACACGGCCACCGAACACTTGATACATATGGACGCATGCGTCTGGGCAACAGACGTCCAGGAAGTGTCGGTATCAGAAGTACCAAAGGCCGATCCTCAGTTGGGCAACAGGTTCATCAAGATTACCAAGCCGGTTACGTACAATGCCAACCGCCGGAGGGCCGGAGAAGATATTAGCAAGGGAGACAGACTGATAAGAGCGGGGATGAAGATACGGTCCAGCCATTTGTTGCCGCTCGCGTCGGTCGGGATCAAGGAGGTCGCTGTTGAGCCGCTGATTCGGGTTGGGGTGTGGTCAACTGGCAGAGAAATTGTGCGGAGCGATGTCGACGGACCGACTGCAACCCAGAGGACGGGCACGCGGTACACATACGATGCTGATGGGCCTTATCTGATGGCAGCTTTGAAGGAATTCGGAGCAGAGCCGCACTTTCTGGGCTTGCTGCCCGGCGACGATCCGGCGGTGCTGGAGAAGGCACTCGGCGAGACGATGGCGACGGACAAGTTCGATGTTCTGGTCACGACAGGGGCAGCCACGCCAGGCAGGTCGGGCTTTGTCAGATCCGTGATCGAGAAGCTGGGGGGACAAGTGCACTTCCACGGGGTGGCGATGCGACCGGGAGGCACAGCCATGTTTGCGTCGCTCGAGTCGACCGCACCCAACAATGGACTTGTATCCTTCTTTGGGCTTCCGGGAGACCCTTGTGCGATGGCGGCGTGTTTTAGGTTCTTGATCATACCGTACCTCCAGTTTGTCCGAGGCGAGAAGGCGGACGAGCCGCTTATGGCGACGCTGGAACTGCGCTGTTCGACAAGGCAGGAATCGGAACCGAATATGGACGCAGGAGCACCAGTCGAGGCATCCATGGGTAACAACTGTGGACCGCTCTGTATGGACTGCTTCCGACACGGACGGGTGACGGCGAGCGAAGATGGGCGACGCAAGGTGGTTCGCATGACCAAGGACCAAGGCCCGGGCAAGGTGTATCCGTTTACCGAAGCCAACTGCTGGATCCATCTGCCGCATGGCCAGGAGATTGTGCAGGGGGCAATGGTGCCATGTCTATCGCTGTCGGCGTGTCGGGACGAGAAATGGCAATAGCCGTGTTTGGGCTGTCAGTCTGTTAGTAGATAGATGCGCTGCAATTGCTGGCGTCCGGTTGAAGCATTCATTCAGGGGTCTTGACGTGGTACAACCTGTTGTTTTGGCGTGTCCTGTCGCTTTGTGAACATTCAGTTGTGATGGAAAAGGAAAAGAAAAAAAAAGAGGCCTGCAGAGCTGAAAGTCGTATGGCACTACTATGTAGGGTTGGTGCTGGCCGCCACTAGGTACCTAGGTATAGCAAAGGCGCACGGCGTCACTCTTCGCATCTGGAAATGTTAGTGCTCATACCATTGATTGCTTCTGCTGTTAGTGAGCCTTGCTGTGTACCCATCCCTTTAACGGTGAAAATGTATCATTTTTGCCAAGACTCGAGGGGATTTGCAGTACTTAGCGACTTTAGGGTTACCGCCAAGCTATGTAAGCCAGTATATCTATATAAGCGATCGACGATGATAAAAGTGTCATTTTTATAGGTAAAATCAGCGATTCTGCATCGTCTGTTAAGGTTTGAGATAGACTTACTACAATATACTATTGAACGTAATTATTATTAGATCTTTGAATATAGTATTAAAGTATTATAAAATAGATATTTTAGTAATTTTAAACTCGTCTCCTAGTAAAGCGGCCGTCTAGTTAGTACTAGCTGGCCTAGCCTAGCCGGTACTAGCCTAGCTAGTACTAACCTAGCCAATACTAATTTACCTTCTAGTAAGTATTAACCCTATAAATTATTTACCCTTATAAATCCTCCCTCTCCTTAATAAACTAAAGCTAAATATTAATAATAATAAGGGTAATATTGTATTTAATTCTAAAGACGATTACAATGACGAAGACTATAATAAGGGGGATCTTAAACTATTAAATAATTAGTTTCCAACTATCCTTCTAGCCGGCTATTTTTATACTTGAAATATTTATAATTTAATAGGCGAGTTTCTTAATAATATACCTAACGATCGCTTTACCTTTATCGATTACAAGTTTCGAGACCTTTAAGTTAATATTATAGATTATCCTTATTTCCCCTTTAAAGTGGTTTGCAGCGACGGCGGTATATTTATATACTAAATTACCTATACTTTTACAATTATATTATTAGTATTTTATATATATTTCCCCCTTAATATAGTAAAATAGTAGGTACGATAAATTAACCTTCGAAAGATTTCGTTACTTAGTAAAGATAACCCTTACTCTTATAAAACACATTAGGTACCTACTTATATTGCGGAGTTATACGTATTATTCACTATTTTATTATATATTAGTCTCTATATAGAAGCGAACTTCCCTTTATATTAGTAAAAAAAAGAGGGGCGCCCGAATTACCTTATCTATAATTAAATACTTTTTTTTAGGTTCGAGATATTTCTAAGGCGGTTTTGCGTGTGGGATCCTACTTAAGAGGATTTTACTCTCTAGGATAAGATATACGATTTTAATAGATATATTTAGAGAGTTTGTTTTAAATTACAGACCTTGTTATAGTATATTATTATTAATAAAAAGATAGTAAAATATACCGGTAGGAGTATAGTAACGGTCTATATCCCTAATAAGCTAGTACTACAGGGTATTAAAGTTTAGGTTACTATAGTTGGCGGTTGCTTCTTTAATTAAAAGTAATATAATAATACAATTAATATTATTAATTTAAATAAATATATATAGTATTCTCTATTAAAATCTATTTAATAATTAATTAATTAAATATTAATAGGGCGAATTAATACCGATTTAAATAGTAGTAATAGAATTAGTAATTAGGTTACCCTACTTATTTTATTAATTAGTTTATTATGTATTTATTAATAACCTTTTTACTATTTTCGTTTTTATATATTACCTTTATATTAAGAATATTACGGTTATTAGTATAATATACTCTAACTGTATAATACTGTAGTTCGTTAAATTTCGTAAGGTTAATAATAAGAAAGAGAAGGTACTATTTAGGGTATTGTATCGCTCTATTTTAGTAGTACTGGTAGTTAAGTCTAAAAAGAGTGTAGATTTACTAGGAGTCGACGATTAGAATACCGGCGTAGTATACCTCTATATAAAAGACCGTTAAATAGTAAACTTCTTATTTATTTATTATATTAGCGGCGAATAACCGAGGTGCGCTATGCGCTACCGTCCTACGCGTAAGGGAGTAATGAGAGATTATTTTAGTAATGAAGGGTAAAAAAGAGTTTGGATACTACTAATTATCTTAGTATATAATAGCTTTATAAATAGGGTTAATATAGGTAACTAGTTTTATATATATAATATATATAGTGAAATGGCGAGAAAACCACAACAACAACACTAACACCACTACGACTAGCACGATGTATAAGGACCGTAGTTCTTAGCTGTCTGATTAGGTAGAGTGGTAAATGATTTTCAAGTCTTTTTAGATGGTCGAGATAGGAGGTATTAAGCTAGATACGATTTATTGGAGTCACGCATTTATTAAATAGTTTAATATTTAGTTTTCGCTGGAAAACGAGGGTAACTATTGGATCTTTCTATATTTTTCTTTTGAATATAAATAGGGATACGAATAAGTATTTCCCTAAGAAGGATAAAAGATTACTTAGTATACTAAATAAATAAAGATAAATAATTAGTAACTATTAAAAACTAATTTTATATAATTAAGAATTACTAAAGAAATAGAAATTAATTATTTAATTTAATAAAAGGTTAATATTCCGTTAATCTCCCCTCCTATTTCCTTATATTTAATTTCTTTCTTTTTCTATTCTTTTTCTATACTAATTGTTTAAGTTTATTTAATTTAGAAAGTACTTCCCTAATCCTATATACTTTGAAAATTTTTTGAAAAAAATTACTACTAAAAATTAATATATATATTCCTATATACTACTCCAAATTAAATCTTCCCTTTGAATCTGCAACAAGTCCCCTAAGCAGACTCACCTACATATATATATATATATATAATTAGTACTTTCCTCTATTATTTCTATTACCCCTATATTTTCTCTTACTTTTCGTAATTAAATGTCTTTTTCCAGCGCTTTTAGTAAGGAAATAGTTATTTATTCTCCGAATAATATCGTCCTAGGTCGTTCTAATAAATTATAAAGGTCCCTACAGTTTTGAACGAATATTTGGATTAAATTTTTCTTTAAATTTCATTATAATTTAGGAAGGGTTAGTAGGATTGTATTTAGGAAGGTTATTTAAGTCGTGCTCTATACGGCGAATAAAGTGGATTAAAGAGTTTATTATAAATTTATAGGAGTTAAAATTAAATAGTACTACTACCTATAATTAATTAACTATTAGGTTTTAGCTAGTAATAAGAATTTCTCTAGCTAAATAAAAGTTTTTAGATCCGGATATTGGGGATAATCTTTACTACAATATAGGTATAGGGTTTAATAGTATACGTTTGTGTTAAGAGGAATTGGAGGGAATAAATGGGTTCGAAGGCTTCTTAAGATTTAAAGGGATTAGTAATTGATTAATCCTCTTTACTTGAGTAGATATTTATACTAAATTTATAGGTAATCCTAAGGTACTTAGTAGGCTAATACTTTTTAGAACTGATAGAGTTCTATTTTTTAATAATAGTTTAAGAGTTCCTATATTCTTAGGCGGAAGAGGAATTTGTAATTATATACAATTTATTAAAGTATTAATAGAAAGAGTTTTAATTTCCCTAAGAGGATTAGATATAATTAATATTAGGTTATAGTATATTTAATTATTAATAGTTAATTAAATAGAGGTACTTTATTTCCTAATTAAATAAAAATTAAAAAGTAACGATACTATTAAACGAAACGAAGTTAGAGTAGAGGTTAGTTGATTTATTATCCTAAAATTCTAAGAACGAATTATAATTTATTAAAGTGGAATTAGGGTTAGAATTGAATTTTAGGAAGAATTTAGGGGCAAATAAATATTGTTTGAAAAAGAGGTTAATTTTCTAACCTCTCTTCATTATATTATAAAAGTAGGAGAAGAAGAGCTAGACAATAAAAAATTAAATAATAAAGAGTTTTTACTATTATTTTCCTTAATAGGTTTGGTTAATATATATTAGAATAGAGGAAGGTTAATTATAGTATTAAGGTTATTATATAGTTAGTAGCAAAGAAAGATCTCTATACTTCCGAACCCTTATAGTTAGTTCTTTTTAGTTTAAGTAATATAATCCTTGGGCTATATAAGACGCTAGGGTTTTTCTTTAGTATTGTATATGCGTTTGTTTTATTAGGAGAGGATATTGTTGGATTTACTATTTATTATAAATAATACTTTTTTTAAAGGATTCCTAGGTAGGCTTTTAAATTGCTATTACTTTATCTGTAAAGTATTATAAATCATTTTCTAATACTATCGTACTATAACGTTCTTTTTCTATTCTTATTTAAATATTATATATTTTTTTAATATTATATTCTATTTTTAAATTTTAGATATAAATATTTAAAAGTTTGGATTATATTTTATTAATTTTATTTGTACAATTTCTACTACTATTAATCTACAAATCCAGTCGGATTTTTGGGTAATGAAGTCGATTTAATGAATAAGAAGGCCTAGGTTAAACTTTATTACCCCCCAAACGCTAAATTTTTAAAATAATAAAATTAAACTTAATTCTATATTCTTTAATATAGAATTATATAAATTAGAATTATAGTAGTCCTATTAGTTTACTAATTAATTAAAGATAGCTATTGAGAAATATATATTTTATAGGTAGATAAGGATTACTTAAAACTTTTTTTCTTTTATAGGTAATTTAATATCGTTCGAATTAATTATATATTTTAGAATTTTATTAGTGTTATTTAATTAAATATATTTATTCAATACGAAAATTATTTTTAATCCCTTTCTAGTTACTTATAGAAGTAGGGCAACTAAATTATTAATATAGGTAAAGGTATATTTATTAATACTATATTAAAGGTTGGCTAGGCGTATTGTAAATCGCTTTTAATTATAAAAATTATTTTTAT